GTCAACTGCTGTTAAACGTGCAGTTGAGCAGACTTACTCTGCCTTTCTGCCCAAGGGCGGCCACCCTTTCGTCTATCTTGATCTTGAGATCGAACCTAACCGCGTCGACGTCAATGTACACCCAACAAAGCGCGAAGTGAATTTCTTGAATGAAGACGAGATCATCGAGCTTGTTTGCACCGAAATTCGATCCAAGCTGGCTGAGGTGGACTCGAGTCGCACATTCCTAACCCAAAGCCTCCTGCCTGGCGTGCAGACCATTGAGTCTCTACAACGTGATCAAGGTACTCCAACCCATGAAAGAACAGGAGAGGCAACAAAACCCGGAACGACACCCAAAACACCCGCAAAAACAAAGAAACCATACGAAAACAACCTCATCCGAACAGATTCCAAGGTCCGCAAAATTACAGCAATGCTAGGCCCAGCCACAGCCTCACCACGCGACCCATCCAACCCAGCTGCATCCACAGAAACCGAGACCGCAACAACATCGATCCTAGACGACGGCCTCCAATACGAAACAACAGATCGCCAACCCCTAAAGATCGCTCTCACGTCCGTCAAAAGTCTCCGCGCCTCCGTCCGCTCCGAAATGCACAACACACTGACAGAGATGTTCGCATCACACACCTACGTCGGGCTAGTCGACGAGCGACGCCGGCTCGCAGCGATCCAATCAGGCGTGAAGCTATACCTAATTGACTACGGACTCGCATGCCACGAATTCTTCTACCAGGTAGGTCTAACCGACTTCGGAAACTTCGGCATAATCCGACTCGACCCAGCACCGAAGTTGGTAGATCTACTGAAAATCGCCGCCGAATCGGAACGGGAAGAGCACCTGAACGCTAACGGGGAAGAGGCCGATTCCATCTTCGCTAATGCACCGGAGATGATAGCACGCACGCTGGTCGAGCGTCGCGAGATGCTAAATGAGTACTTTTCGCTGCAAATCAGTCCCGATGGAGACTTGCTGGCCATCCCGTTGTTGCTGAAGGGGTATCTGCCTGCGCTGGCCAAGCTGCCTCGTTTCCTACTGAGACTTGGGCCATATGTGGACTGGAGTAATGAGGAGGGTTGTTTCCGTACGTTTCTACGTGAGCTAGCTGCTTTTTACACACCTGAGCAGCTTCCGGTTCTTTCACAGCCGGTTGTACAGAATTCTTCGGGGAGTCGGTTGCGCAGGCGCAGGTTGTGGCCGATGGCTCTGGGATCAAGGACGAAGATGCTTTTCTTAGAGCCCGTCGTGCGCAGATGGTTCGCATGCTGGAACATGCTGTTTTCCCGGCTTTGCGTGCGCGACTAGTTGCCACGTCACGACTGCTGCGGGGTGTGGTTGAGGTCGCAGATCTAAAGGGTCTGTATCGGGTGTTTGAGCGCTGTTAAGTGGAGGCATAGTAGAATCATACAGTTGTATCGCATGGGTCTATATTTATGAATGACGAATGACTATCTTTCTGCTTTTCGGGGGATTTGAAGTCATACATTAGTGATCCGAATCTAGTTTGATCCTGTACATCCTGTACCGCTGGCATTGACATTACAGTTGGCAGGGCCAAGGACCATGGCGAGCAAGTGAATACTTGTAGGAGAAAATTAATTCATGCAAACTAGTGCAAGACAGTTCATAATGTACATTGAACCAAATAAAGAGTTACTCAGGACTGAATTAATCAAGGGGGGTCACATCCTATAATCCTGATTCCGGGTCACATATATATCACCAATTTCAAATATATACACTTTTACCGATATTGCATTATTTCGTCTAAACTAATACACAGCAAATGGGCAATTGAACAATTAATGAAAGAGATCAGTGCTTAGTGTAATAACCATTCACATTGTGCGTATCAAGCAATCCCCTATAACATAGGTATGGGCCAGGTCTAATTGAGTCTGATCAAGTGCGTCACATAATGCGTATCAGCGCATCTAAAACACGTAAATTACGTCTTATTCGCCTTCTTTTGGCCCACTTTGATCAATTTGGGGCGTATTGTTATCCATTCGACCTTTATTATCAATATAATATGACCTGACAGGCCCAAGGTCGGGTGAACTTGGAGGTTCATCCCCAGCGTATGCCCTAGACTCTTCGAACCATTACTTGAGCAACCTCATAATCTCACCCAGAGATGTACCCGGGAACTAAAATTAAAAAAAAGTGCTTAGATCAGTGGAAGACCTTTCATGAGGGCATGGTGATTTGATTTCGAGGCATAATCGCTTAAGTGTTCTCAAGGCGTGACTTTATGAAACAACAAGTGCAAGTAAAATTACTATTACAATCAGTATCACCCTTCATCTAGGATAGAGCAAAAAAGCGGACTTGCAGGTTTCCTCTTGCTATATGAAGGGTGAGATTGTACATGCATATTGCATATTATCTCGAGAAAAAAAAATGTGGAAGCAGCGACCGCGGATCGAACGCGGGACAACAAGATTTGCAATCTTGCATTCTACCACTGAATTACCGCTGCGGATTATGGAATGATCCGGGGATTTTACATTATAATACCTTGCTTTCAAAGAAGCGTATACCAAATCGCATGTTGTCCCAAGTATCCATCAGAGAGAGAGATATACATATACACACAACATGATTTTACTTAGTATACTTGTCCTCTTACTAGCTTACAATTCGAACCCTCATTTTTTGCTCCTTGGTTTGTTTGATTTCTTTAAATCTTATGAGTATTCTACCTAGCCAACTGCATACCGATAGACAGACGATCGAAACGCCGCGCTCTATTAAACGTTTGAATGTAATGTAATTTATTATAGTCCTTGATATGTATATATATATGCGCTTTATAGCCGTAAAGAAGCAAAGATGGCATTTTCCATTTCGTTAGCTGGTATATCCACCTCAAAGTTGATTTATATCGTCCTACTATCAGGGCTAGCCTACATTAATACGAGGTCCAATAATGAGGGAAAAAAAAAAGAACGTCAAAGCAGCGACCGCGGATCGAACGCGGGACAACAAGATTTGCAATCTTGCATTCTACCACTGAATTACCGCTGCACGTTATGTAATAAATGAAAAACATTACATTATAGAAGCTTGAATTTTGAAGATCGTTATAGACACCAAGCTATACTTCAAGATAAATGAGATGAATACAACACCAAAGTACCAAGAATTATTAGCGACTGGCGGCTATAGTCATCAATCCCTATGATATAAATCCTACTTCAATGACAAAACGACAGGCCTAGTGCATTAATAATACATTTTACAAGAATGTCCGATATGCTTGAGAAAGTTACAAGTTATCAATGAAGAAGGAACCTTAGAAGTATAGGCCCTATATACGCCCTAGCAATATGCTGGAGGTAGATTTGATAGGGTATGGTGGGCGGAGTTACCTGTAGGCGGCAAGGCGGACTACAGCTAAATAAAACACAATATAAGAGCAGGAAGCCTGGATGGAGATTATAAAGTCGAACAAACTCATGCGTATGAATTCACCCATGGCTGATCATCAAAGTTTACACAGAGATAAGTTGATTCTGCCATATATACCCCTTTTCTGGATTTTTCTGTGGGCTACAGATTCGGAAATGGGGAGAGTAACCTAGAAGAAAAATCTCAACTATATACATGAAAAGAATAATCCATAGAAATCGCAGGGCCGTATAAGCGGCTGTTTACACATTATGGTATAATTTATTTGTTGCTAGTTGAAAAAAAAGAAATAAAAAGAAAGCAAGCAGCGACCGCGGATCGAACGCGGGACAACAAGATTTGCAATCTTGCATTCTACCACTGAATTACCGCTGCGGGCTATGAAAAGTTTAGAAATATTGTGTTATAGTATCTAACCTTTTCACAAAAAATCCGAGATAGCCTGACATGTTAAGTCCCATCTGTCCTACGGTATAGCGTATATTACCACAACAAGGGAGATAGATACGAACAAGAAACCGTCCATAGGTAATTAAGCGTAGATTCTCCTTATTTAGCCCTGCTCATCCAAAACGAGTTGTCAATCTAGAAACAAGCATGGGCTATTTGATTGTTATAGGGTACTTATTCACAAAACTGTCTGCTTAACTTAAACATTACTATCAGGAACAGTCTTGATGCTTTGACTCCAAAATCAAGTTTATCGATTCTGCCGGTATACAGATGGATCTACAGGGCTGCTAGGGGTGTTGAATGTGTATGATACTAGAAGGTACAAGTGAATCCACCATGCTACACACGCATGTATACATGATCCTCATTGTCCTATACACTGATAACACAACGTCCGTTGATGGTGATAGTTTGAGAAAATTCCCATTACGTAGTCATGAGTCTAAGAACTTGCGGCTGAGAAACTGGCGACACTAGTTTCGAGTCGTACTGTACGCATTTATATGAAGATGGGACTCCGAAAGTGCCCAGGTGTATTTCATGGATTACCAAATGAGATGACCCGTTTCGCCCCAATATGCACAATTATTGGATAATAAGAGGACTGACTAGCGATCAAGTGTGAACTCCAATGTCCTTCCATTTATCTCAAATATCACGGAAACACAAACTAATCGACATTGGGCGCCACTAGATGCCGAGTCCGTCCCCAAAACTGTTTCTTTTCATGCGCCCCCTTCATCGAAGCCAATAGAGTATTGAACATATCGCTTCTAATCTGGTTAAAGAGCAGGGAAGTATTGTCATTTACGAGCCGAGGTTCTCACAAACGGGCTTTTACATCAGGTGTGTATTCCTCCTCGCGAGTATCTTTACTATGCGGAGTAATTCTAGTGTCGATCAACACGTTGCAGCCCCCTAAATGAGAATTAGTGGCTGTTGCAGGGGTTAGATGTGACATAGCCCCCAAGGTGCATAGGACCCCCAATCTTCGGTATCATTGTCCAATAACGAACGACGTTCACGAAGAATGAATACGATGCACAGTACCAATAGCGTCACAGAGACTGAGTGGTTCCGCGCAACTCTCCCGAATCTCTCTTAACCGCGATTCCACCTAATAATTTCTATGATTAGGCTTAACTTCTACTGCAATGTGCGAATCGTGATCATGATTTTTCCGAAGCTCGATCAAGCGATCGGCCTTGTTCGACGTATCGAGGTGAAAAATCTCCCAAATGTATGCTACAATGACTGCAGTAGGTTATACCTATCTAGCAGTGCGCTGGACACACGATTTGCCGACTAATCATCTACCTCGAATTCACAGGCGATGCCTTCCGGGAGATGCAGCTTTCGGGCAAAGAACCTGAAATCTGCGACTCGGATTCGGCCTTCATGACCAATGCCGGCAACTGCCAGATGTGCATTGGGAAAAACTCGAACGAAACTTATGAGGACACCATATTGCCCTTTTTTGGGGAAACACTTGATTACTGCAAGGGAATCACCTCAAATGAGAATAAAACGGCCAATATTGAGTCACTGCTTAGCCAAGAATCATCCCTACAAAGCCAGCTTGCTAGTCTCGGGTATTCCGTCTCCAGCACGGGGACCACCAATTCCTCGCCGGCGACAACGACCGACTCGGGAAATCAAGTAACGGTGTACCGGACGGCCGAGGCGCAGCCAGCCGCAGCCAGCTCGGGAAACGATTCAAACATTAGCACTATTGTCCCAGCCGTGGTGGTGCCCGTTGCTGTGATCGGAATGGTGGTGGTACTAGGCTTCTTTTTCGTCCGCCGCCGCCGAAATCGACAGAAGAGGTCGGCACATACCCATTCTTCCCCGCCACCTATAGAGAAAGCACAATTGCATGCAGATGAATTCAGGCCGGAGTTGGAGGGGACAAACACCCAGGGTATGCGGACGCTCGGTTTGCCCCCACTCGAACTGCCTGTGCAAAATGACGTTAGGCGTGAAGATGTGGCAAGAGAGCTGGAAGGCAAGTAGCGTGCAGATCTCAGTCGATATGTAATATTCCGCAAGCCCATGGCCCTGCAATAATATTGTTAGAGCAGGGGCTGTATAAAGCCATTCAAGGCCATGAATGGAGCTGATGCTAAGCTGTAAGGGTCAATGCTATACCATATCTTCATCCAATATTCGTTATTCAGATATGTAAGTCAAGTCAACAACAGAAAGACCACAATCATGCATGGGCTTGCTAGGATTGTCCAGATACGCCTTTCCCTAATAGTTAGTATAGCCTTGGAATGTTTTCACTGCTAATTCTCATGCATTTGAAACCTCCCAGCTGTGAATGATCAAACTATAGTTACCAGCATTGAGACCAAGAAGATTCATGAAAAGTTGGAAATGAGGGTAGAGCAAATACTTTAAACCTTCAATACTAATGCAGACAGCTGGTGGCCCACTCTCTGGAGTCTGGCCCGCGCAACCCTGTCTTTCAGCCGCGTCTACGCGTCGCTCCCCCAGCGAGCGAACAAATTACCTCCATCTCGCCAATCGCTTTTGATGCCACAGTGCTATCACCCTTGCATCCAGTACTAGAATGACTGATACTGAAACACCCAAACTGGACACGGCGGTCGTTGGTGACTTTGTGAAGAATGAGGACGAGGAACATGATGGCGAAGAGCTTGCTGAGCCATGGCATAGGTACAAAACAAACGGCGATTTGTATACAACGGGCGACCAACATGTCCTCTATCCTATTCAACTCGGGGAAATACTCAACGAGAGATACTTGGTTGAACATAAACTTGGACCCTTAACTTGTAAGACAAGAACAATGTGGCCCTCAAAGTCATGATGAGCCCTGAAGTATCGTTAGATATAGTTAGTCCACTTTGTTCATAGATTTCTTAATAGAGAATAAAGGGATCGTTTTAAATCAATCGGAGAATAGTAGCGCGGTTATTTTCTGATAGAATTAAGGGGTGACCGGAACGAATTCGACTCTTACCTTCGGTGCGAAGAGCTTCTTAGTCAAGGGTATACTAAACTATGGATTTCGATAAACCGAAGTGCTGACTAATCTTCGCGATTGAAGCGCTTAGCTAGGCCTAGCCGTAAACATGACCCCGGAGATATGGAGATAGCTCATTTCCCTTCACCCTATTTGAATTAATAGGGCGTAGAGGTGTTCCTGGAACCATGGGTGATTTTAAAAAACAGCGGGTTCAGAGAAAACGCGGTTCCAAAGTGAGCACAAACACTGTGGGTCTAGCCGTACGGAGACTTTTGCGGACTGTATCTGCGCCGACACTCCGGACACGATCCCTGAATTTGAATGGTTCGACTTTCGGAGTATCCACTAGACAAAAAAACGGTTTGATGTTTGCTTAGATCGCTTCCCTCCTCTCTTCCTCTCCTTTTCCTAACTTCTCTTCCCGCTCTGTCGCTGTCCATAGCTTCCCGAATCCATCTATTCTTCTGCTTCGTCCATCACTAGATGGAGAGATTTCATCGCATTTCCTTCAACCGCGCACCTCCCTATCTGACGAGAATGGCAAGCACGCTCTCTCTGGGCGCGCTGACGTTAGGTAGTGCCGGCATAGTCACCGCATACATCTGTAAACAATATCTCGATCGTTCTTGCCCAAGGATCCCCATCAGCAAAGTATCGCGATTGAGTGCATGTCGACAACTTGTGGACAGGGCATGCAACAGCTCCTCGGACGCAGACGTGCCAAAACCATGGGGGGCGGATAAGTCGGGCCTGTTATCCTCGTGGTCGGAAGCCAGCTCTGGGGACGGGAAAAGTCGTTGGCTGCCATCCTACGTTGCAGTTCAGGTGGATGTGCCGGTGGTGCTACTGGCATCCTACACAACTGAGACCAGTAAAGGCGGATTGGCCACAAACAACGACGAGTCACGCACCGCAGATGGCATGGCGCGAAACTTGGTCGCCGCCTTCCTCGACGCACGGTCGCGCGGCCCTGATGGATGGCTCATAGACAGAAACGTGCCGTCAAGGTCTTACATACCCGGAAGTCAATTGTTTGGAGACTCGACTGGTCTCTCTGCCTTTATGTTTGACAGCTGGAGCTCGAGATCGACAAGCTCAATCCAGCCTTCTGTTTTGCCTGTGGACGCACCCGTCCCGAGCTCCTTTCTTCCCTCCAACGAAGCACTTCTTGCATCCCAAGACTCATCTCAGCCCGAGTCAGCTGGTACAGTCATCTATTGGAAGTTCCCCCACGGCCTGGTCAATACATTTAACAATGCGGCATCTTACGGCTGGCCATGGCGAGTGATGGACGGTGGTTGGCAGGAGTTTGTCGTTGAGAAGACCTCGGAGGAGACGGCGAGAGTTACGTATCTCTCGGTGGAGTGCTCTGACGTGCATCCTGGTGGCCAAACAGCAAGAGATTTCAAAAGAATGCCGTGGCTCGTCTACGAAGTTCACGTCTTATACGCTCAGAGTCTTCTTCTTAGGGCCGTTCGACAGCTGAGGAAGACAGGCTCAGTGTGAAAAAATTAGATAGACACTTTTCAATATCGGATAGAAGGAACTCACAGCTCTCAAAATTACAATGTGCAAAATCTCAAGTTCAAACGCTAGGACACTCTCCAGGAATACCCTCTGATGGAACGATATATCATACAAGACCATGAAGCTAGACAAAAACTGGGTTTGGGTTGATTCCCCAGCATCTACGTTGTTTAAACGGAATATTTACCTAATATTAGAATAAGAGAAGCCTTTATCATGCAGTATCTTTCTCTACCACGTGATCGTATTTGGCTCCGGTAATTTAGAGTGTACCTTCATGGGAAAGATCGGCACCCGCATATAAGGCATGAATATGAGACGGATCAAGGCCTCCATAATCTCCAAATAGGCGATCATCTCATCGCTTGTACGCGCTAGTGGAAATGAAAACATGGAATAGTGCGGGCCGAGAGCGCGGTCCGCACTTCGGCCCGCACTTGCCGAGCTTGCGCCCCGAAGTTCGGAGACGACCTCGGGACCCGCCGCATGCGCGTCATTTGACTTTCCTTGCGAATACGCCATGACATAAAACGGCTTTATCTGTGGCCATGAGGAGAGTCTTACTAGTCAGGATAGCCCCCCCCTGCTTCCCAGCCTCCCAGCTCCGTATTGGAGCCCTAAACTCACGCCCGACGGATTTTCAAACAGCTTGCTACCAATATTTCTATATATGACTTGGGAATGCCAGATTGCTGCTGATTGGATTACATATACCAGGTTCACTAATAAATATTCCTGCACCAGCGGTCAAAGCCTGACCCTATACCTCCAGCAACTCAGTTCCACTCTGAAGGCCCGTTCTAACCTTATATTATTGAATCCGTGAAAATTGCAATCACAACTGGAGACTCGATTTGAATACTTTACGGTAATCTAATAACACCATATCGAGAATCAGCTGGGTTGTGGCAATTTTGGTTCCGTATTTGATACACAAGCTCAATATTTCTCCCCGTACAGTAGTTACGGCACTCTTCTGATGATTCTGCATAGCCACCGATTTGAGACAGACCAGCCACAATACTTATAAGTCTCGTAATACTTGTGATACGTGAGGTAAACATGGTTTCTGTAACATAACGTCATCGTATAGTGCTCCGCCTATTACGCCCCAGAGTCATAATACTTTCTCAATCTTGGTCTGTTCGGCCTCCTTGTCCACACTGGATACACAGTGCCAGCCTCTTATCTTCACTAATCCATGAGAAAGTGGGCTTGCTCTGCAGAGTCCCAGACACTGCATGTGACGGTGCCAAGTGGACACCCCTTTGTGTAGCGCCAAGTCAGTGTAAGACCTATGACTCCCAATTCAGAATTCAATCGCCCCTTCCCAATTCACATCCACTACCATAAATGATAACTAGTACTATTCACCACTTCATGCTATACCACCCAAAATTTGATTGTTAGCATGGTTGGCTATAGCGGGCCAGGGTCCATGCTTAGCGTCCAAAATAGTACCTAAGCACGCTATGTCGCTCAGACTGCCGTGTTCATGATCCAGGGTTTATCATACCACACGCCTTCTAAGTTTTTCAAAAAAGAAAAAGCTACTATTGTCTTATTCAATTATATTATTATTCTATAATAAAGCGTTGGGAATTCGATGGCAACCCTGAATTTCTATATATAAATATTATCTTCTAGGATGGTGATAACTAGTAACTACTTTTCGGCCTAGGTACCCAAGCTAGTTATACACCTAGAGGATCTCCCCCCCGTTATCGACTAATCCAGCCTCTAGAAGATTCCGCTAGAGCATATTTAGCCGCTACTAGAAGATAATTTCACAGAATACCTCGATTTTAAGAAGCCGGATATCTACATCAAGCGGCCCCGGCTCACTGGCTACGACAACTCAGGATTACTTAGCTTATACCTGCTCTAAGAAGCTCAAATCTGTCAGATTTTGATGAGAAATCCACATGAAAACGTCGCCGGTTATCTTTATTCAAAAAATGAATAGGTACTCCCTGGACAGCCTCAATATATCAATTAGGTATCTTAGCCATTTAATGGAGAGGGCGCTGCGTTGAGTCGGAGTTCGTTTGGAGGTGCGAATAAGACTGTTTTTTTTCTGCTTAGAAAGCCCAGAGACCCATATTCCTGGCAGAATGAAGTTTCTCTTTTTTGAAGAGAGACTTCGTAAGGTCACCCGACTTTATCTAGTGATACAAATGCCTTGAGCATCCCATAGGAACGAAGCAACTGGCTTTCTCATTTATCGCGAAATAATATGACGAGCATCAATCTACTTGGATAAATAAAAAGGCATCATTGAAGAAGGAAATATTTCAACTAACTCAAGTTATGCTACACAATAAGCTGCTGCACGAAGCTTACGAATTGAATATATCTTGACGATAAAAAAGTATATAAGATAGAAAGTCTAAAGACACTTGTTGATTGAGACCACCCCTTCTATTCCTCCTCTTAAAAGGAGAGAGATTGTGAATGACTAAATATGGATAGTCGGATGTGCTTTGATTGAAATGGCCAATTGACATGGTTGGTGGAGATGGGCAAGCACCTTAAAGATCAAATTCTGACCACAATAGTAAATGGGTTTGAGAGACTCCTTTGTTAGATACACGATGAAATCTCTTCCTGACAAGTAGGCTTCTCTGGAGATCGTCCTGCGGAGCTATTGTAGGTGTAAACCGCCTCTTGGATTCCTCTTAGGGTTCGAAGCATTGTGGGTGGTCGCATGTGGATGGTTGGTTGAAGTGGTGGTTCACAAATCTGTCAATTGTGCCGATTTTGCTGGAGCCGCGAAGCCCGCCACGGTCAGATTGGTTGTAGTTGATCGAAGTGGTGATCGGAGTGGGTAATTGGAGTGGTAATCGAAGACATCGCCGAAGTGGTGATTGAGGTGGATATTGAGCCAGTCTGCCAATTGTCCTGAAGCTATAAAGCCCGCCATGGTCAGACTGGCAATCGAAAATATGGTCGAAGTGGTGATCGGAGTGGTAATCGAAGAGGTGGCTGACCAGTCTGCCAATTGTCCTGAAGCTGTGAAGCCCGCCATGGTCAGACTGGTAATCGAAGACATGGTCGAAGTTGTGAGTGGAGTGGGTAATCGAAGTGGTGAGCGGAGTGGTAATCGAAGAGGTGGCTGACCAGTCTGCCAATTGTCCTGAAGCTGTGAAGCCCGCCATGGTCAGACTAGTCAAAGTGGGTGATCGGAGTGGTGGTCGAAGTGGTAATCGAAGACATGGTCGAAGTGGTGAGCGGAGTGGTAATTGAAGGTGGTTGACCAGCCTGCCAATTGTCCTGAAGCTGTGAAGCCCGCCATGGTCAGACTAGTCAAAGTGGGTAATCGAAGTGGTGATCGGAGTGGTAATCGGAGTGGTGATTGGATAGGTGGTTGACCAGCCTGCCGATTGTCCTGAAGCCGAAGCCCGCCACGGTCAGACTAGTCAAAGTGGGTAATCGAAGTGGTGATTGGATAGGTGGTTGACCAGCCTGCCCGATTGTGCTGAAGCCGAAGCCCGCCACGGTCAGACTAGTCAAAGTGGGTAATCGAAGTGGTAATCGAAGTGGTAATCGAAGTGGTGATTGGATAGGTGGTTGACCAGCCTGCCGATTGTCCTGAAGCCGAAGCCCGCCACGGTCAGACTGGAAGTGGATGATTGATGTGAATTGGATTGACTCGATGATTGACTGGATGGATGACTGGATGATTGACTGGATGATTGACTGGATGGATGGATGGATGACTGGATGGATGATTGACTGGATGATTGACTGGATGGATGGATGGATGACTGGATGGATGATTGACTGGATGATTGACTGGATGGATGGATGGATGACTGGATGGATGATTGACTGGATGATTGACTGGATGGATGGATGGATGACTGGATGGATGATTGACTGGATGATTGACTGGATGGATGGATGATTGACTGGATGGATGACTGGATGGATGACTGGATGACTGGATGACTGGATGGATGGATGGATGGATGGATGGATGGATGGATGGATGGATGGATGGATGGATGGTCTTGAATGAGGTTGATGTTTCAAGTGGATTGGGTGGTTGAAATGGATCGAAGTGTTGATTGAAATTAATCAAGTCTTTTTTCTTTTTTTTCTTTTCTTTTCTTTTCTTTTCTTTCTTTCTTTTTCTTTTTTTTTTTTTTTTTTTTTTTTTTTTTTCTTTTTTTTCTTTTTCTTTCTTTTTCTTTTTTCTTTTCTCTTCTTTCTTTGTTTTTCCTGTTATTGCTAGTCAGCCCAATGTCCTGTTGATCAAGTCATAGAATATGATGAGATAAGATGAGAGTAGACATACAATATAATAAAAGGAAACAATAATCAGAAGATATAATGTTGTAGAGTGGAAGATCCAAGACACAAGTAGCATGTGGTTGAGTTGCCTAAACAATAAATGTAAGTATATGGAAGCAGTTAAAAACGAAGACAGAGGCAGGGGGAACATACAGGTCATGTGATGGATGATGAGCATGACAGGTGCCAGACACATGGAAGGAAATCCTTGTTTTATGGTTGAATTATCTGAAGGATGATGGTAAGTATAGGAAGGAACAAGAAAAGGAAATGACAAAATTCAAAAAGGTTCATGGACAGAACATACAACTCTGGAAGTCAGACAAGAAACAATGAGCATGACAGATCCTATTTAGGAAGCCACGTTGGAAGGAGATATAATGTGGTTGAGTTGTCTGAAAGATAAATGTAAGGAAAGAACAAGCAAGTCGGAACTGGATGGCATAACTGACCAGACATGTGATGAATGTGGACGTGACAAAAGCCAACACGTCACGGGCACGGTGATAGCAAACATTATCTCATCAGATGTGGATTTAAAAAGATAGAAGTGATGAGGCTTAAGCTGATGATGGAAGGCATCAGTTGATGATGGAAGACTTGATGAAAAGTATAGGTTGGATGAAGTATTTGATGAAATGTTTGATGGAATGTTTTTTTAGTGTAATGAGAATGTGGGGAGATGAAAAGGGAAGAAAAAAAAAAGAGAGAAGGAGGGGGGAGAGGGGGTATTTATACCCCAGGGGTCCAGAAGCAGTTACCTGGGTAGGTGACGGGGGGTGTCCTTCAGGTGACACCCCATTTTGCAACTTCCCCTCTTCAACTATCTGCCCTGTAAGTCTAGATCGCTTCTCATAAAACCTAAGGCAGTAGCATAGGCCTGAATGGTCTCTATAATCGCAAATAGAAGGCGAGACCGTGTATGCACTCCATAGTGTTACGCCACTAGATAATATCATTGCCTGTCTCACACGTCAACCTAGATGAATTTATTGTATTCCAGCTCTGATTCTACCTAGCTAAATCTCACGAAAACGCAATACTGTTGATCGAAGATATAGGTCATTGAGGTGCGGTAAGATCTATAGATCATTAAGGTTACACGCTAAACTGTATTTGGATCCACCGATGCGTGCACGGTCCTAGTGTCATGCAGTGTATAGCCTTGGCATTTGATGCACATCTCATGCGGAGTACAAGATTCCTAACTACTATGATCATCTTACGCTGAGCTACTCGTTATCTACCTATGGCTCCTTTTCATTAGCCTTCTTGGAGTGTGATCTGCTAGTCCGACATGCAGCCACCAGTCTCGACCGTCCAACCATCGGATACAGAGCCGAATCGCCTCTCCTCGAAACAATTCGTTGTTAAGTTAGACTTTGTGGAAGTCATGAGGATACTACATGGTCCGGGTAATGAATAAAGCCTCCAACGACACCATGCATCTCACCGAGATGGGCTGTGGATGGGGTGTACCCAGTCTCGGATACAGGAACAACAGGGGCCGAGGACATGGGATCAACACTGTTTGAGCTCTCTCCATAGCCTTTACTGCAATAATATCCTAGAGGACTAGATGGTGCTATCACCTTGAAGTCCGATACTAAGGAGCAATGAAGGGTAGTATACAAGGGAAACTATCTACGATGTTTGATCTTTGATAGGTGCTAAGTAAGCTTAAAGTATCAGGTCCAGGAGTAACATAAGTCAATCAGAAATTTCTATCTGCATTTTGGTAACATTGAGTCCCTCTAACTATCGCTCGAAGCATAACAGTAGACCGAATAAAGAGAGTATGGACACCAATAGTGGATGCTTATGGATTTCCCAGGACCTAGAAAACCCGCAGAGTCAAAAACCTGACAAGCATTTATCGAGGTAAATGGTTGCACCATGGAAAGTGTTCATCGAAGATCGTGAAACAGCGAGGAAAACGCGCAACAAGGTGAGAGACCTGGGATACTCCCGCATACTCACTGATGGAAGTAGAGATACCGGGCATATCGGCGCTGCAGTCATGATAGACATATTGAGTGTCAAAAGAAAGTGCCAGATGGGTGACATCGACATGTGTACCGTGAATAAACCAAGCCTAGAGATGCGGAAATGGACCTAGAGCTGACCTAGGAAGGCTGGCACCGGACACCGGAGAGGACGAATGGACGAGACGGCGTCGAGGAAAACGGGAAGGAAGTCGAGAAAATTGGAGGATTTATCAGGCAAGCAGACACTATAGTACTTGGAAGGTTAGAGAAAAGCCACATCTTCAGTCACGACACAGACGCCAGTGGGCGGGCCCGGATTGGAAAGGGGGGATCTCATCATGTTACATTCGCATCTGTTATATCAAGAGGGTAGACTTCACGAAACTCCTTGGAGAGCGGGGAGATCGTGGCTTTGATGCTCCGAGGTCCACGAGGGCGAGGATCCCAGCAGATGGACGAAGGCAAAGGGGCATATAGAGGGATGCGGGCCAGAATTCAGGGCGTGGAGGGACCCTAGACACGGCGTTGCCGATATAGCCATACCTAGACTAGGTCTATCCGATGAAGGCAAGTCCAGCCACAACTCCATAGCGCTAAGTGGCATGATAAAATGACAACAGAGATTATCGGTTGAGTTCTCAGGAGGAAGGAATAATAAACTTTTATCTAAAGCCTTTGGGGGCTACTTAGAGACCATAGAACATGAATATGCAGCTGATCAGTAGAGATATAGAGTCTATAAAAGAAGGAGGAAGAGAGGAAGAACCTCAGATATGGAAGAAGCATTTGTGCTAAAAAGTCCCACAGGTATAGCGTATCAAGCGAAACCACTTCCCCATGTTTTAGGCTTCCCACAAGGTATCATAGGCTGTGGTAAATGCTGAGGTTTGTCGCGTGTGTTGAGAAAGGTGCGTGTGGAAATGCAGTCTTCGGTCGAACCAAAAAGCGTGGTATGATCGTACAGGATAACCGACCAAAACTAAGTGTCGTAAAGTGTTGGCAGCCTACCAAAGGCTGTTTGACTATAGTTCGAAGTCGTCGGTACAGGCGAGAGTTAGAACGAGCTCGGAGAGCCAGGGCTCTTTGAAATCGGAGGAAGGTATTGCTGTGAGGGTGAAAAAGAAGGGATGGGATTCTGGAGGTTGAGCAACCTAGGTGCACAAGAGAGTGTGGAATGCCCAAGAACATGGGTTAGCCTGGCGAGAAGACACGGTATGCTCCGTTGATGAGTAATGGGGAAGAGGCTCGCAAAATCGATGGATAGCTGGGCAGGAGACTGGTCTGTTCTCGCAGAATTGCCGTGGCGACAGCGAGGTATGTGTGCGGGATTCAGTGTGACGATTCGGAAGGGACACCAATGCACAAAGTTGGGCTCACAGCCTCCTCGGGAGCTAGTCAGGTAACATAGAACATAGAAATGTGCTCTGGTTACTTGATAGCTATCCAAGCTATAGAAAGAGAGACCAAGAGATTGGGCTATAGGAGAAAAACTGGCAGACAGCTTTAGTCAACCGCAGATTTGCAGTTTGTGATCCGTCAATAACGCTCTTTGTTCTCAACCGCTGACAATCTCGCCAGATCGACGTCGCGGGCGCCGTGACCAAGATGTTCCCATCTGTGGTGGCTACGCTTGGATATTCTCACAACAAGACCTATGGGTTAACTGCAGTCAGTTACTCTCACGTTACTCTCACGAAATACCCAACAATATGCCTTCCTGAAGCTAATTATATGCAGCCGCCGTATGTCCTCTGTGTAGTTGGGATGATCTTGAATGGATTTCACTCCGACAAGGTACAATCCTTCGTGGCGCTATCAGATATAAGTGACTGATAATTTTTCAGAAACAAGAGCGCTACTGGCACACTGTATGTCCGATGGCTATATGCGTTGTGGCTAACGTCATAGCTGTCGCTACATTGAACACGTCCGCACGCTGTAAGTAAAATTTAGGTCTTGAATGGGTAATAGAAATACAAGGGCCCAACGACGCGGATCTAGACGTTGCGATGATGCTGATGCCGGGATATTTCTACGGGCCAGCCGTTGTCGTTTTTTCTTGGGTTACCGGAACACTGTCGCAGCCCTCCATCAAGCGTGCCTCCGCAATTGCTTTGATCAAGGCAATCTGCAACACTCCAAATGGTATTTCTGGATTTTTTTTGGCCAACTGGCTCTCTGGCTGACGTGCAACTCATAGTGCGGGCCTCATCTCTCTATTATTCCAAGCCACGGTATCTGACCGCATTCTTGGTCAATCTTGCCGCATCTGTTTTGGCTATAGTTCTCGCAACTGCGACATATATCTACCTACAGCGCCATAATAATAAGGCTGGTCACGGCTTCTACACAGGGCGAAAAGGCCCAACTCTAGCCCAGATTGCTGCTGGCTTCCGCTATGTGATCTAAAACCTGATATCTGATTTGGCACGGACCGCATACTAGGATTTATAGGAATCTTTCTCATCCAATAGGCATTTATTTTGCTCTTCAGATGCTGTATCTTGAACAAATTCTACACTTGTTTGTCATTATCTGGGCCCATTTGGGACTTCTGTCCCTCCTCTCGCAAGCCCACATCTTGTTTCTGCAACTGACTTGACGCTGATTCGGAGGGTTCATGAAAGTTTCCTTCGGCTGACCTCTCAAGTTGCTTCTCTTCTCGTCTCCAAAGAGCCGACAGAAGGCGTTCCAGACGATTCGGTTTAACTTCAATGTCGTGCTCTTGTTGCTCGCTGTTGGCGTTTCTGCTTGGAAATTCTTTGAGTTGCCTCCATATCTCTCCCAGGACATGTTTAAACAGATGGGAATTGAAAGCCAGCCATACAAAGAATGTTGACACGCCAAGGGAGACACCAACTGGTACAAGTTAGATACGACTGACTAAGTATGAGGCGATCTTGAAATTTATGGCAAAACTCACAAATAATAGGAAAGATCCAACGCCCCTCGAAGGCAACGTTATCTCCTTGATGAGGGAAATCGCTCACATTCAATGCAAACAGACTTGTCAGGAAGGAAGCTGGTAGCTACATGCAAGGAATTGTCAGATGAATAGGATACTTGGATTTCAATGGCAATGACGAGGGATACTCACAAAGACGATGGTGACTACCGTGAAAACCATAACAGTGTCACTTTGCTGACGAGTCGCTCGGGCTTCCAGAATAGTCGCCTGTTTCTGCTTGAGGTCCAGAAGGGTGTTGATGCCTTCTTCTACGCTTTTAGCCTCCTGAATCATATTTTCTAGGTCATCCTTTGTCTCCTTGATCGTATGCCGTCGACCTATCTGGACATCCACGATCTTTTTCCAAAGGCCGTTAACATGCTCTTGGCCATTGACCAGCTCTTTGAGGATTCGAAGTTCGTCCGAGATATCTTTTATCTCTCTCAAAAGTCTGGTTTCGTTTTGGATGTTCTGGTATCGGTTCTCCAACGCGTGAGTCTGCAAAGAGGTCCACCATTCTCGAAGTCTTGTTACCATTGGCTTTGGGCTCCGGTCTTGGGCTGTTGGCGAAGTTGTGTCGTTTAATCCTGCGCCTGAGTCGGAATTCTGGCCAGCCTTTTCGCCCAAGGAGTTCTCAAACTCGACAAACAAACTCGCTTCTTCGTTACGCTTCCTAATCGTCAGCTTGGGATGAACTATCGCTAGAGTCAAAATATATCACCTACCACGCTTTGTAGAGACTCCCGAAAAATATCCATGGGGGATCGTTTCTGTTTGCCAGTTTCATCCAGCCTGACTTTAACATCGTAGAAAGAAGTGGTTGCTGTGTCGACAATCATCTCAACGATTTGGGAGAGCAAGAGCTCTGGGACACTCTTTTGGGCTTGGATACGGAGCAGAGCCTGGTCGAAAAAGCTCTCTCGTACTTCGGAATCGTTCATTGTAGCAGTGGTGATGATGGTCTCTGAGAGGAACGTCAACAATATTGCGCAGACAGTCATTTGCTTAGCTGAAATAAACGCATACTCACTTTCATCAACAACCCAGAGCCATAGCTGGTTTACCACGAGTATTTGGTTGGATATATTCCACGAAGCATTTCTCACAGCGGGATCGTTCGAGGACATGTCGCCAGACTCCTCGGCCTTTGGAGCCTTGGGGCCTTTCTTGTCTTCTCCTTCCCCACGGCCCCCATCTTGATCCTCAGCTCCATCGTTTGCCTGTGTAGTTTGTGCTTTTTTATTTCTCCCAAACCCTCTGAACTTTCTCATTGAAGTCCCGGGAGTTGTGCTTCTGCTCGTACTTGAGCCTTCAGGGGTGTGTTCTGATATGGCTTGCCTTTGGAGATACCGTGTCATGACCTGATCTGTGTTTCTCTTGTGTAACTCATCGGCCTGAAGGCTCGCATAATAATATTGATCGAGGCTGACGGCACCGTGACTGATGGGTGTTTGGTAGAACTTTGATTGCCCATCGACAGCAACGTCCAGACCTGCTCCATAATCATGGAAATTCTCTTTCCTGGGTTGAAGCTCAGTCGTGAGAAAGTCTCTTGTAGACCAGGAAAGAAATGGAACCTTTCAACAACTTCTCTCAGCATATTAATATTTTGGAGGGAGCGACAACATACATATAGAGCGATTCTCCCCAGCTCTTTTGCTGCATCATCTGTCCGCTTCTCGGGTTTGGCAATATCACTCTGAATAGGTTGAGGCTTTGAGTATGGCTCTTTCTGGTTCAGTTTTAGTGGGATGAGGCTAAAAATCTTCAAGAAATCATAAACGTACCACGCAATTTGGTCTCATGCAGTGACTGCCTCCTCCCACAGGTAGCTGTGACCAGCTTTGCTTCACGAATGCAATCAAGGTCTGGTGGGAATTCGGTTGCTCTTTGTAGTAGAAGAGGCGATTCATCAACTCCTGCATTTTATGAGTACAGAGCCCTATTTTCAACATCGGACATTGAGGTTCTTACTGCTGCGGCGTCCAGCTGAGCCCACATCGTGTCCTGTCTTAGCCAATGTGAAACCTCCTAGGTCTTGACCTAGAGCCACTTACATCATTTACTGGGATATGGATCCACCGATAACTTCCCTGAGGTCTCGAATTCGGGTGTTCTTGCGAATCGCCTGTACGGAGCGGGTCCAGGGTCTTCTCTTTGTTGGGTCCAGACTTCTTCTCTTCTGGTGTAATAGTCGCAGTCTGCGAAGCAACAGCTCCATCAGCAAGACCCGAATGCTGCTTAGTGTCAGGGTTGCGCTTTTCCTTGGGCTTTTGTCTCCCGTCACTTTTTTCCGTGGTATAGATACGGTCCCTCAATGATTTCAGACTTTCGATGCTTTTTTTATCCATTATCTCATTTGGCCCGTCGTAGATGATTTTTCGAAGAGGGGCCCGCTTGGGTTGAACTCCAATGCCATGATTTTCTGTGATAAAAACATCTACAATGGTTCCCTCCTGATTGCTGAGATTTCCAAGTCGATCTCGCTTGCGAAATTCCGCAAGAGTTCTGGGTAATGACGAGGTTGGAAGTGGCTGTACTATTGGTGGGGGTGTGATGAGAAGCTCACCAATGGTGTCATTGATCTTTTCCTTGTGGTTGAACCACTTACCATGTGGTCTGTTGTACTCACTCAAACCTGTGTCAGAATTGTGATCATATATACCACTGGAAAGTAGACACCACAAGGCCTGTGGAAATTGATAATAAACCACCAATTGCAGGATGGTCCATTCTCCGGTCATGGAAGACTTCTTGGCTTCGAGGCTTCCCTCCCAGTAAGGCTCTCCATGTATGTCCTGCAAGAGCGCGAGGAGATATTCTAAGGGTTTGAGCTCTCCCGTGCCCCGTATATGGCTTCTAGCTGCCTGCTCCATCAGTCGATCTGTTGTTTCACTGAACAATCTTAGTTCTTCTATAATTGCAGGACGCATGTTTTCGCTGCACAGTTTGCGCCACAGCAATTCCCGTGAGCTCGACTCTTTTCCAGGACGCTCTTCTGCAGCTGTGATGGAAAGCAATGTTTCTTTCTCTGCTGTCACCTGAATGATGGCCTGCAGTGCCACTTCTGGATCAAGTCGGTTGAGAAATTTTCCTAACAAGGAGTAATGATTCCTCTTGGCAGCCAAGTAAGCCGGCGTGATGCCTTTCTTGGTCTTATACAGCATGCACTTAGGCCACTCAAATTTCTTTTGCAATACTTCGGTATTATTACCAAGCGCAGCTACATGGGCCCATGTTGACCCATCCTGCCTCTTCAGGATGGGCAGCTTGCCTTTCGTCAGAAGTGCGCTCAAAAGATCCTGGTGACTGTTCAAAATGGCCCAGTATGCAATTGCGTCGACATGCTCTTGAATCTGTGCAGATGTGTTTTCTGTGACCCAGGATACCAGCCAATCCGCGACTTTTTCTCTTTCTTGCTCGGAAGCAATGTGCACTTCTTCTTCTGACGGGTGCTTTGGAAAGTAAAATTGCGTTTTCAACAACTTGAAGGCAACATCCCAATTCTCAAAGATAATGGCATCATTCAAAGGCGTGTCACCGAAATTATCCTCAGCCGCAATCCATGTCTCTTCCGAATTATCCGAGAGCCATTTAAGGACTAGGTCGACCTTGTTCAAGTCTCCGGAGCGAGCCGCAAGATGCAAAGGGGTTTCATTGTCATCGCTCGTTGTGGTTGGTTTTGCCCCTTCATTCAACAGCCTTTGGACGATGTATAAACTAGACTGGCGGCATGCAGACTGCAGCGCAGTCCTGCCATCATTGTCTCGTACATCGATATTTGCTTTGTTCTCCAACAAAAGGCTGATTACATTTTCGTCTCCTTTCCGAAATGCGATGACGAGAGCAGTCTCATTTTCTGTGTTCTTTTCATTGATGAGTCCGGGCTTTCTCTTCAGAAGACATTCCACGGTCTTGAGAAGTCCACTCTCAGTGGCGGAATGAAATAAGGTTGAACCCTGCCCATCTTTGATGCTGAGATCAGCATTTTTGGTCAAAAGAAAGCGAACAACATCTTCCTGTTTGTTTTTGATCGCGATAAAAAGTAAATCATCCCCTGATTCGTTCTTCCTTTTTGACAACTGCTTGGATTTCGATAAGATATCCTTCATGAGGTCCAGAGATCCCTTACTGGCGGCAATCATGAGGACAGCAAACTTTTCATTTTCACCGTAGCTTTCACTGCGGCTTGCTGCAACCTTGACAAGACTGTCAACAACCCTGCTCTGTCCCTCGTTGGCTGCAACCACGAGTGCTGTTTGACCCAAGTTGTTTCGCTTGTCACAAAGGCTTGGCATAAAGTCGAGAAGCCATTGAACAAGTTCAAGGTCTCCGTTCTTGGCAGCGTAGTGTAAGATAGTCCATTGCTTGTCATCCTGTGTCTCAACATTTGCGCCACATTCCAGCAAGGTGGCAAGAGCATCATGATTTCCATTTTCTGCTGCAATGAGAAGCGGTGTTTTTTTAAAGTTGTCCATCTCATCTATCAGAGGCATTTTCCTATCCAAGATTGAATTGATTATTCCACAGTTGCCGCTTCTCGCGGCAAAGTGAAGAGCAGTCTCCCCATCATCGCTGCGAATTTCGAGATTTCCACCGGCTTCGAGTAGAGTATCGAACATCCCAGGATTTTCTTTCTCTGCTGCAACAAAAAGTGCCTTAACCTTTAAATCATCTTGAACCCCCGAGAGACCCTTTTGCTTCCTTATCAGAGCCTCGAACAATGACAGATCTCCATTCTCGAGAGCAATGTTGAGGGCCGTTCTTCCGTCAACATGTCTAGCATTAATGTCTGCACCAGCATCAATTAGAAGAACCGCAATGTCATAGTACTTGTTCACAGTAGCAGTAAGCAAAGGGGTTTCGTTGGACTCGTTTTTGATTTCAAGGGATGCATCTTTCCTATTTTCGATGAGGATGCGAGCAAGCCCAGCATTCCCATTCTTGGACGCAATGTGAAGTGCGGTGTCTTCGTTGGTGTCTTGGTGTTTAATGTTTGCTCCGCCCTGGATCAAGGCTTGGGCAGCTTTAGCTTGGCCCTTTTTGGCTGCAATCAGCAAAGGCGTTTGGCCAAAATCATCAGGGCTTTCAAGTACAACAGAACTGATTTCAAGAATGTAATTGATCATTTTCACATTGCCCCGCCAAGACGCGATGTGAAGGACTGTAAGCCCGGTTTGATCCTGATCATCCACATTTCCAACCTTTGCTCCTATGAGATATTTAACGATCTCGAGCTGGTCGCTCCAAGCCGCACACAAAACCCCAGTTCTTCCATTTCCATCCCTTTCCCCAAAGACCTCTATTCCACAGGCGATGAGCCTCTTTACGATGGAAAGATAGCCAGCAAAGCAAGCTATAGTAAAAGCCGAGTCGCCATCTTCATCTTTTTGTGTTGCGACGGCCGAGTTCCCAAGAAGAAATTCAATGATAGACAACTTTCCGAATAAAGCGGCCCTCATGAGCGCATTTTGCTTTTGCTTGTTTGTCGTTGTCAGAACGAATTCCCTTTTCCTAGAGAAGAACAGCTGCAATATCTCCAGGTATCCCCCATCAATGGCAAGGAAGAAAGCGGGCGAGCCTCCAGAGGTTGTGGTGGCTTCCTCGTCCGCGCCGCGTTCCAGAAGCATACAAACCATGGCATAGTGTCCCAAGCCAGCGGATAGCATCAGAGGAGTCAACCCCTTTGCTTCTGCACTTCCATCATCAAATTGGTAGGAGAATCTCGCCTCAAGGGCGTCGGGATACTCTTTTAGTGTGCTTTCTAGAGCCTTCTCATCGCCAGCGACTATCTGATCTTTGATTATTTGACCCCAGTCGATGGAGTCATTTTCTGTGCTTTCTTTCGAGCCAGTGGATGAGACTAAATCGGGTTTATCTGGCAAATCAACCTAAATTCTGCATTATAGGAAGGAAAAAACATACCTTCCTGCGCATCTGACATTTTGACAATATATCGATGCCTCTTCGGCTCTTAGTTCTGGCTTCTTGATGTGTGAAACCCCGAATGGATGAGAGAAAATGGATAGATTAGAGAGGTTGACAGGGGAATCAAGTACGGAGTAGAGGAAGCCGGCTCCATCCCAACTTTCAAAACCCATGTGTGCCCATTCATGGAACTTGCATATTACGCGCTGGTGGGAGCTAGCCAGCCACCGGCTAGTGATATGCTTTCGTGACAGAAGTACAAGCATCTTGGCCCCGACCCACTATTTAGGTATACATCGGGTCATGACTCAGTGTTGTCTTCTTAGCATGAATTATATTGGGCAGAACAGATTGTGGCAGAGAATTATTGGCCTTGGAAATATCTTGCTAGCGGAGATATCTAGGTATTAGCAAACGATCCATGGATATGGTATCAGAATGCAGACTTCAAGCTTATAGTGTACGAGCTCCTCTAGTTGAAGGATCGTACATAATACAAAAAGAAGTCTATCTTGGTGCTGGATAGCAGGTAGCGGCGAGTTAGAGGCTGTAGCTCAAATCTGACAAACATCTTAGTCAATGTGATAGCTTACAGGTGCTCATTCCCATAATTGGAGGATGTTTGAAGGCTGCACGACCTTATAAGTGGAAAGCCTTTAGGTGGCTTTTCAATGCATGAACATACAGGCAGGTGTGAGTTCAGCTGAGGGGTAAATATGGGGCGATTTTGTATGGGCATGCTGATTGAGCTCTATGACGTTTTCAGCTGCATGATTGTAAGGCTGTCACAAAAAGCAATCATAGAGATTTCACTGTGAAGTTTCTGGTGTCCACATTCGAATAACTTGTGCATGCTCCTCGAATATTTCTGGCTGCTGTACTCCCACGTGGACAAGGGTAAGAAAGCATCAGGGCACGGCTTAACGTCAATCTCTTTATGCGGACTGCCAGGGTTAGAAACCTCCGCTCCTCTTCCATACCCTCTTCGGGTGAGCGTCCGCCGTGGGGTTGGTGGATGAGCAGGGGTCTCTATACAACCACGCACGGGCACACACGAAGGCCGCAAACGCTAAACCAGAAGGGCCGAAACTAAATTAAATCGAGACTCCACCGTAGCGGTCCGATATGGTGTGATTCAGAGGGACAACGGAAAGATCAGGGTTATGTATAGTTTTATGGGGGATACTCGTGGTGATTCCGTATAGGCAGATTCATAGGATTAGAGATTCCCCCCACCCCCCCAACTGGCAGTGAGGCAATCAATCTGCTTCTGCTGCGCATCCTGAGATGCGAGTATCCTCTCCAGTTCTTGCCTCACGGATTCGATATCAGCAGTCATATCTGGTGGAGACGACTGCATCTATCAGAGGTAGAGCTCTTAAAGTCAGAAGCGGCGGAGTGGATCTTTTGGAGCGCGCATCTAGAACATTGACCATAAGGATCGTGGCAATGGCTCCGAGTATAGGCCCGAGCCAAGTACTGATGGCCGTGGGAAGCTCAACTTGAGCGTCACCCCGACAATTTGGGTCCGACATAAATGTATTGCTAACAAGAATTACACAAATGTGTTGTCAACAAGTTTCAGATAATGCAGGCAAACAAAGAAAGAAATAAATAAAAAGGAGAGTGGAGGGGGGCGTTTTCATGGGAGTTGGCTTTCCCATTTCAGAAGTATCACGACAGGGAAGGAACGAACGCGGGTGAGCTTCACAGTGATAATATTCCTGGGGACTAAGCGAACACTGGACACCTTAACTTGCTTTTCTCAGAGGAGAATCAGAGAATGATACAGCGAGAAGGACCTGTCTTTGCTTCTGCTTGTCCATGCAATATGTAGATTCCACCGTGCACTGGAGTCATCACTGTTTGATATGTCTTCCCTTCTAGCAAAGAGACATTCCGGTAATACATCTCATCCTCGGACAAAGCATTTGGAGACCTGGCCTGAACAGAGTCCTTCTCGAACCGTAGACGAGAGTCCACTATTTCGTGTTTTGCTGAAAACGACTCAGGCACATTATCAAGACGATACTTCCATTGGGGATCTTCTATACTTAGACCCGGTCCTAGGTCCATCCATAGGGTAAGAGGGAGTGTTGCATGAGTTTTATCCAGGGCTCGAATTTCCAACTGCCAAGAGGTATTACATTTATCACAACTCCCTTGGTCGGCTAGGACTTTGGGGCTTGTGGTAGAGCAATAACGCCTAATTTGAGAGGCCAGGACGTCGCTGAAGCCCGGGTCAAAAGTGTGGATATGCTTGCAGACTTTCATAGAACCGTTTTCGCGGCATGGCCACATCCGTGGCATATCTTGTCGTGCGACTACCACTATATCTTGCGTCCGCATACATAGAGCCGGGGGCGTAGAGCAAATTCGAGCTTCAGCAGAGAATAGCGTCATCATATCTTTTGGGGTATCTCCTTCTGATACCTTGTTGGTAGGGGGCTGTAGTAAGGGCGGGCCATTGAATCTGAATCGGTTCGCTTTTATCTCTGTGTAGAGCAATGACTCAACGGGGATTCCGAATTCCGGTCCATAGTAAAATCTTCTCATAGCAAGCTGTAGATGCACGAAGTGGAATTTGTAAAAGGTGTATGATGGGTGGTGAGCGAGGGGTAGATGTCTTATAAGGTACCAATTGGTATAATCCAAGGCATCTATGCGGTGGTTGACCATGGGAAAATAGTAGCTTGGCAGCCCAGCCTTTTTCCACAAATGAAGTCGAAGGCAAATAAAGCAGAGATTGTACTGTGGTAGGTCGCAAGAAAGCCGAGATAATAGCTCGATACGTGCGTCATCCGTGGGGTTTCCGGTGCGGCAGTTGGAGAAGTTCTTAAAAGCCGTCGCAGCAAATGAACGCAGCAGATGACGATTCCCCAAAGCGAGACAAGCAAGGTCAACTGGTGATATGTACTCAGAGATCATACATAATAGCTCAAGTGGGAGGTCGGTTAAGGCTGTTGGGTTTTGCATGGTGGTCATCCTGGTTGCCAAGGGTATCTACCGCAAGCTATCACTTCACTTGATATCCGAAATGTCGCACAGGCGCTTAGCATTGACGCCAATAGAGGTAAAAGAAGCAAAGTTGACCACTGGTCTCGTCCCGATGGGAAAAGAATGTTGAGCGCAGAAGGAGAAGGGAGGAGAAAGAGAGAGAGAAGAGTAAGGATCCAAGTCAAACAATCGTTACCGCTCTGAGAGGCGATGGTTTTAACGTGGCATTGAAACGATTATCCCGTTTGACCCCTGACATCAAATCACATTGTCTATCCATGAATACTTCATAAGGAAAGGTGTATGACGGGGCCGGATGGGATGTCCCAGTTTTGACCTGATTCATGCCTTATTGCTTGTTATTTGGCGGGCAGAAAATGAAGATGCTACCTGAATTACCCTTACAACTCGAATAAGCAATGTACCCTCCTGGTGTCATTTCCTCAAGTCATATCCCGAAACTTTTGTCCAATTTGCATATTATCTTTTCTCTAGCCTGATGCCTGTTCTGTTCTATGCCACCATCGTCTTGGATATCAAGAGTATCCGTATTATCGGGACTGTATTCAGGGAGACCAAGCTGATATTGACCTCCGTTTTGGAGGTTGATCTTTGTAGGCAATGTAAATCGCGGGCTCTGAAGTGTTTTTTTCTCAGAGTATTTTATAGGGTTTAGCACCTCATGTTACAATACGCCGTATTAAGTGGTGTACATTCCGGTGTTGAATCCGTCTATAGTCATCATCAGGTTGTCAGAAAAGCGTCATTTTCAGAGATAGAGAATTCATCCATTTTTACCTTCTATACAATACACATCAATACAGACATTATTCTGTCACGGCGAGCACTATCAGCCAGTGTCAGCAAGGCTCTCGCGCGGTGAGTCGGCCGTAAGACAGATTTATAGTCCCGCTATATAGGAATGATTTTCTAAATGGCGTATGGCGAATACACCTTTATGCGCAAAGGCTAATATAGATCGGCCAATGAATTTCTAGCGCTAACGTCGGGGCTAAGCAAAATAGGGCCGGACGAGGTATGGCAGCGAGGATTGTAAACACGGAGTCACAGAAGAGCCGACGAGTCATACAGGGGAAGGGGGTGGCCGAGTTCAGGAGCTCAGTGATCCGAATCAATGGCATAAGTACCTCACAAGGAGACATGTACGCATAGATTAGGTAAGTAAAAGTAGTGAAAAGTAGATGTATAAACTAGATGGATATGATGGAGTGGGCTACAGGAGCGGCTTTTTGGGTTACATAACCAATAATTGCTGATATCCCCATCCAATATCCGATATGGTGTAAGTCATGGTCACAACGGAAAGACCACGATTATGCGTGAATTTGCAGGGTAGAATCGTGGCGTTTCCGTATAGTGTAATAATCAGGGGCTTCACGTCACTTAGGCAGAGTGAGTGTAGGCTTGAACTAAATGATGGCGCGACTTATTCTATTCACAACATTCTACCATTTATAATGTTACCTGGAGCCGAAGAGGTTAAGATAGAGTTTCATCAATTCCATCGGAGGTAAAGGCAAAATCTGTCTGGTTGCATGATGTCTCTAGTGGAGCCAGATAAAGGATTATACAATGGTATGGAAGATGTGCGAGGGTAGCGAGGGATCCGAAAGAAGGAATCGTGAGAGCAAATATCCAGAAAATCAATTGCCACAAATCCTTGGAACATTTGCAACGGTGTTTCCTTGTGGAAAAGGCCATGCCCATTTTAGAAGCAAGTTCAACTTCTCCAGAAAGTCTTTTCTGTCAACCATATCAAAGTACTTTTCCCCGTAAGCAGGCACGGCAATCATATGTCCTAGATCTAGGAGCTCCGAGAATTGAACATGAAGCTTGCCATCAAAATAGGACTGGAACATACGGCATCCGCCAAATTTGTCCATCAGAAATACTAAATGCTAATGATATATTAGTAAAAGCCTAACGATACCTAAGAAGGAAAGACAAACCGGGAAAGTAAAGTAGCACTCGTCCGACCGATCCTCATTCGACCGACTCTCATCCCACCGATTCTCATACGACCTTTGCCGATCAACGTCGGTCATTTCTTTGTGGGTTAATACGGCGATCGCAAAGAGCTCCATCGAGGAAGGCCGTTTATCACCACATTTCTCCTGGTTGCAGAACCCGACTATTGAGCGCTGGTGGCCCTTGTGCTCATGGCAGCTCAGTGAATCTAGAGGAAACTCCAGCTTCTCGGTATTTGTACATTCAAAGTCGAGAAACTCTCGGCGGCCTGATAACAGTGAATGCGTATCACTGGAGTATAAGTTAGTATTTGAGGGAGATAAGATACTTTATCTACTAACCGGTCTACTACCCATCCGCCATTAGGGATCCTAGAAGACTATTAGTAATAAGTTTATGAAGGTTAGGACGTATACAAACCCGTCACGGTGGAATTCCTTGAATGAGTGACCACTCCCTATAAAGGTAAAATAGTTATATTGTTCGGTCATCATATCTGGAAACATAGCCATCTTGATTGACTCAAGATCCCATGGGTAGCTGCGAGGACCTGGCACTTCAGACCAGCTTGCAACCTCTAGGAAGGGTGAAGCTGCTAGATCTGAATCGAGAACATCTCGAAAATCAACCCTAGGTAGGAAGTGGCTTGTAACCGATGGCGAAGAAATTGTACCAGTGCGGATATCAAACTGATGAAAATCGACTCCGAGGTCTGAAAGCTGCTCGTCTGTCATAGGAAGCTTCCTATTCTCGCGAAGGGTGTTGCAGATCCGGTCCATTGTTTGCTAGATCTTGGAGTGCAAGAGAAGTAGAGTAGAGAGGAGTGTAAGAAGATATATGTAACGATGGACATAGTAATGGATGTTTGCCGCCTTCTAAATAGGTTATGTGAAATTCGGTTATCCAATCACGTTTTCCCGACCGATCCTTTCTGAAAGGTTCAATTGGTATTGATGACGTTTTGGCCCGGAACGAACAGAGGTATCGTAGATTGCTGCGTTGCTGCGTTGAGTGATTACCAAATCCACCTTAAAAGTCCTGGAGGTGTCGGAGCTGCTGTGTCCAGCCCCGGTGCTGCTTGTATACTATTCCCTAAGAGTTTACGAGTCTTACTATTGTGCATTTTCCCATGCATCGTCGGTATCTTCTTGCACCTGTACTTATCCATACACGATTACTCGATCACTCTAAGAAAATGAACACGCTGTTAAGAATCCTTCTTTCTTGATGGCTAACATATTATACCTGTCACCTTAGTACCAGTAATTGCATTGAACAAAGTCGGTGATGTAGCTGAGAAAGATACAGTGGTGTCGAGGATAAATTGCCTATGAACTGCCTAGGTGGATGGTGGGCGAGATCCACGGACTAGTTTCTCGGGTTGACATATAAGTTTGTGATTTCTTTGCGGAAGTTGGATAACCGCCAGTTTGTCCCGTGATAATAACTAGCCGCCTGAGCGGAGGTGTGCCGTGGTCACGTCTTGAAAGACTTAATGATCTCCTTGGTGGCTCATGCGTCACCCAGGCGTTGACTTAGCTAGGCCGTCAATTTTGTCCCTGAGATAAGGGTCATGGGTTGCCGCTGTCTCCCATGATAATGCTGGGCAGAAAGAGGAATTGAATATCACTTCTAGTGTCCCAAGAAGAGCCCAATAGTACTAGAACCGTGGCGCGGTCGTTCGTCAGTGACCTCCGGTGCATCTGCGACCCGCAAAGCACCACAAGTCAGTCCGAGCTCAACCGGAACTCCAAAAGCCATTAACGTCCATACCGCCGATTTCCAGCCCTTGACAAAACGAACCCTTCGACGATATCGGCTGTTTGAGGTCTTCATTCACCGTTTCTCTTCGTCGGACAGTTGGACATTTACTGGCCAAGCCAACCTGAGTGCTCCTCGCATACAATCCTACTTTTCCGTGCTGTGATACGCACTTTAGTGCTCTTCGCATTGTTGACCCCGTGTCAGCCTTTTTTTTTCTTTTATATCCACTACAATGTCATCGTCCTCCAGTTTCAAAGAGCCCTCGATCTCTGCTTTCGTTCCTGCGCTAGCTAGCGCGGATAACTTTCACTCGATGTCAACCAGCCTCAAGTAGGCCTTTAACACTCGCGGGACTCAACTCTTCGATCTGCTTGCCGGCTCTCATGCGAAGCCTTCCGCTAAGGTTGCCAAAAGTCTCACCATGGTGGATATTAGCTCGACCAGCAAGTGGAATAACAATCTAATATTCTTCTTCTTCTGTCGCTCGTCGCCATGATCGACGACGCTCTTAAGTCGTACATCAAAAACGTATCCGACACTCGTCACGCGTACAACAATCTTGATTAGATCTTCCTCCTTCGTACTTACAATACCGGCAGCTCTATAGCTCTACCAATGACCTACATATTCATACTGTGTACTCCCCGAGGCTCCACAGGGCTTACAGTCTCGGGGTTGTGGGTTTTGTGACTGCCTTATCGCCGCAAATCATCTTCTATGCATCGCAGCACAACTCGCGGTCAGCACCGTGTCTCTCACAGTGAACGTGAAAGCAGCTCTTCACTCGGTCATATTGCTCTCTATCTTACGCGCAGTGTTTATATGTCGAGCACACCGCATCTACTTTCGTGAGCTTCAACTGTTCTAGTCTTCTAGCCGACGAAGCACATCGCGTTGAGCTTCGCCAGCTTGATCCACAGAGCCTACTGCGCCTTCGCTTTTCAGTTCCCTTTCTCGCTCTCGCTACAACATCTTGCCCGGCTTCTACTATTCCGTTCTCAAACACTTGCACGCAGATAACGTCATATGCGGGAGTCTCCAGGAGTCGATGCATTTCTTGCCGGTACCACGTACCAAATCACCGCATTTGTGGGGGCCTGCATCGGCCCGTCCCGCAGCAGCCCACTTCATCCAGATCGGATCAACTGATTCGCATTTCATCAAGTTCCATCAGCGTGACTTTTGAAGAACATCGCTGACAGTCATTCTCATTCTCCAGTGTTCTCACATCGTCATCGTACGACAGTTGAAAACTCTACCTACGACCGAAATCAGACCGCATAAACAAATAGTCCCCGAGACTTGACGTGATTCGACTCTCGATACATACAGCTAGACCTGGCACTCACCCGCCCCGCAGGTCCAAGATTAGGAACCTCCACCCGCACCTCAGAGGGTCAGGGTCCAACCTTACTACACTAGATTGATTAAGCTCTGCTCACTAGTTGTTCTATAACTCGAGACAAAAGACGAAACGCGGAAAAGCGGACTAATATAGAGACATACGCTACCTCTATCTCTAGTCCGCATGACCTATTCCTTATCCTTCTACCTCGTCCTCTATGCCAATCGATCATGAAGTCAATTGGTTCGGTCATAAGGCGCCTTGATTATATGGATCAAGACAGCGTAGATCTCTAGAATCGACAATATAATAGATTAGTGTACTAGATGTTTCCGCGCGGATAGCGGCGTCGCCTTACGGCGTTATAGATCTGAACGCCGTGAATATTATAGTCATCGTAAAAAAAAAACTATCCATAAGTTAATCGCTAGGCAAGTCATGAATCGCGGCCGAGAAATGCGATCCCTATCATCGGTTCTAGATTAACGCGAGCGCTATTAGGCAAGGTCGATATAGCTCTCACACAGTATATTAGTATAAAAGCAGATTTATAGCCCCGCTGTATAGGGACGATTTCTTAGAAGAATATAGGGCGACTGCGCCTGCTTACGTAGAAGTTAACTATAAACCGGCCGATTGATATCTAAAACGGTGAGCCTACTGTATCGCGTAATAAGGGAAAAGGCGGTCTTATCTTGAGCGTACCGGTCGGAGCTAAGGAAGATAGGGCTAGACGAGGGCGGGCAACAGATTGGATTACATTCGCACGATCGCAGAATAGCCGATGAGTCACATCGAGGGATAAGGGGGTAGCGGAGCTTAGGAGCTCGGTGATCTAGATCAATAGCATAAATGCCTCACCTATAGAGCACAAATAAAAACGAAGAGAAAGGAAAAGCGGGCGGGCGAAAGACACCGAAAAGTTGAAGGGGCTATGGGAGGGATTATATAGAACATACAAAGAGCGCTAGACCAAAGGGGTCAAGACTAAACCTAAGAAAGTAATTCGCAGTCCCCTTCCGATATGGTGTAGTGGCTAACATCGCCGTCTCTCACACGGCAGCCGGGGGTTCGATTCCCCCTATCGGAGTGTCTTTTTTGTTTTTCTGCCTTTTTGCTCATATCTTTTTATCCTTCAACTTGTATTGATTGATTGCCTAAAAAAAAAAAAAAGAATACCACGGAGAAGAGCAGACAAATGGTTGCTTATGTGGTCTGATGATCTCTTACGGGGTTCTTAAATTTGTTTTCTGCGGTTTTTTCAGTGGGCTTCTCAGATACGTACATAAAACAGTTCCTTCCCTCCCGGGTCTGATAGGTAGCCGGCAGAAGAAGATGGGACAAGCATGCTTTGTGGAAGAGAGAGCTTTTTGTGTAAAATCTAAAGACTAAAAAGATGAGATGGTACGGCGAAAATTGTATGTACGCTACAGCCTCTCAGGCCATACATTACATATATCACTGGAAAGATATATATATCTAATCTCCCGTAGGCTCAATGTAGTGAAGATTTGCATTTTTAACCTTTTGACATTTCAAATGTTGACGGATATGACACGATTCATTTTTTTGTCCTGAATCGAGTGTCCCTTACCAACCTCTCTCATGTACAACGCCTATAGTCGTGCCAATGGCCAGCCCCAAGGGGAGGGTTTGCAATTGACCCAATATGGGTGGTGCCAGCGGTTTGCGCGCGAAGAAATAAATCCTGGATCGTTGAAGTTTACCATAAGAAAATTCTAGGAAATGATATGAGCAAAGATAACAGTATAAATTCTGGATTGGTGGACCGAATAGAAATAAAATAACAAGAGTTGAAGATTGAGAAGAGAAAAAAAAATACAGAATAGAGCGAAATCAAGAGGTAGGTTCCACAATATGGAGCGGGCAGAGAAGAAACAAATATCGGGTCAAACAGAAACAGCAGAAAACCATTGCAGTGTGGATGGTGGGTGCAATATCTCTCGTGTCCTGAGTTCTTCAAAACGCCGAGCGCCAAAGATCAAGAAATCATCCCTTGTTCGTAGAATCGTGCAAAGTCATTGTATCATAGTGTGGATATGTCGCATAGATGAGGTGGTAAAAAGAGATATTGAGAAAAAAAAAATAGGTATGGTGTGCGGGCCATTGTGAAGTCGAGTGCGGAGCCCCAGAGCGGCCAGCAGTAGGCAGAGAAGCGATGTGAATTTCTTTTTAGGGGATTGTGATTGCAGCAGGAATGAGAATTCCATAGAATCCAGTCATCCGTCCTTCAAATCCTGACCGTGTGAATTTGGGACGGGCCTCGGAACCAAGACCAGAGGCTACTCTTAGTGCCTCGAATAGGGCTTGTTGAGCAGTGCTATCTCACGCGCAACAGTAGTCCATTCAAGATCTCGTTTGATGGGCTCGCCTCTTTTTTTCATTTGATACTCCTCCCATTGAAGGAGTTCATAGCTGTGGCTAAGTGTGAGCAAGAATTTCTCGTTGGATGTGAGGGTGGAAGAACACGAAGACTTACACAAAGCGAAGATGTGGTTGGATGATGACATTGAGTCGCCGTGCGCGGACAAAGCAGCTACCATATATTAGCAATGTCGGCCGGCTGAATGAATTTAATAGAAAGTAACTCACTATGCGCGTGGGAAAGAGAGATTTTTGGACGCCATGACTTCAGCGATACAAATGCTTGCAGATCTGGAAACACCGACTCGACAATGGACCAATGTGGCTGTGCCCTGGCGCTTTCCTTTTTCTGTACACAAATCAGCAAACTGGAACGGCGATATAGTAAGTACTTTGGAGAACTTACCAATAAACTCCAGACAACGATCGTACTCCTGACACAATGGATCAATGCCATTGTCTTGGACGTTGTCAATGTACATCAAATTATCCGCCCCCAGCTGGCGCGGTCCGCGTCTGACCAATTGACAGCCTCGCCAATACTGAGCACACGCTTGATCCCAAGCTCCCATAGAAGCTCCGGATTATTTGCGTGAGTCAGATTACCCAGATACAAATACGGCAGGACGCGGCTGGGGAAGGATCCATCCATGTTGTGGAACCAATTCGGATTCCAGATTTCCGAGAGATCCGTCGACTGAGTCGCGGGGCTTTCCTGCAAGAGACGTCCTTGAATATGGTTCAGGAAAGAAACGTCTGTCGAATAGGCGAAGAAGTTGCGTTTCTTATCGCAATGCAGCCGAAGCCAAGCTTCATGAGCTGGCACTCCTTCTGCGAACATAAAGTACGCCACTGCCAACAGCGAGCTTTCGGTATAGCCATCCGCACAGTGGATGAGGATCTTAAGGGGTTGTCCACTCGGTTTGGTCATCGCGACATCACCGTCGGCTTCGAGCTCGTCCGGTGACGTGTCTGGATGCGCAAGATAATAGATCCACCTGATGGTATTGACTATGTCCTCAACCTCTCGGGTGTTCCCCGATGGAAGCACAAGAGATCCCGATGAAGGGAACTCCAAGCGCTGTGGACCAGTCTCTATCTGTTTGTTGAGCATGGCGAGGAAGCGCGGACCAGGAATATTGGCCATGTCGCATGCCTCGATCAACAGGTCATAGCCCTCTTCCTTTTGTGATTCAAGAGCTCCAGTCGTATGGAAGTAATCCGGGGTAGGTCCGAGCCAAACATTAGACGAAATCTCGGATGCCCGGGACATTGTCGTCATTTCCAATCGCTCCCATTGGACTACCAATTTGTTAGCAGAAAGTTCACGCGCGCCAAGGTTTGTTCGAAGTTACCGAAATCCATGATTCGGCCTGTCGGTTGACCTTCCGCATCGATCGCAATGATCTCAGGTTGCTTTTCTGCAACGTTGGAAAATTTGTCTGGGGAAATATATCAATTGATGCTCCATGGATGCGGGGAATAAGGCAAGGTAACGAACCGGCAAGAATGAAGGTGTTGTAGGCCGGTCGCTCCTCCAGGGGGTCCATTTTCTTTCGCCATAACTGCTGCGCCTTGGCAAACTGGTTGGCTAGCTCAACAAGTCCACAATGACTGTTATCATCTTCCGCATAAATAACAATATCCGACATCGCAGCCAGTTTGGCAGTTTGTATTTGAAAGTTTCGAACAGAAAATCCCTCGGGAGGATCGGCCATCAGGAAATGTGCTGAAGGTGCCAGTATCTCATGGGCGCTTACTGCACCCTTGATACGTGACTTGGTCAAGTCACCCCCCCAGCTTGACCACGATGATACCTCGCCAGCATTTCGGAGTGCGACGAGCATGACGCTTGCGACTTGAAAAGAATCCCAGCTGCAGATGGTTGTCATGATGTAGTCCATGGAGCCAAGGAAACACTTGAGATGCGTCGGGCAAAGGTTGTGATGCTTGATGAGCGAGCGCGGCTGCCAATTTGGCTCCGTCGATGGCGTACACGGCGGGGGACGATGGTCGTCCAATGCGCATTTTCTCATCTGGGGGAGACAACAGCGAGGATGGCTGGTCGCTGGGTCGGGATGCGGCAGTAGGTTGAGGTGCTGGAGTAGGACCCGTGGGGCATACTGGAATATGTCGGTTCGGTATGGGACTCGATCGTCGGTTTACGGTCAAGGCTGTGGGGATCGGAGAGGGAGGAGGGGTTGAGTGGTGCAGCGCCTGCTGCTGAACTAGCACGGTGGCCATGACTGATAAGACGTGTGGTTGGAGAGTGGTTGAAATATTGTGATGAAAATGGTAATGTCACTTGCAATTGCAACACTGTTGAGAGTCAAATCACAATATGATTACATCGTTTGCCGTTGTGGTGTGGTGAAGAGTGCGCAAAGCAATGGCAAACTGAGTCGCGAGTGATCGCAAGCACAACTGCATGACAGTTAGTGAAATGTCCTTGAGCGCGTCGCAGATATTAAAGCGTTGCCATCGAAAGTAAATGAGCAGGATGCAAGGTTAAGGGGGATCATACAATACCACAGATCAAGGCAAGGGGTGAAGGAATGAGAGATAAAACAGGGAGGAGACTTGAAAGATGAAAAGGAAATGTCCAAGGGAAAAGAGAGAGTAATTGAAGGGGGAAAAGGAGATAACGTGGGACGTGGGACGAGAGATCTGAGTGTACAGTGTACATTGAACATGTACCCGATTGAATTCTATTGTTGATACATTTGTAACAAATACATCGATTTTACTTATCTCTCTCTCCCCCCATCGTCATTGTCTTAAGAGATCCCCATTTGCCGTATCCACACGCTCCACCACGGCCCCGGTCTGATCATATTACCTACCCTCACTGTGATGTATACTATCTGATACAGATATTGAACGGTATCTTGATGAACAGGGATTCTGACTACTTTTTTTTCTTTCGGGTTTCCTTTACAGTACTCGTTGGGCCTAAAAATTGGCGACCACAGACTAAACAATTGATGTGGCCAATCATTTGGAATCTCGACCCCCGATGACGATGAGATTTGATCTTCTTGGCCCAGACTAAACAGCCCTTGTCTGTGCGTCTGGGGGAGGTTTCCCTTTTCTCCACGCGAACAAAGAAGTTATCAACCCCGCTCGGTATCCACCTCGGATAAGGAAGCCCTACCAGCCGGAGATCAAGCCATTCTGTGTCCATGGAAACAGACAAAGTCAATTTAGGTGCAGGAGAACCACGGGTGAGATATCATACGTTATTTCACATGTTACATGGAAAGATACATGAAAGTCAGGTATTACCGGTCACTTGGTGGTCTCCAAACTGAAACTTTCAGATATGTTTCAAGACGGAAATCCAAATACTTCCGTTTCGAGAGACCAGTACATGACTGCGATGTATCATGTACGGGGAACTAACCCCGGATCGCCACTGCGATCCACTCGAGAGGTGGGGAGACAAAACGTTAGATATAGCATATAGCCTCGGGAGATGCCCAATAGTAACCGGATATCCCGAACCCAATAGTCAATAGCCCGACTGGATGGAAAATTGATCTCGTGATGAGCATGTATCAATGCAGGTGCCCAAGACTCCAACCGTGGACGTGAACATCCATCTGCCTAAGAACAAGCCAATGTATCTACAAGGCAGGTATACCCAGGTTGAAGTCTGAGGGTGGCACAACAGGAATCTAGTCTTATCTTTCCCCTAGCGTATCGCTTGATATGCCAACACAGGAGAACCCTTTCATGTCAATTCTTATTGGTCACCCCATCTGCAATTCCCGAGCCGACAGTCGCAGGGAAAAGCGGGCTGTGTCAGGCGGAGCGTCTTGAAACGATCGGTTCACTTTCTGTAGATCTTGCCTCGATCATTACCAAGTCTGCAGATCCCGGTTATACCTCGACATCACGACTCGGTGCATCCCCCCTTTGGTCGGTTTGGTGACGATCATATCTAGAGCCCTCGCCGGTGACTGGGTATAGAACAAACCCTGTACCACCACCGGTGGTATAGATATGACTGATATCATTGGCAGTGTGCCTGGAGTGGACGCGATCCAGTTGGCACCGGCATTTGGGGATAGGAGACTCTATGCCCCAGTCGGAATGTGCAGGAACTGCATATCATCGGGCGGAAACAAAATAGACTGTTCCTTGTCTTGGATCCGACAGAGCACGCTGGCTGTCACCGGCCCAGTTAGGATCTCTAGCTTACATGGCTGTTTGCTACCCAACTAGCAGGTTCCTCCCACATAGTAGTAGGGCCACATATGCTGAACGGGTCTGTGTCTGCATAGGGAGCTATGTGTATTGGCTGTGACCTGCGCCACATTCTCCAGTTGATTGATAATCTAGGCAAGTATAGGCAACGTGACCAACACTGTCTTGATTGCTGCCTATCTGATTTAGACATAATCTTGAATCGTCAAACAACCATCGTTTACTAGAAGCCCAATTTCTTCAATCTCTTCAATTGGGCGACATGAACAACGACCTAATCAGGGTTGTTTCAGTCCCATGCATAAGGGACTCTGTCGTGTGAAGCGGGTAGCTGCCGTACCTTGTTTTCCTCGCGCTTGCGAGATATTCCTTCCACGGGTTCGTACACGGGTCCGTACACGGGTCCAGATCGAAATTTTCGAGAACGGCCCAGCCTGTATTGGTGACGCGCGGCAGATTCGGTTCATGCCCGGGGGAGCCTGCCCGGTCCTTGCCTTTTCCCAGACGCGGGGGTACGGGTGTCAACTTATTGGGCGTAGGTGACACCATTTGTGTGAGTAATTGGTCAATGAGCGAATGCCTCCCTGTGCGACCGACTGTGGCCATATTGAGTCCAACTGATGCAAGTACTTTATATGTATCAACCAATCCTCGCACCGTCAAGCTTCATTATTCTTCACTGGGCTGGCAGCCACAACACATCGAGGAACCTTGAACATACGTGACCCACTTACCTTCCAAGGGTGCTGATCTGTTAAGACTAGCTCACACTAGTCAGTACATATGAATATAGGCGGATATGCCTACAATAGTTGTTTACTTCTTCTAACGGACAATAGGGTCTTTATATAGAAGATGACAGCCTAATGTTACTCCAGGATCTTCTTCCCAGATGTCTTTTTATGTATGTGTTTTGTTGAATAATTTGTCTTCATGATGTTATAGCTAGGATCACATAATGCTGCCGGAAGTAGAATGAAAATAGTACTGAGTAGACATTCCATGATGACTACTCTACGACAATTTAAGGCGATAAGAAGCATAACCAGGCAGAAAACTTCTGATGTATAACCAGGTCAGGCCACATACCACTTGACATTGACAAAATAACGAAACGGGTGGGGCTCAAGATCGCAGTAGACGATCTTTACGTCACTTATGTTAGGGGTGAAGATATGGTGAGGATATGTCGGCCGTCTTGTGGAAGGAAGTAAGGAGTTGGCGACCAAAGTTGACAGCTTCGACAACTTCCAGAGCTTCAGGAGAATAGGATGTCCATTTTTATCATCTCAATCGTTCCGTCCTTATGTGAAATGCCCAAATGAAACAGAGAGTGAAGTAAAAGAAACATTGAAAACGGACGATGGTTGATGAATCCGTAGGCGGTGGGCAATCAAGGTGTGGCCCAAGCGCAAACCTCTCGCTTGTGACGAGTTTCTCAAAGACTTCACGGATATCATATCTTCTCTTCTCCACATCGTCTCCTCTCAAGCATATCGCTTTGTTCCAAGCCCAAGATATGTTGCGCAGTGGCCAGTGACGGGCAAAGAGTTGCTGGTTCGACTCCCTCTCAATCTCGCTCTAAGCGGGGTATCTCCTACCTCCGAAAGTTTCAAGGTTGCCTTGTATCGATCCCATTGATTTCATTTACAATACTGCAATTATCACAAAATGGCAATGAATTTCGTGACATTTAACCAGGACTACAGCTACCTGGCTGTGGGTGAGTCCTTTCCGGGGCTGTTTCTGTTCGATGGATGTCCACTGACCGCATTGATAGCAACATCTAAGGGCTTTCAGATCTTCACAACTGAACCCTTTGCCAAGAGCTATGAAGCCAAAGAGGGGAATATTGCTGTCATTGAGATGCTATTCTCAACCTCCCTTGTAGCCCTTATCTTATCACCAAGACGCTTGCAGATCCAGAACACCAAGGTATGTTCATGTCATTCTAGGCATTTCATATAGACAGGGAACCAGGAACTAATATTTGAAATAGCGACAATGCACAATATGTGAATTAACATTTCCAACTACGGTTCTTGCAGTGAAGCTGAATCGCAAGCGCCTTGTTATTGTCCTTGAGGATCAGATCTATCTTTATGATATCCAGACCATGAAGCTTTTGTCAACCATTGATACTTCACCAAATCCCAACGGTACAGAGCTCTTGCGCTTGAATTCTCTTCCTTTTTTTTTTTTTTTTTTGAAGCTGTTATTCGACCAGTTCTGACAAATCAACAGCAATTTGTGCCCTTGCACCATCATCAGAGAATTGTTACATGGCATACCCTCTTCCACAAAAGGCCCCTGCAGCTGCTAACACACCAGCGCATGCGCCACCTGGAACGACACATGTATCTCCTACGACCGGGGATGTTCTAATATATGATGCCGTAAAGCTAGAAGCTATCAACGTCATCGAAGCCCATCGGTCTCCCCTGGCACTCATTGCATTGAATAGCGACGGGACTTTACTTGCCACCGCTTCAGATAAGGGAACCATCATCCGTATTTTCTCAGTTCCAGATGGCCACAAGCTTTACCAGTTCCGACGTGGCTCCATGCCGTCCCGAATTTACAGCATGTCCTTCAACACCACATCAACGCTTTTATGCGTCTCTTCATCCACCGAAACCGTCCACATCTTCAAGTTGACCCACCATGGACCATCCTCAGACGGCTCTCCATCGCATTCTTCTCCAGGTCGGGACCATGGGTCTCCGCCAAATAACTATGGATATCCACCCGAGGAGGACGAGGCAGGCGGCGATGCAGGCTCAGATTCTTCCTTGCGGAAGCACAATGGCACTTTGATGGGGATGCTTCGCCGAACCTCGCAAAACGTCGGCGGTGCAGTTGCCGCCAGAGTGGGCGGATACCTCCCCAAGGGGGTTAGTGAGATGTGGGAGCCGGCGCGTGACTTTGCTTGGATCAAATTACCGCGATCGAGTCCAGGCCCTGGTGGAAATACAAGCCCCGGGCCGATGAGGAGCGTGGTCGCCATGTGTAGCAACACCCCTCAAGTCATGGTTGTCACTAGTGATGGCCACTTCTACGTTTTCAATATTGATCTGTCGAAGGGTGGAGAAGGGACTTTGACGAAACAATACTCGTGAGTTTGAAACCCACCCTAAGCTCGGCGGGCTAATCAATGTTAACACTTATACTACAGAGTCGTTGATCCAAACGATAGGCTGGGCTACACTGCAGAGTACTGAGTACCAAGTCCCCGGAAGACAAATCAAAGTATAAAAGGGATAGTTCAGCCCCTTAGCAATTCGTTGTTCTTTTATTGCCTCTTTGCCATTGTTTCATTGTGTTCGGTATTGGCGTTGAATGGCGCCTTTTGCCATGAATCATCTCTCTCTCTCTCTCTCTCTCTCACTCTCTGAGCTTTTAGCGTCTCAATACTCTCCTCCGGCGTCTTTAGCCATGAGTTCCCATCTTGTATATGGTGTATCGGCGGGTCTGCTTCATTTTATGGCTGGCAATCTATCATTATATCGGCTGCTTCCAAAGTCAAGGTGTTCAATAGCTGCCTGGGGCTCTAATATATTTCCCCTTGGAAGCGTTTTGTGCAGAGAGCTCTTAGAATATCGCAAGTTAGAGGGAATGTGGTGGACGAACCGCGAGGCTTGCTCAAATTGATAAAAAGCTGGTATGTATAAGCGCGTATGTACATAATAAAAGATGCATGAAATTGTGGGCTCGAAAGTCTAGAAATTCCGGCGGAACTTCTGAGGAATATTGCTTTCAACAATTTGAATCTGCTCCAGCTTTTCGAGGGCAATAGCAGCATCCTCCTCCTCGTCATGCTTACGGAAATGCTCAATATCTTCGGGGTGAGTCAAGTCGGCCTCCGTGGTATCGTCGCCGTGATACTTCTCAAAGTGGTGAATCTCGTACTCATACTCGAGGTCACCATGGTGTCCGGGGCCGTAGCCGAGATCGGGCAACCGTCGACCCGCAGCAATCCCCGCCAGCCAATCCTCCCGGTCAATAGCCCCGGTGTTTCCAGGGTCGAAAATGTCAAACACGGCGCGCACAGCATCTTGTTTCTTTTCTTCGCTGACACCAGCATTGGATTCGTCGTTCAGGCCGTATGTCTTGCGGACTTCGTCAGGTGTCCATGTCCCCGAGCCATCGTAGTCGTGGAGGATGAAGAATGAAGTGGGGTCGAAGGATTCAATATGGTGTTCCTCTGGATAGAACAGATTTAGCAAACGTCAACTTCTCCATTGGCGCATCAACATCGTGTCTTACCGATCATGTGTCTCGTGGCCCAATCATCCGAGGGAGCTTGGTCATTGGAATGCGAGCCATGGGCGCTGGCAAGCCCGCTTAACGCAAGCACCCCGGCAGCGAAACTGAACAGTTTAGCGACCATTTTATGTCGTAGAACAAATATATTCGTTAAGGAGAATAAAGCAACTGACAGCTTTCTTGGACGCTCAATGGTCCAGGAGATATGGGGTCTTAGCTAGTTTGCAATGTTTGCATGATGACCCGAGCATTTGCGGAAGTGCAACCTTGGCAGATTATTTTGCAGCATTGCATGTCACCCCATCTATTTCCATACCCCTACTTGCGACGGGGCTCCGGGAGGAGTCCAATTGATCTTTAGTTTGAAATATCACCTATTGGATCACTGTGCGATAGCAATGCCCTGAGAATGCAGAATTTATGGTCCCGTACTGTTTCGAAGCAGTCGTCCTGCCGCTGTGTCGGGTGTTTGAGCACTACTGCCAACGGCGTTACTTCGCGGGCAGCAACCGCCAGTAAGAGACGACTTCGAATTGGAAACTCCGTTACTGCACTTTACGGCAGTATCTTCGCCGCCGCCGCTATTGCCGATGCAAGCGTGAAGGATCGCCGACGACATGACTGGGACGAAAAGATTGCCGCGGTGAAGGCTGAAGTGAGTGAGCTGGTGGACGAAGAACAGCGCATCTTGGCGTCATTGCAATCAAGAAGAGAGGAGCGAGGACTCAATCGCCTAATACAAGGAAGGGGATTCGGCACTATTGCTCGCTTCCCTCCCGGAATTCAATCCCCAACCAGCTTCAACCGAATAAGGGCCTTCCACACAGAAAGAACACGGTTCAACGCGGTCGGGGCTCGGATGGTGGAAAATCAGCCCGCTGAGGAGGACGAACACACAATTGACGAGCAGGATGAAAGCGAGATCTTCCTTCCGCAGGAGACATTACCTAGCTGGGTCTTGGAGGATGATCTTCGTCTCAAGGCCATTCAGAAACTTGCCCTACGGCAGTTCGCTATCCGGATATTGTTACGACCGGCCATCGCGCACCGTTACTCGGGCGTTTCAATGAACTACGCGGCAGATTTCGAGACTCCCCAAGTGAACGTCTCACAACTTCTAGAGGAGCTGAATCATCTTCGCAATCGAATGAACACCTTGAAAACGAACAGACACGCCACATACAGCGATATCACGCAGGACTATGCCGCAAGTCAATTGGGCGAGATGCAAAGAGAGCGTGAGACCCTCGATGCCGAACTCACCAACGACATTCAAGCCTACACGAGTCAGCAGATGTCTCTCCAGGAACTGCTTATGCGGGTATCCAACAACATCTTGAGCTCCAGGGATCCGGATCGACCAACAGCTTTCCGGCTCATGATCATGGCCTTTGGCCAGACACGCCAGAATGACCTGGTAGAATTGCTTCTTCGGACATTATTGCCGAACCGGTTCTTCCTCAACCCTTCGCTTGTTATCACAATCATCACCTTTTTCAGGAAATCGAAAAATCTCAAGGACTTCGATTTGTTCTTGAAAATGCTTGGTGGTGAAGGTTACTCCGTCAACTTGGGGAGCAGGGGAGCTTATAAGCACCGAACAGTCAATGGTATAGACCTCATCGTTCCATCTCTGAACAGTAGCAATCCAGTCATCTATGCCGCCTTAATAGGCGCCGCATTACGCTTCGACCAACCCGACAGAGCCGACGCTTGGCTTCAAGCTGCACGGGGTGGAGGTTTCTTTGATAGTTGGGAAACCCTGTTCACATATTTACGGTTCTACAGCCTCCGACGGGACTGGGACAAGGGTGTCAATGTTTTGAAACGAGCAGTCACCTATCTCTTGTCATCAACGGATCACCGTGTCGATTCAGTCGAGAGGTTGCTTGGGCGAATGGTCGGCCTCTGTGACTCCTGTGACCGTTTAGATGCATCGGATGTATTGGTGCGAGCCGCCGTGCACAGTGGCTTTGATCCAAGGCTCTTATCACGACAGTCGGACTCAGGACCGTTCGTCCATGCCGATCCCAAGCGGTGGTCTAAGGCCGCCAAGCAAACACCAAAGGAGAATATTGACCGCCCCTTGTGGCAAAAATGCTACGACTTTGGAAACACTTTTGGGGAGTATCTGAGCCAAATTGAGGTGCCCGCAGACAGTACCTGCAACGGCAAACTGTCCGACCAGCATGCAGATAATGCTCTTTTTACTGCCCTTGGGCGTGGCCGAGCGCCTGGCTCCGGCAAGGGACAAACAGCTGCTGGCAATACAGTAAACGAGGACATTTCCACGCTCAAGGGCGAGGTTGCCCAACTCCGTGAACTTATTTATGAGCTTCGCAAACACCACATCTCAGATCCCTCCACGAAAGACCCCCACAATCCGCTCACCGAACAAACCCTCTCTCCACCATCCGAAACTATTACACCTCTCAAAAACTCGCAACCTCTAACCCCCCAACCAAGTCGCAATTTCACTAGAACTTCCACTAGGATAAGCCTTGCCAGATCTATGTCATCTTCATCTCAGCGCAAACCAAACAAGCGAAACAAGCGGCGAGAAACCAGCGCAGATCAATCATCAATGGCAAGCACAGCTCCTGTTGCTGAGTCCGCAGTATTTGCCAGCTGATATGTGGCTTCTCTTTTCTTTTCATCTCTCCAATTATGGGCACTGATTGTCCAGTCGAGACGGACGAGATTTTTTTTTGTATATTAAATGACTACATTTGTTTCCAATAGAGCATACAGAACACCTCGGGCACTCAGCCCTGTATGTATTAACGAGGCCATGGCGTTGTTGGCCGTGCACACAAATGATTTTTTGAACAATTCATGGTTTTGTTACTCCAGGCCAAGCATAAGCCTCTCACGTACATTGAATTTTGATATCTCATCAGAAATTTGATACATTGTTCAAATCTGGCAGGTCATGATGACCCAGCTAAAGGCAATGAGTGCAGAAGAGAAACTATCCAGGAAGTATGGTATGGCACAGGAATGCAGAAAGGAAAAGTTCTATTCAATGTATTGACATCGTGATGAAAAGAAAGCGGCGCGACAAGCAAGCGTATCATGCGTAATTTTTAGGCTGAATAGAAACAAAATGGTTTAGCGACGCTTCTCGGCACGGATCTTCTCCCTGTGCGCGAGGCGATCAGCAGCCCGAGTAAGGGCGGAGCGGATGTCACCCTTAGGGAAACTGTTGATATCGTAGTATGTAGGGGCAATATCCTGGAAAACAGTTAGTAAAATGTCTAGTGGTTAAAAGAGAATGAGGGAACATACCAATAGCCATTCTGGCTTGACCGCAGTGACAGTACGGATGTAGTTCTTGGTAGTGAGAACGAATTCGTTATACAGGACCCACTCGGCCTCGTGAGCCAAGACGGTGGACGGGTGCAGGAGCACGTTCTGGTTATCCTTGATGGTAAGGTATTGGCTCTTGCCGCCTGTGTCCTTCTTCGCGACTTGCATGAAGAATCCGGCGCAGAGGGCGCGGCGGATGTTCTCGTAGTACTTCTTGTCCTCGAAGGCAGTGGAGATCATCTCGAGGTCCTGGCGTTCCATGATGCGCAGCAGCTGGGAGCGGACGTTATCAGCGGACTGGAGAGCTCGGTGGGAGAGGAAGTGGTCGTGGCACCACTGCTTGGGGTTTGCCTGGGCGTCACTGCCTCGGTATGCGTGGTAGACGTTCAGCATTGTCAAGTGGTCTCCGTCGGGGTGGGCAAAGAGGTTCTTCATCTCGTCGGCACGCTTGCGCTGGGCAGCAGGACGAACGAAGACTTGCGGCACAGACAGGAGGGCGGTGATGGAGAGGATTTCATTAGAGCAGTAGAATTCGGGAGAGCTGATCAACATAACAGCAAGGGCAGGGTCGAGAGGGAAGTCGGAGGCAAGGCGGCCCAGCTGAGTAAGGTTTCCATCATCGTCCAGACAGGCCAGGTAGTTCAACTCTTCCAAAGCTCTCATCAGGGTCTCTGGCGCAGGAGGGTCCATCAAATCGAAGTGGACGAGATCGTCGATACCAAGCTTCTTCAATTCTAGCACCGTTGATGACAAGTTTGACCGAAGAATCTCAGGGTAAGTCGACTCGATCAATTCTTTCTTGAATGCGCCCTCAGTGTAAAGACGGAAGCACTTTCCGGGACGTGTACGACCAGCACGACCAGCTCGCTGCTGCGCAGAGGCCTTGGAAATGGGGGAAACGAGAAGGGACTCGACACGAATGCGGGGGTTGTAAATCTTCTGCTTGGAGAATCCGGGATCCACAACGTACACGATACCATCGATGGTTAGAGAGGTTTCGGCGATGTTAGTGGACACAATGACCTTGCGCCCGGGGCGGCCGCCTGGTCGGCGAGGAGGTGGTGCAGGGTCGAAAATGCGCTGTTGCATGTGAGGAGGAAGACTACCGTACAAAGGATAGACCTTGAGAGGACCAGCATCAACCTCGCGAACCATTTCATCTGCCTCGAGCGCGATTTTACGCGAAGCATCCTCGATCTCTTCCTCACCAGTCAAGAAGAGAAGAATATCTCCCTCGGCTTCGGTGGCGTGGATTTGCAACACAGTCCGAACTGCAGCCTCAACGTAATCTTGCTCAGGCTCGGGGGTGTAGAAAATCTCGACAGGGTGGGTACGGCCGGGAACTGCGAGAAGGGGAGCATCCATAAAGTACCGCTGGAACTTTTGCGCATCCAGAGTAGCCGACATGATGATAATCTTCAAATCAGGCCGACGCACCACAACTTCCTTCAGAAGACCCATCAGGATATCAGTCGCCATGGTTCGCTCGTGAGCCTCGTCAAGCATGATTGTGCTGTAACGCGTGAGGTTGGGGTCATTCATAGCCTCGCGAAGAAGCATACCATCAGTCATGTACTTCATGATGGTCTTCGGGCCGGTCATATCTTCGAAACGAATACTGTAACCAACCTCCTCTCCAAGCTTGACGTCCATCTCAGCCGCCACACGTTGGGCGACGGACATGGCAGCCACACGCCTGGGCTGTGTACATGCGACCATTTTGCCCTGGGTTTGGGGGAGATCATCGTAGAGGACGAATTGCGGGATCTGCGTAGTCTTTCCGGAACCAGTCTCACCAACGAAGACAAGAATCTGGGACTGCTGGTAAAGTTGAAGGAACTCATCGCTAGATGAAGTGGTTAGTACACGTTTCTTTCAGACTGGCTCTCGGGCAGCACTCACCGTTGTGAGTGGACGGGCAAATCGCGACGGGTCTTCAGGATTGAGAAGTATTTGCTGGAAAAAGGCCGGCCACTGAAAGGATTGATGTCCCCATCTTCGGCCTTTCTCGCCATCGCCGAGGTTGTCTGGTGTCGCTTGAACTTGGCCAGGGCTCCGTTGTCGGAGCCATTGTCATTCTCGTACATGTGAGCGAGGTAGGGGTTATTCTTTGGGTCTCCGCCGTCTGTCTTCTGGCGCTTCGCGCGCGCGCCACCTTCGGAGTCAGATCGGTTACCGGACATGGTGGAGGTGAAAGGGGGAAATGTGTTGAAGAGCAAATTCGGCGGAGAGAAGATGCTGAGATACCGAAGAAAAAAAATATGAGATAAGGAAAGTCGCCCGAGCGCCACAGCTGCCTATCGGGCTCACCGCCAGCCTATTCTGCCGCTCTCCACAAAGGGATCGATAATCTTCGAGGTTGTTTACGCCCTGTGTGTTTTTGTCTGGACTTATCTGACCTCGTCTGAGGCGTGTGTCTTCTTCGGATAGAAATAGTCGATACCAAGCTTATTAGCCTCTCTGTTGTTCGCGAGCTTTTATCCACATCCCTAGTTCCAGACCACCCCACCATTGCGCCAAACTTCTCCATCAACATGGAGAGCTACAATTTTGCCGATGATCCAGGGCCATCTTTCTGCATTGGTCATCATGAGCATAACAGACTGATTACGGTGACCCCTCGGGTCATTCAAAACGTACACGAGAGTAATGTTTGTTCTTTCTCTTACCTGTAATGAAATTACCTTCATAAATGCTAACTTGATCCTAGTATGATATGATGACTGTCCCGATCACGGCATCCCATTTCCACTCGCGGGTTCTTGGGCTGCTATCCTCTTATTTGGCCAATCTGGAATCCCCGACTTACGATGTTGTTGGAACCATGGGTACTACCCAGAACACCCGGCCTGTGGTGGTTCCGCCGCTCTCAAAGGCAGACTCGTATCTCACCCCGAATGATGCGACCAGTCAATTGGTTGGTGTGATCAGCAGCTGGATTGATTTATGCTCACCTGACCCTTTGATTGCAGACTTGTCCCGGCAAGTTCTGATGTTGGAAGTTGCCTATGCTGCATTTTGCGGAATTGGATACCTTTTGGTTCCAGGCCCAAAGTTGCATCACGGTTCCTTGCATTCCGAGGGTGTAATCTATTATGCACGCGCGATTCAAGATGCCTTAGACCTCGGCCCCTACATCCAGTTCTATATTTGGCAGCGAATGGTTGACAATCCTGAGGACGAAGTTGACACAATGGGCGACTTGGCACCGCTTGCTCGGGCAGAATATCTGGCGCCAGATGGAACTCCACCCAAGATCGATCCGTTTGGAACTTGGGAGGCCTGGGACTCAATTCGAAAGACTTGCAAATACCACACAAGACTGCTCGTTGGTATGAGCTAACCCCTCCTTTCAATGGCCCATTGCCATTGTGTCAATGTCTTGAACTTCGGCTAATTTGAATCACAGCCCTTTCCATGCCGAAGCAGTTGCCGTCTCTGTATGTGCAATCCCGATGGCATTCGGAGCCTGTTCGTTTATTGACGATTGATGGCTCCACCTTCCTCAAGAACCAGAAAGGATACCCAGTCTTGTCCAGGGCACACCAAGGCTTGATTGCGAAGATGATGCGTCTTCGAACTGCGCCGTGGATTATTCTCTGTGGCGTTGGTCCTATTCCTGGACTTGAAAATATCGAAGACCCCGATAAACAGCAGGCTTCGCTATCTGGATCTGACTATCCAAGTCTGTCGCAGGCTGGCAAGAAGCAGCACTACGACCCCACTCCACACCTTTCTTATATTCGCAATCTGCAGCAGCGCCAGCCCCCGCGGACAGCGATTGAGCGGTTCGGTGTGGGATACCAGGACTATTTGCAAGCACCTCTACAGCCGCTGACCGTCAATCTGGAGAGTATTACATATGAAGTATTTGAGAAGGACCCTATCAAATATGAGTGGTATGAGAAGGCCATCTGCAAGGCGTTGAGGGACTGGGCGGATCAGAAGAAGGCCACCTCCCACCCGGACGGAAAAGTGATCCTCGCAGTTGTGGGAGCTGGTCGTGGCCCGCTAGTCACTCGCGCACTGAAGGCCAGCGCGGATGCTGGAGTGGAGATTGATCTCTGGGCCGTGGAGAAGAACCAGAACGCGTTTGTGTTGCTACAGCGACACAACGACTCAATCTGGGATGGCAAAGTCACCCTGGTCCAATCAGACATGCGAAGCTGGAAAGGACCTCTGGTCCGACAGCAGTCGACTACGGCTGCTACGGGCCCTGTTGGCGACCACCAGGGTTCGACTATGTGCCACACCCATGTTGATATCCTCGTCTCGGAACTATTGGGCTCCTTTGCTGACAACGAGCTTTCTCCAGAATGTCTGGATGGCGTGAACGACGTGATCAACCCCGTCCATGGAATTTCTATTCCTGCCTCATACTCGGCACACTTCACCCCTGTTTCCGCTCCCAAATTGCACGCTGATGTCGTGCACCAGACGGTGTCTAACCCGGCCGCGCCAGAGACCCCGTACGTCGTGATGCTTCATGCTATCGATTTCCTCTCTACTACGGATACGCCTGCCAGTAGTGAAAGCTCGAACCCCGGCAATGGAAACCGGGCATCCACCCCGTCGTCGTCATTCTCCACCACTGAATTTCCCACTCCCTTTGTACAGACCGCCTGGTCTTTCTCTCACCCGAACCGACACATTCCTCCTCAATCCCCCATGCAGTCGACCATCTCGAACGCCCACAATGTGCGCCAAACACGCCTGGCCTTCCCTTCGCAGAACCGAGGTGTGTGCCACGGTTTGGCCGGCTACTTTGAAACAGTTCTCTACGGCGATGTGGAGTTGTCTACCAACCCAGTGACCATGGATGCCAAGAGCGCAAGCATGATCAGCTGGTTCCCCATCTACTTCCCCTTGAAGGTCAGTCCTCTGAAATATTCGACGTCCTCTCATCTTCCCTTTCCATCATACTGACATTCTTTCCTAGACCCCTCTTAGTGTGCCCGAGAATGGTGAGATTGTCGCCACGATGTACCGTCAGACCGACGACCGCAAGGTCTGGTATGAGTGGATGGTCGAGGTTTATGCCCTCGAACCAACCATGGCATCCAAACCCACCCCCGTGAGCTATGCGCGGGCTGGGTCTCCCAGCGTGGACAGCCTGAAATCTAAGGAGACTGCGAAGCAAACTCACCGTACTGGCTATCGCCGCGTGCGGGTGGGCATGAGCGACTTGCACTCTAGCATCAAGGATGGGTGTTTAATGTGAACTTCCTTAGCCATAGTTGAATAAAAGGTGGTAGAGCCATTAGCTCTAGTATTGCTAACGATTCCAAGTTCATCTCATCCCGGAGAAAGAATCCGAAAAATCCCTCAGACTAACATTTGAATCCACATGGATTTTGTAAGAGTAAAAGGATCTACACATACACCGTTGCATCATCCCAGTGCTACACAGCAATTGGTGTAAAAATCCCCCAAACCTACAAGTTCGGGCCGAGCCAAGGTCAAGCTTCCCGATTTGTCGGTTTTCATGTGATCGGAACAAATCCGATTTCGACAGCCATATCCCACTCCACCTTTCTATTGTCCGGACTACGGAGTTCATGAGTCCCCCGCGATCTACATTGTTTACAGGAACCGGGCTGCCCGGAATGAGACAATTCAGCTCCACCGCCCCACGGTTTACGGCCGATTGGACACAACAAGGAGCGTGATCTATATTTCGTCGATCCCTGTATGAATCCGGAATATCCTCCGTGAGCTGAACTGTGCCAATTTTTCTCGTCACATGGAACATCCATGGATCGGTGATTGTATTATGTTTGTTGATCGGATAGGGAAAAGACTTGCGCGATTGCGGTACGCATTCAGGAACTATATGGATATGTCAGCTACTAGCATATAAAGCCGTCGATTCCCACTTGTGGTATCTCCAGTCTTGACAGGATACCGACATCGACCGCAAGCCATCATGCGTTTCTCTTTCTTCACGGCTATAGCCGCAGTGGCTTCGTTGGGTCATGCCCTTCCCGGTAAACTGCAGGCTCGAGGTAGACTACACACGTTGCCCAGCGTCCATTGACCGTATTACTCACATATTAGTAGATGTTTCAACCACTGAACTGACCCAGTTCGATTTCTGGGTCCAGTATGCCGCAGCGTCATATTACCTTGATGTCTATACGGCTCAAGTGGGAGCCAAGATCGTTTGTTCGAAAGGCAACTGTCCCGAAGTGGAGCAAGCGGGTGCGACTGTATTTTATGACTTCTCCAAGTAAGCGGCCCCCGATAAAAGTCATACCCGAAGTGATATACTTATTCAAATACAGCGCCACCATCACCGACACCGCTGGTTTCATTGCAGTAGACCACACCAAGGCGGCCGTTGTTCTCACCTTCCGTGGGTCCTACTCAATTCGCAACTGGATCACCGATGCCTCATTCCTATACACCAACCCCGATCTCTGCAAGGGATGTTTCGCCGAACTCGGCTTCTGGAGTTCCTGGAAACTCGTCCGCGACGACATCACCAAAGAACTAAAAGAAGCTTTCTCCCAGAACCCCGACTACGAGCTTGTCGTAGTGGGCCACAGCCTCGGTGCCGCCATCGCAACCCTTGCTGCTGCTGATCTCCGGGGCAAAGGATACCCGTCAGCTAAGCTGTACGCATATGCTTCGCCTCGCGTGGCGAACGCGGCTTTGGCCAAGTATATCACGGCGCAGGGAAACAACTACCGCTTCACTCACACCAATGATCCGGTCCCTAAGCTGCCGTTATTGACTATGGGCTATGTTCATGTCAGTCCTGAGTATTGGATCACATCACCTAATAACGCTACTGTCAGTACTTCTGATATTGAGGTTATTCAGGGGGATGTTTCCTTCGCGGGGAATACTGGAACTGGTCTACCATTGTTGACCGACTTCGAGGCGCACATCTGGTACTTTGTGCAGGTTGATGCTGGCAAGGGCGATGGACTGCCCTTCAAGAGGGTTTAATTTTAATCCAGTTCCCTCCAGACTTGGATCATTATATAATAGCCAAGGAGTGATGATATGTATAAAGATTAATGACAGGCAATTTTCCAGTTATGCAGGACATGATTGTTGAATGCGATTATAGTCAAGAAATTTGAGTGCTTTTTGGGCCCCGATAAGCCCCCAACAAGGACCCAGTGGGCTTTAACCCCGGGCCCATAGCCCACCGACGAACCCGAAGATAGGGCCCGAGGCCCAAATCCCAACCCATTTGCGCGTTGGGCTGGGTGGCTGGGTTGGGCTGTGGGCTTTGCGGCGCGCTAATTATGCCGACGTAAGGGGCTGAAAACACAAAAGTCCCAAATTGATTCGAAGCCCATAACCAAGCACAAATAAGGTTGAACGATAAGCAATTCGCTCATATCCGGGCCTCAGGGGACATCCAGTCGGAGCACCGTCGGCTTTGAATTCGAAAGACCAATTGGGGACGATCTTAGTGGTTTTTGGCCTTCCCAATCAAACGCCCAATATATAGTGGATATCCTCCGTGCGGGGTTATTTGAGCGAGTCGTATAAGACCCGACTCGAGGTTCATCTTCCCTTAAGGAAAGTCATTCAAAATGGTGCGATATACCAAGCTTTTGTTGGCAGTATTGGCGCACTCGGCCACGGCACAATTTGTGCCGGCGCCGACTGATTTGATCACCAAGAAAGGACATGCCGGCATCAATGTGCGATACAAGGAAGTGCCTGCGGGAATCTGTGAACAAGATCCTAATGTGAAGAGCTACTCCGGCTACGCTGATGTTGGTGAAGACGAGCATATTTTCTGGTAACAATCTCTGATAAGGTTGAGCCCTAGGCAGCGACTGACTAGCACAGGTGGTTCTTCGAAGCTCGAAATGGTGACCCTAAAGATGTATGCTCTAATGAGATTTGAGACCCTATGAAATATACTGACGATAATCAAGGCACCACTTACAGTCTGGATTAATGGAGGGCCAGGATCGTCTTCGATGATCGGGTTATTCCAGGAATTAGGGCCCTGCGGAGTTGATAACGACGGGACTGTATACAACAACCCGTATTCTTGGAGCAATGCCAGCAATATGGTAAGTTTGCTTTTGATCCAATAATTGTTTGCTGTGACTCTAGCTAAATTGTCGCCAGCTCTTTGTCGATCAGCCTGCCACGGTTGGCCTATCTTATACAATCCCCATTCCAGGTTATGAGGACAGCGATGGCAATATTGTCCAGCTGCCCAGCGAGGAGTGTCCCGATTACGCGCAGCAGTACGGAACATGCGGCACATACTCTAAGCCAGACATCGGCCTAGTCCCCAATACAACTGCAAGTGCGGCGCCGAATATGTGGAAGACGTTACAAGGGTTCATGGGTGCCTTCCCCAAGTACGCAAGAAACGGCATCAACTTTGCCACTGAAAGTTACGGGGGACACTATGGCCCGATCTTCAACGGTAAGGACCCCAAGCGTTCACGCACACGATTGGCCCTAATGTCAAATCAGAGTACTTTGTTAAGCAAAACGCTAAAAAGTCGCACGAAAAGCCCCACGGCTCGATTAAGATCGACCTTGAGAACGTTCTTATTGGCAATGGCTGGTTCGATCCATTGATTCAATACCAGGCGTACTACAACTTCTCCGTTTCCCCCGGAAACACATATGACTACAACCCATACAATGAGTCCGTGCAGGGAGAATGGTATAACAATCTTTACGGAGAAGGAAACTGCGTCGATCGGACTCGGGAATGCTACGCGACCGGTCGCAATGATATCTGCGCCGCGGCGGATAACTTCTGCGCCTCGAAGGTTGAAAACCTATTTGACATCTACTCTGGACGAGACGAGTATGACATGCGAGAGTTGACGCCCGACCCATTCCCGTATGCCTTCTACGTCGAGTACCTCAACAGCCCCGAGGTTCAAGCTGCCATTGGAGCATACCAGAATTTCTCGGAGTCCTCGGGGACTGTGAGTAATGCATTCGGAAGCACAGGCGACGACGACCGCGAGTCTGGGACTATCGAGGCTGTGAGAAAGTTGCTCGAGGCTGGCGTGCAGGTCTCGCTATACTTCGGAGATGCGTGAGTCCTCCTATGCCGTGATATGACTAAGTAGACCATACTAATCTGAGTTCTAGTGACTACAACTGCAATTGGCTCGGTGGACAAGTTGTGGCGGAGGAGATCAATGCCCGCGGGTATGAACATGCAGGATTTATGAACATCACCACTTCAGATGGTATTGTTCACGGACAGGTTCGTCAAAGTGACTTGTTCAGCTTTGTGCGGATTTACGAGTCCGGTCACGAAGTGCCTTTCTACCAGCCATTGGTTTCGTTGGAGATGTTTGAAAGAATACTTTTGAGAAAGGACATTGCAACTGGCAAGAAACATTTGAAGCCACATGGCGGTTATCGCACTCATGGAACACCGACAAGCGACTACCGAGAGGGTAATAGTACAATTGTTATGGAAGTGCTTGATAGCAGTGCGACTTACAACACGACGCTCAATGGACCGAATCCAGCGAAACCATCAGGCTCGGCTTCGGTCAAACTACGCAGACAGGGTCACTGAGAAGTGCGTGACAAGCAAACATGTACTAGTTTAGCAAGTGATGAGTAATTTATCTTTCAAGTTTTACTTCTGGAGTCATTATTGTTGAGTTTTTTCTTGAAATTTGAGATAGAAGTCAAGGACAAATATGAAAAGCCCACCCTTTCCTTGTCCGAGCACGTTGACGCCGCCGAAAACAGTTTCCAAATCCACTTCATCCACTTGATTGATTTCCTTTCAGATTCCCTTTGGAAAGTTCCATTGTAGGTCGGCGTGGTGACGCGAGTAGTGATCTACTCAGCCTGGTCGGCGGTGTCGGCGGTCTCCTCAGCCTGGGCGGTGGCCTTGGGGGCGGCCCTGCGTCGCTTGGCGGGCACGTCCTTCTTGGAGGCTGCGGCACGCTTGCCGGAGCGGGTCTTCTTGGCTGGGGCACCAGCCTCGGTGTCCTCCGTGTTGGTGACATCGGACTTGGAAGTATCCTCAGCCTCAGCATTGGAAGCGGCGGCCGTGGTAGAAGATTCCTCGGCAATGAGGGCTTGCAAGCGACTCTTGGCACGGTAATAATTGGTGTGAACCGAAGATTTCTTCATACCAAGATGATCAGCCAGCTTCTGCATGTCGATCTACGAGATGTTAATACAAATAGACAGTCAGATAAGTGTGATGACCGACCTTTCCGTCGTGACACAGGCTAGCGTAAATCAACAGGCGTGCATCGCCCTGTTTCATCTCAGACAGCGTGCCCTTAAACTTGCTGGGCGAAGACATCCTGTTTGTTTGTCTGATGAAAACGGTGAAGTAATTGATAAGAGTTGATGAGATTGGTGAGTTTGATGAGTAGTTTGTGTAGCGTATGAGTGAGAGCAGAGATGGTGAAGAGCGGGAAGAGAGTCAGGTAACGGAAAATGAAAGGGCAATTTAGAAATGAGCAGGCGCAGATTTGACAGAGGCGACGCGGCAGCGTTGAGCAAACTTTTTCTCGTTGCCTTCGTCAAGACGACAACCTTTGAACGTGAAGGCAGTGACTCGCGCTGCACGAACGCTGAGATAACAGGGCAAACAATGAGTATACATAGTCATCTTTTTGACTATACTTTCCTGCTCATCGGCTTGCGCAAGTGTATTTTTCCATGCTTTATGTGTATGGTCAATTCAATTCAATGATCAAAGCCTTTGAACTACGAATTCCAGAATATCATGGTGCAACGAGTAGTGTATCAACGTCTTTAACTGTAGCTGTGCCTACAACAATCCCTAGTTCACTGAGGGATAGGCATTCACACTCGCCTTCAAGAGTTTCTCGGCAAGAGACCTGGATGCATCAATGGAAATATCTGAGGTTTGGTGACTGTAAGTAGTGGTTATGTCGCTCTCTCTTCTTGTTCCAATCATCCAACTATCCTGGAACCAGCTAGGATGGTGGATAGGCTCATAGGTTTCCTAGCGCAAACCGGGCTTACTCTTGATTTGTCGTATCTGTTGGATCTGTCTTTCATCTCGGAGTTTCTACCTATACCTATTGTCCATCTCCCAAGACCTTGTTGGGGTTTCATCATCAGTCAGAAGTTATACATAGAAAAGTCGCTTGCACAGAGCATGCTTTTCCCGCTCTTTTCTGCCGTCTTGAATAGACTGGAAAAGGGAAAACTATCTTCAAGGTATCTAAGAAAAACCGGGAAGCCCACCGAGAAAGCGATTGAAAACACTGCCGAAAAGACCACTAAAAAGCCCTGTAAGAAAGACGTCGTAGGGCCGCAGAAGCGGCCGTCTACACTTGTAATTATAATTCCACATCATTGATAGAACTTGAATCCTGGAATTATTTGTCATTTATGACAAATAATTCCAGGATTGTTGGGTCAATCTAGACACAAGTATGTATGTATGAGCTTATAATCATTTCTACACACTGAAGCAAAAGTTTGATACCCGTGATATATGGCCTACATCGACTGTCTCAATTGCTCATATTTACCCCCGGGAGAGATGATCTAATGCTACTCCAAAATCCCTTATCATAGTTCTATCAATCTGTATTTCTGGTATTTGTTTTAGGTAGAAAATGATCTGTTAGCTACCTAGGTCTTCAATTTCAACGGTAAAAACCCCCATTTTACAACTGTAGAGCACATGCCGGATCAAAGTCTTCCACTAGGGCGCCAATATATTTGCTCATCTCCTATGTTGTTCGTCTGCGAGTTCAAAACCTAGTCCTGGAGAGTTTCGTATGGAATATAAGCATGTGGGACCGACGGTGAGCTATGAAACTTATATCTAGGCCGTAGCCCTTGCAGGCCTGAGCCGAATCAGCCTCAGCAGACGACAGGTAAGCCGTAAACCCCTCCACTCCTTCTTCGTCCCTAGCATTTTTTGCTCCATCACATACCGAAGAAATTGGGTTTCCGGCCGTTTCAACCAGCGTCACGGCCCTCGTCGGCCCAGCTAACCTGCTCGTCGCAAATATTCCCCTTCCGAAATGTGTTCAATACGAGAATCCTCCCCGGGATACGCCGTGTCGATAAAGCTCTGGAACAAAGTTCGGACTATTGGTATAACCTAGCATCCCTAGCTTATGTCTAATCGGGATTGTGGTCTGGCTCCATAGTACGCACCCCCCCCACATTCTTCATATAATCCGGAAAGCCCATGGACGGCTCAAAAGCATCTATGCTGAGCTTGCGCGTTAGATCATCTGGGTAGTCGACTCGCTATCGCGCTTATGACAGCCATAGCACTTTCCATGCATCATAAAATTTATCAAGAGCTGCCGTATTACATGACTTTGAGTTACAGTCCGGGAATGATGATATCTACTCGTCGTGGATTATCCTGAGAACTCAAAGTTCCGTGCAATATCGTCTCCCCTAGCTGCATCCGCTTTTCGATGAAAGACTAGATGAGACATCTCCCACAGTTGGCCATTACCACAAGACACTCGCTTTAACCAGCGATATCCGGCGTCCAATCAAAGGCGCTCTTTGGATTGGAGCAGACGGGCTAACTCACAACGATTGTTGAAAATGTCAAGACAGCTTGTCCCCCTCTCGATGCCCTTTCCTTCCCCTGGACTGGCTGTCTTCAAACCTTCATGGATATTGCAGGTTTAAGTCCATACACATGTGGGAATTCCATATCTTAAGGTCAAAAATATGGCGCTTGCTACATCTTTGCCAAGTTGATAACGTCGATCTATCATTTGGAAACAGGCCTCAAATACCTTGGGGACCCTGGGGGGTCATATCTACTAAAGGACTGCGCGCTTCGAGTTACTTCACACTTGAAATGCACTCCTTCTTTTAGCTAAATATCAACAGGTAGGATAAATTCGCGGCGACAATCTATCGCGATGAATAGCTCAGGGGTAGGAAGACAGGGCGATTGCGAAATAGAAGATGATCGAGACTCGACAGGGCTTATTGGTCACGCTGAAGATCGAGTAAAGGCCTGGCCTCATTCAATTGGCTGAGCGAATTTATGTTTCAATGTGGCCTGGTTTAACCTTCGCTAGTTATAGTTGAAAGCCAACCTCGGAAGATTAGAATAAATACGCTCAAGCCCTATGCAGGGGTCAACGTAAGTTTTGTGTCCCCTGTTCGTGAGTCTTAAGTTGCAACAGAGCCGGCAATGGTAAGACATTAAATTAAATAAATCCTGCATAAGCCGTTAGGTAGATAAGAAATAATAAATAAAGTGCAAAAGATTGTACACAAGGAGTACGGAGTTCTCCGTACTGAATGCAACGTAGACCGAAGCCAAGAAGCCGACAGTTCCAAACATATTGTACATGGAATAAAGGATCAGAAATAATTAATGAACAGCGAAGAATAATAAATTACTTCGAGTGGCGTTCACTGCGTCGATAGGTGAGTTTGCGATAGCTTCACAAGTGGAGTGGAATTCACCTTTTACAACGAATAACACGACCTCTTGGCGACTAAACTTTCAACATCCCTGCAAGTGCAATGAATTCTGCCTGCAAGTTTCCGATTAACTGGATCTGGAATTGAATTCACACCAATGGGATCGTTGAATCGTCCAGGTAACATTCGCCCTCACCGTCAGCCCAACTGCGAACGCCCCTCAAAGTTAAGCCGATACACAACATGCGATACCCGGAGGCACACATGGCTTTGAGCCTCCTGGGGCATCTTTTCTGATTCAATCTCGTCGCCATGCGTCCAGAGTTGAAAAACACCTGGACTCCTGGCATTAATGTCTTGACCTGGTTTATGCTGGTGACGGCTATTCTCAGTGTCTTGACACGTCTCGGAACAAAATATTTCATTTTTCGGAAATGGACCTTCGACGATGGCCTCGCTACTGTGTCGCTGGTGTTCTGTATTGCGCAGTCGATTGCTGTCTCGGTAGCGACGGCGAATGGGCTGGGACAGCACCGTGATATGCTCTCTAATCGCTCACTTGAAACCATGATGAAGGTAACGGATAAGAGATAGTTTCTGCTTGAATGATTTCTAACGAGTTGCAAACACTCTAGGCCGAATACGCCGCGATCATTTTATTCATCATCAGCATTTGTTTCTCTAAACTATCGCTTTTGGTCTTCATCCGCAACTTGACCCCCGCGTCCTTGGATCGCCGCTTTGCGCTCGTGTTGGGAATATTGATCGGACTGTGGAGTGTTGTTGGCGTGTTCACAGCTGCATTTCAATGCAGTGCACCGCAGACATGGAACTATCTACATGGGAGTTGCTTCGACCGAGTGAGTGGCCTGTCCATACTTGACAGACAAAGCTGACTTTGTACCAGGCGGCCTGGTGGAATTACCTCGGCATCACCAATATCTTAACAGAGGCCGGGATAATGGGTCAAGCGCTGCTAGTCATCGTTCGTATCCAGACTGATTTCAGCCGAAAGGCTAGTTTATCTAGTGTGTTTTTGATCCGAGTTATGTACGTATTGCACCCCGCCGTATTACAGTCCATGTTGAGAGAAAGTCATTAACAAAAATGACAACAGCGTCATTATCGCGATCGTTTGCCAGCTTGCTTACGCCAGTCAAAGTTTTTCCTCTGCCGATATCACCTTTGACGGCTGGGCTGTCGCAGTTTCTAACCAAGTGGCCCAAACCTTAAGCATCGTCACAGCCTGTTCTCCCCAATTCAAGCCTTTCCTAGACAACCTTCGATCATCGGGAATGGGACTGGGGATGACGAGTTCCAACTATGGCAGCAAACATAGGACATATGCCATAAGTACATTCAAGAACTCTCGTCGCACGCAGGGCACGCAGGGAAGTGAAACGCACGAACTAGTCTCGATGCCCCAAGGGACCCAGACTATAGTGACATCCGCTCGGGAAGACGACAATGAAAGTCAGTCCAGTCAATCTAACATTATTATTGAGACACGGACCTGGACCGTGACCGGAGGGTTACAAAATTGACTAGAATCATGAGATTTGACTGGATTCCCCTCGATCCACCTGGGTGCATATTCTATCGTGTTTCCAGACAGTCCACCTTTCCTGTTCTAGCCTTTCAATGACGAATGACAATGCTCGATAAGGTATCCAATCCACTAATAATCCTAATTCCACTAAATTCCAACTAGAATCCTACTAAAATCCTAGTAGCATCTAGCCCAATTAAATTCATCCAACTAATATCTGATAAACTTAATTCCCACTTTCCTGGGCTGTCGGGAACTACTTGGCATTCCCGACATGTACGTCGCTTAGGGAAGGCTGAGACTGCACGCCACATAATCCCTCTGTTCATTAACTCTCTACATCCCTGCTGCATTAGCGTCGAACAATCTACCACATGCAATTATGTACAGAATTGAGCTAGTGTCAAACTTTTTGCCCCTTGAACCTTGGACTTCCATGGCAAAAGGTTGCATGATTCTCCTTTGATCTGGTGTTTTTGCTTTTTCCTCGGCACTTACACAGTCGGCACTCACTCATTATGCTGTCTAAATATTCGAAACAGATGTCTTCGGGGGCGCAGGAGATGGACGGTCTATCGAGGAAGGATCTCGATGATGCCAACCTCGCCCGCATGGGCAAACGCCCTGTCTTGAAGGTAGATGATCTCGAAGAAAAATGAATGGACATGGATGAATAGGGACTAACAAGAACAGCGCAACTTTGGTTTGATGTCAATGCTGGGCTTCAGTTGTACAATTCTGATTACTTGGGAAGGAATTGTTGTGTAAGTCCTAGCGATAAATATTAAGCCCGCAAGATCATTAACTGACTGTGTACAGACTATTCTTGCAAGCATACGCCAAGTAAGAGACGCGGACGAGTCATCCACCCCGCAGTGCTAACAGTGACACAGTGGAGGTCCAGCTGGAGCTGTATATGGATTCCTTTTCGTTTGGGCTGGTGTGGCAGCTACTTTTGTCGTTTTATCGGAGTTGGCATCGATGTAGGGAATTATCTGTCCCGCGGTCATATTTCCTCAGGCTGACCGGTTAACAGGGCACCGACCTCTGGAGGGCAGTACCATTGGACCTCCATGCTTGCCCCGCGATCGTGCATGAAACTCATGAGCTACTTAACAGGTGACTAGCAGATCCCTGCAGCCGTTCAAAGCCAGAACTAATACATTTCAAAGGTTGGCTTACTGTCATTGGGTGGCAAGCCACATTCGCAACCTCATGTTATTTGGTCGGCACCTTGATTCAAGGCTTGGTTATACTCACAAACAGTACATATGAGCCCAAAAACTGGCACCCGACTCTTCTATTTTGGGCTGTCGTGGCATTTTCCGTCGCTATCAATAGTGTTGGAGGAAAGGTTCTTCCTCGATTCGAGGGCATGATCTTGATCATCCATATTCTCGGTTTCTTTGCCATTCTTATTCCTTTGACTTACATGGCCGATCATGGAACTTCCAAGGAGGTGTTCACTCAATTCCTCAACACGGGCGGATTCCCGTCCCAAGGACTGTCGTTCTTTGTCGGAACCGTTGGCTGTATCTTTGCGTTCGCTGGTGGTGATGCCGCAGTTCATGTGCGTCTTTCTATCCCCTCGGAACTACTTGAAAATATAGACTGGAACTGACCCGAAATCTGAAATTCTAGATGTCCGAAGAAATCACAAATGCCGCCGTCGCAGTCCCCACCTCGATCATGCTCAGTGTCTTGATCAACGGATCCTTAGGTTTCGGCATGTTAATCGCCATGCTCTTCTGCAGCGGCGATCTCGGCTCATCCCTGGAATCCCCCACTGGATGGCCCTTTATGGCGATTTTCCTCGAGGCAACAGGCTCCGTCGCCGGAACCGCAGTAATGGCCTCCATCGTTACCACCATGGGCGCCACCACCTCCGTGGGCATGTTGGCGTCAACATCGCGCCAATTCTGGTCCTTCGCGCGAGACCGCGGTATTCCCGGCTGGCGATTGTGGAGCCAGGTAAGCTTCCGTTCCCAACCCCCTACGCACTGTTTCGGATCGTCGAGCTAATTCTCAAAAACAACCACAGGTCACTCAGAGCTCTGCCATCCCCATCTACTCCGTTTTAATCACATCCGTAATCTCCTGCCTCCTCGCGCTCATCAGCATCGGTTCCCCCGTCGCCTTTAACGACCTCTGCTCAATGTCTATCTCCGGTCTGTACTTGTCATACATGGTCGTCGGTAGTCTTCTTCTCTGGCGTCGTTGCACGGGCGGAATCAGCTCCGCTCGCAACAGCAATTCCGATGTCATCAATACCGCCGGCGCGAAGCTCGTCTGGGGCCCGTTCCACCTGCCCGGTATCTGGGGTATTCTCATCAACGCCTGGGCGTTGATCTACATGACCATCGCCGTCTTCTTCACCTTCTGGCCGACATCTTGGGTGGTGAGTGTTGAGACTATGAACTACAGTGTTGTTGGGACTTTTGGCACCATCATCCTCAGTCTCTTCTACTACTATGCTCGCGCGAGAAAGGTCTATACTGGACCTGTCATGGAGCATGTTCTGTAAAGCAGTGTCTACGGACTTGGAGGTATTTTCTGATTTTGTGAATTGGTACTTGCCAACGTATATAATTTTGCATTTGTATATATGTTAATTTGTGTAGCCTTTTGGTTTAATCAGATATAAAAGTTAAATATATTCGCGAGTCCGGGTGCATATTTAACTTGGCAGACTAAGCCCCTGACGTGAGAACTTTGTGCCATGTGGATCGGCTAATCAGCCTCCTGCATACAAGGCGAAGTGATTAGCGTCAAAGCTCGGGAAACAGGGGACAAACAGGGCTGGCCACGAGGATCGTCCGTTTTCTCGGATGTGGACCGAAACGTGGAAAGAAGATTACGTCCGCATCGGGACTGAGATTCGATTTCATGCGGGTGATCGGCTCACACAGCCGGCTATCGAAACGAGGCATTGCAACGAACACGATGATCATAATCAAGTTCTTGATTGCATTGAGTGCTTCCATTCTCTGATGATCGCTGATGAAACATGCAAGGAGAGGGCATTCATGAGATATCCTCTAACAAAATATCTATCACAGGCATGCAACTCGAAAAGATCAAGAATCTAGCCAAGATTCGGATATCCACATACGAGATCGAGTTCCCCACCTCAGAGATCCAGACAAAAAACCAAATAATACCACGTCCAATTAAGCGGTGTGCTACGAGGCAACTCTGAAGCGCTGTTGGGGTGACACGAAGCCGTTTCGCCTTGTTGCCTGACCAAGGCACCAAAGGCACCAAAGCCAATGGCCGCATGCAAGGGATATCACAAACGGCGCGTGCAGGGGTATCGAGATAGGTCATGTGATAGCGCTGTGGCGTCGGGAAGGGCGTTTGTAGATCTCGAGAGGTCCATCCTGTAAGGTTCCACGCCTTGCAGATCGGTTGGATGGGACGCCTAACACGTGGAGTTGATCTTTGGGCGGACTACATTGATGTACACACGGAGATATGTATTGCAAGGAATGTGGGACTTGGCGATTCTCGCAAGTATCATAGATGCATAATTAATGACAGGGTACAGAGATCGAGACCCCGAGAACGCGTGGAAGATCATGCGGGTATTGCCCCTTGCGCAGAAGGTCTGAAGCAGCTCTAATGAAATCAAATCCAATTTGTCTCCGATGTATTATCATGGTATCATAGTAATGAAAGAATGGTATAAACGCCTCCGAAATGGAGTCCCGATATCAAGAAATCATGGCCCTGAAAGAGTAGGGAGTTTGCAATAAGCAAGAAGATGTAAACAGAAGGACAAGACGCTAAAACGAAGGAAAACCCCGAGGTATATCAACGGGTATGAAAAGTTCTTAGCGATTGCCAGATGACTGGTGGCTCATCTGCACTGGATGATGCTCGTATTGCAAGTGATGTGGGGGAGGCCACAAAGAGAGCGGTAGTTGGTCCTGCGAAGAAAATCATTAGCATTTGCTTCTTGTAAAAAGCGAGTTCCTGCCACGCACTGTGCTCTCAATCTTTGTCAAGGCCGGATCAATCTCAACATCCGAGCTCCAGATCGCCGGTTCCACCTGCTGAGGCGCCGAAAAGGCTTCGGGTTTCAGGATGCTTCGCAGGTATTGATCGATGGCAGTCACCATCTCTACTGGCATGCCTGAGGTGGGATATTGGGGGACTATAAAGGAGTCGCTCGCGACGGGCGAGCTGCAGATCTCGTTCGTGTAGGTTTCGTTCGTATAGGAATAGGGAGATGGGTGGTCATCAACAGATGCGGTAGACTGGCTCTGGCCTCTGGAATACTGGGGACAAGACATTGAGGAATCTATGCTTCCCCAGACGCCGGAGTAATTGTTTGTGTCGGCTTGAAATGGAATCAGGGGTGAGTGGGCTGGTTGCGACTGGATCTGTTGTTGCGGGCTTGGTTGAGGTGATGTGTTGTGGGTGATTGATGTGTTTTCCTTCGCCGCCGCACTCACACTGTATTCAGATCAGTCTGCGAATTCGATTTTTGTGCGAGGGTCAAGGAGTCACTCACTGTCGACCCAAGTGCTGATTCAAGTAATCCGGACGATGGAAGGCCTTTTGGCAACCTTTGTATGTGCAGGGATATTTCCTTCTAGGCTCGTGGCTGAGCTCATGTCGTCTGCGGTGTTCGGCTCTGGTGAAAACCTGTATGGCGATGAGCGAGATGATTCATGAGTGACATCGCATGGTCGCAAGGGTACGCACCTTCTCACATCCTGGGTGCTCGCATGCATGGACTCGCTTTCCCTTCATTGCTTTGCTGACCCGGTGGGAGTTTGTGTGGGAAGACGAAACATTCCCCGGACTGGGATACATATTGGTTTGGTGTGTGTTGTTGTTGGCGAGTGTTTGGGGTATGGGAGGAGCGCAATTCAGATCGAATGATGGCGGAATGGAGGCGGGATACTGAGTGTTGAAGGTGGACATATTGTTGGTGTGTAATGAAAATATACAGTCGATGCGGTCGATGCGGCTCAATATGCCATTCGGGGTCAAGTTACACGGCAAGTTTAGACGTTTTTAAAAGGGTTGGGGGCTCGAGTTGGGAGGACACAAAGAGATACAAGATGAAGAAAAAACAGGAAAGGGAAAAGGGGTTTAATAAGACTTTTAGTGTCAACAGCTCTACATGGGGAGTGGGTATCTCGGACGGTCTCGGTCGTATCTCCAAACCTCCTACATACAGGCCGCCGATCTAGTGCCTAATTAATCACATAATCAAGAGCCAAGCTAATACCGAATAGTCCGTCAAAAAACGCCTGAAACGACCCAAAGAACGCCTAGTGATCATACCACTAGCAGGGATGTAGGCTCAAAATGCAGTATCGGTGTTTTTGGACAATGACGGGGGATCATCTTTCTAGTCGATCAGAGCCTCAGCCACCTGGATCGGTCACCCACATAGGCCAACAGGGCTACGAAAATTTATCCTATTGGGTGATATGCCCCCACTGGGCGTTTATGGGTCAATGTAGCCCGAAGTCTGTTCGAATATCGAGTGTTCTCTCCATAGAATTGTGAAGGAGTTTTATTGCAAAACACAGAGGGCAACGACCACTTCCGCTGCGACCTGACGGGAATCCAAAGAAGCGTTTGGTTTCAACAGTGGGGCGATCGGGTAGCCCTGTTAGATTTGATGCCGATCAAAAATGCACCCAGGAGCGTTTGGTACCTTCGTTTTCCTCATTGGGTATGAGAGTTCATCACGGTCAGGTTAAAGACGTGAATATTTTTGGCAGATTATACACGTGGATCATTACGGTGTGTGGCATGTTGCAGGAATCCGGCAGGCTGAGTCGGCCTGCATAACCAACATCCACGTAGATCTATGATTGGTGTTCATTGTGTATAAAAAAAGAAAGGAAACAGCAAGGGTAACATCTTCCGTCGATCTACACCCGAATGGTTGACTCGCGACTTTTCCCAGGTGCACTAAAGAGGCTCAACACGCCCGGGTGTCCACCTGGTCTTGGCGCCCATGCATATACGCTCTGGCCAATCATCTGCCGTGTATGGACCGGAGCTCCTACAATCCGCAGAACTTGGGGTTTGAGATGGGTGCCGCGGAGTACATTGGCTTCTGTGTTTTTTTTTTTTTTTTTTTCAAAGAGATGGAGAAATGTAAGATTTCATTCTTCAAGGTAATCTGTACTCCGTCCAGAACTCCTGGGAGTGTTACATCAGGATCTTAGTACGTGGGGGCCAATACAACCGCTCATTCTTTGACATTCGTATAATCTTTAGGGGAGAACTGTAATTCGGAACCTTCATGCCCATATACTCTGGTCGGGTGTCGGCAAAGGTATTTGGAATTGGGTTTTGGAAATCTCCTTTGCTCAGTCCTTCCGTCCTCTCTCCACATCCCCATTGGAACGTCTCAAGCAATGGTCAGTGCACATGCCTGTGGCCGCCTTAACATCAATTCATCCGAAATATGTAAGTGTACGAAATATTGATCCCCCTAGCTATCTGAGTCGACTCATCAAACCCTTTTTCCGAAAATACCGACGCACTCTCTCTCCGAGATGAAAGGATCCTGTTCCCCATTTTGGGGCCACCTTGAGAACAGAACTCGATATTAAACAAATGATGTCAATAATCACATCCCGGTAAAGTCTAACAGGCTTCGACAGGGCTTACTTGTTTCGTGCATGCTCTGGCCCTTGGCAGGGGGTGAGTATGTTATTAACATCCCACAGCCACGTTGCTTCGCCTATGCTAATTAGGGACTCGAGGGGGCGGAGATCGGCATGCGGAAGCGTGACGTCGGCATCAAATGGACCAGGTATACCTATCCATATACATGCAGGTACTATTGCATATGTACTATGCAACGCAAAGCGGGCCGATGACGGTGTCTGCTACATTGATCAGGTCAGGGATGCTCCGTATATTGAATATATATATAGATCTATTTACATTGCCCTTGTAATAATTGTATTTGACAAATCTCTTTCGAGAGGGATCGATTTACAGACGGGACTCGCTCTGGAGAAATAATCTGTGTTGATTCTTCTGTGAAGGCATTGGTGGGAGTGAGAGAAAGATAGAGATGGAGAGGATAAGATGTCTCGCCGCATGTTGCATGGCCCCCAGGACGTTGAATTTGTCTTTGATGGGACTGTAGCATCTGTCTCTATAATGTATAGTGTTTAACCTATTAGTGCCGACAATCAAGCCAACTGGGCTATATATGAACAAGTGTACTTTGCTTCACGCAAGCGTGGCCGAGTGGTTAGGGCGCAACGTTGTTCTAACTAGCGTGGGTGAATCCCACCGCTTGCATTTTTTTTTTTTTTTGCAAAAATATAATCTGCACGCTCAAATGACTCCCTCTAAGTGACAGACAAATAGGCCAAAAGAGGCTCCAATAATGCAAGTCCATGCGGACACAAGCCTTCCCTAAGGGATATGTAATGCTAAAACCTGCACCTAATGGGTATGTGTGTGGCTCTTACCTTCTTATTTAAACGACTGTGTGCGTTCGATAAAACCCTGTGTTTTCAATTGAAAGTACATGCATCGATTACATGAAATCCTTGTCCAGGCTGTCGTGACAAGGTTGTTCCCTGTGGCTTTCCCCTGTCGTAGACCGCAGACCGTTGTGACCTACTCCATAGAGATATCAACTTCCCACATTCCAGCTAGCGTCACTTCGGGGTTTAAATTCCCGAGGCCAGCCTCTAGCAATACTTGCTCTGGCTCTGGACAAAGTAATTAAGATACGGGTTAGTATCGCCTCGGTACATGATACGGAGTAAGCACCTTGATCGTGAATTTCGGGCTACCCACTGATTCGTTGTTTTATTTTATTTTTTTTGAGTTCACTGTCTCAGATCCATCTTAGCTTATCAATAGGGTCAAATTCTTTTTGATCAAAGTCACGTTCGTTTTCCCCCAATCCAAACTTCCAATCTATCTACTCAGCCTATAAGATTGAAGAATCTCGTGAATGGGCACGGGTATTCCCGTTCCCCAGTCAAGATAAGCAGTGGAGGGTTGAGAAGAGTGTTCTTCAGGATAATATAGGGAAGTCGAGAAATTGGTAGGGCGTTGCGATGGATTTATTGGTGGAGGGGATATACAGTGTGTATCTGCAATGATGTTTTCAATTGAGATTCATCGACCTCAAATAGTTGTGCTCACGTCAAACCAGGTCAAGTTTGCTTTTGCTGATTAGGGATTTGTATCTTTGAGTTCACAGCTGCTCCGCCGTACTCTTTCGGTCATTCCTTCCAAACACATTACTTGCTCCTGTCCCTAGTGGTATCCGATATATCAAACCAACCATGAAGTAAACATTCAACCACCTAGGAAACTATCGTACTCGTCATCATCAGACTCCGATAATGCGGCCACCTCTTCCTCCTTCTGGCTCGGTTGGATTTCAGTCCTATCCAACCATTTCCCCGGATACTCCGCACCCATGAAACTGTCATATTCGTCAATCTCCGGAAATGCCGTTAGAACCTTCAAATAGCGGATCGACTGAATCCCATTCCTGTGCGGCCCCGACTTCTCCGAAAGCCGAGCATCTGAAAATGCCTGTAGTGACTCATCGTCAATCACTATACACGTGGTGTAATTTCGCTTCGCGCGCGAATTCACCCAGGACTCAAAATGAGCACGAATCGAGTCTATTGAAGCTTCATCAAACTGCGCCGGATCGGCCATGATGATTGGAAGATGTTGGGCCCAGATCTCTTGATACGGAGTCGGCTCTGCGCAGTGTAGTTTACTCTTTGGCGTCGAAGCGTATTCTGAAAACAATTCATCCTTGATGTAGGAGTTGAGTAGGTCGACGATCTGGGAGAATGCAGTGTCGGATTGAGGAGTGTAAGTGGTGCGATAAATGACATAACCCCATGTCGCCTTGCTTCTGACGGCAGCGTGAAGGCGTTGCGTGCGCCAAGGTAGCCAGCTGAGATTCATGCTGATATGCTCTTTGATGTTAAAAGGGGGATGAAAGATCTCAAAATTTCGCGCGGCCTTGAAGACGGGAGAAAAAGGGGAATTTTCTAATTAGGATAATGCTGGTCGCACTTTCGTATTCTTTTGCGCTAAGTAGCGCGGCTGATGCCAAGAATGCAGCATGGTACAAGTGTTAGGGTGGTTTGAACTAGTTATATTAAACGATTTACATGTTCCGTACTCCGGAGCGCCGGAGCATTTGCTGTGACTGGACCATGGACCCTTTCGGATTATGTAAATTTTGAACCTCAACTGTCTGGGTGATCTAGTAATGAGAGATTCTCTAACCCGTTAATCAGGTTCATTTCGTTACTCCGTACCAATTCAGTAATTCGCACCCAGGGTCTCACCCATCGAGTTCCCTGTCAACCCCGGTCCCATCTTCTTTCCTTTGTGCCTTCATTTTTATTCTACTGATGGACATGCTGATCATGTAACTTGATTTATGCTCAGAACACCATTGTGACCAAAATCCGCCAAGAGAAAAAATAACAGTAATGTGTACGATAATACAGAGCGCAGGGAGATCTACTAGTACAGATCAGCCTGTATTATGTCTAGTATTACAAGTACCACCCGTAATGTATATGTCACGTATTTTTATGCGCTCATCGGGTAATCCCTGGGTCCAAAAAGCAAAATACACAGGTCTAGTCCAGCTTGGGAACTCTAGGGAAAAGGGCGGAGTAAATAGACGAGGCATCTATTGCTCTGGATCATCATCTCCTTCATCTACTCCATCCCAAGTCTTCCAATAGCCTCATCTCGAAAGATTATGGGACACTAGGAATATTTCAGGGACTCTGAAATCATCACGCGACACGCGATCGACAGGCGACCAAGAACTTCCGTCCCGCCCGGGCGGAAGGTGGGGGCGGAAAGGTCTTGTAACTTTTGTCCGGAAATTTCATGTGATCCTAGACCGCATTGGTGTATACCTGGATAACAGAAGGCAGAGGACCAGGGCAAAGAAAGCGGTCGCACGGCAGCAGCATAAGTCTATCTGTATTGCCTTAGCCCGTAGACGAGTCCCGGCTAGTCTGCTTCCATGTGGAACATTGGGAGATGTAGCAGTATCAGAAGAGACAACTAAAATTATAAACTTGTATTCATTTTATCATTTCAGAGTGATACATCCTAGGGTTGAAGTATCGTGCAATGCGTGAGACCCCAATATGATGCGATTCAAATCAAGTACAGAGTCACCTAGTACAGTTGCACATACGGAGTATATATACCTGCATCGCTTAATGTGGCGTGAACTCAATCTGACACTCGTGCTCCTATGTTCATGATTAGCCAGTCTCCAAGAGATGGATATAAGCTGGACTTACCCGCATTCCACTGCAGGTGTCGTCATAGAAAACCTCATAGCGACCCGTGATACCAGGAGAGACGGTACCGAAATCCCCCATCGGGGCGGTTCTGTATTTTCGATAAATGGTAGCGACCAACGTAGTCATTTCTGCCATTGCCAGACTATTTCTTGTTAGTCATCGGTCATAGTCAAGGCGAAAAACCACCTCTATATAGAACAAGGAACATACTGCATGCCAATACACATTCTTCCTCCACTGGAAAAGGCCCAGAACCATTTCTTCATATCTGCCAGGTTTTCAGAAGGATCCAACCAGCGATCGGGGTTGAATGTGGTGGGATCTTTGAAAACCTCAGGATTGCGGTGGAGTGAGTACGGGGCCATCGAAACGACCGTCTTGGCTGGAATCGTGTAGCCATCAATCGTGGTTGCCGCGGGAAGTGAGCGTGGCTCTGATCCCGGGAGCGGTGCGTAGAGCCGGAGTGTCTCTTTGATAACCGCATCGAGGTAAGAGAGCTTGTCGGCATTCTCTACTTTAGGGATGCCGTTCGAATTGAGCGAGTCTTCGGAAATATTGCAGACTTCCTCAATGAGCTTGTCCTGGAACACCTTGTTCTCTGGTCGAGAAAGAGCCCAAATCAGGAACATCAGTGTGTCGCTGGTAGTGTCAATACCCGCCAGAAGATGGTCGGCACATTCTGATGCGATATCGAGGTCATCAATCCCATTCGGCTTTTGCGAATAGTGGTGGGTCCACAGTCTGGAGATCAGGGATGATGTGCTTGCTCTTTCATCGGGAGAAGCACTGGCATATTTCTGAGTGGCTTTCATCGCGTGCAGTCTGATGCCGCTGTAAGTCGTTGGCAGTTGCATTGGGTACAACCATTTCGCAATGCAGCCACTGACTCCGGTCCGCGAGTAGAGCCATTCCGTGAAGTGAGGGAAATGAACAGCATACCACGATAGCTTGCGGCGGGCAGTGTCGATGATATCTCCAATGAGCTCGCGATCATGCCCCAGTCCCTCGAGACATGAAGTCTTGCCAAAAGATCCGTAGAGGAAATCGGTGATTGTGTCCAGGGAGAAATAATGCAAGGTAGAAAATATCTCGCTTTTCCCTCCATCTCGTTCCAAAAGGTCCATGTATAGCTTGACCTTTTGCTCGACCATCTCTGCATTTTGTCCTTTGAGCATCACAGACTTGGCGTAGGCGTGGGCAAAGAGCTTCTTCCTTTCTCCGTGCTGCTTCGCGGTCGCGAATGAAAACATATTTTTTCGACCGTAAACCTCAAACATGTGGTAAAAGCCAGTTCTCTCAAATCCACTTCCAGCACCGTAGATCGCACGCAAGGCTGTGGTGCTGTTGAAGGTCACCTCACTGGGGCCGATACGAACAACGGGTCCATATTGCTGATGAAGAGCATTGATCTTTCGCGTGCGAGTTCCTTTGTAGTCCTCATAGGCTAATTTGGCTTTGGTCAAGGCGAAAGACTTTGGACCGGGAATTCGCCCAAGAGGGCTAAATAGAGTGGAAATAGAGAGGTGGTAGACAAGGAAGGCTGCTATGAAAGCAGCGATCAGGATCCAAGCCATTGTTCAATTTGTGACCTAGAAGATAGAACAAGAAATGTTATTTCACAATGCATCGTGGTTGTCTTTATAGATGTGTGAATATCCTCGAATCCGATAAGTTAACTAAGTGAGTCACTATCGCAAAGTCTCCCACGAAAGCGGCAACTGGCAGCGAGACTTGGAGAGCGGGGTCTGATTTTCTTGGAGAATTTGTGGAGACACTTAAAGATATGTTAGCACATTCAATTTGTATTTATATGTCCAATTAGACCTTGTAGATTACCTTAACCATCGTGACCTGCCAAAATTTTCCCTCTTCAGAGACGTCATCTTCACCAATAATCACCACAAAAATGTCAAAGTTGTCTGTACCGTTACAATCGAGCTTGACGACACGCTTGTCAATGCGGTGGGCATCAGAGATACCTTTTGAAACCACCGACACACTGGTGATAACGGTGGGCGAATGGTACGTCGACCTGCGAGTCGATAAACAAACCGGAAAAATCGATTGGGCCCTCGCCGGAGAATGTATCGAGGAAAGACAGGACCCACGTATGAGCCCACCCTATTTTCTGACTGTTGCATATCGCACGAGAAGTTACTGACTCTCCACAGGGCGTGTGGTGTTCACTCATGAGATTGACTCCCATCACAATTTCAACGTGAGCAACCTATGTCCATTCATTCCGCTCCCCAATGGAGATGTCCTAGAGACTGGGACCATGGCACGGCCAGATGTACCCGGCGCGCCAATGACGGATTATGAAGAGGTGTGGAGGTATCTTCCGATTCGCGAATGTCCGGAAGGGTCAGGGCGTGACCTTTCATGGATCCTAGAGTCTGATGAGGGTGTTCTAGAGGAGGGTCAGCACCAAGTTATTAAGGTGTTTTTGGCGCAAATTGGAGGCTCGTATTTGGTCCTCCATCAGAAGCAAGTCCATGTGGTTCGGAAAAGTGCTTTCGGAGAAAGAGCCGTTCAGATCACCGGAGAGGAAGTCAGCGCGCGAAGAGAAGAGTGGACGGATGATCACTGGGAAATCAGATATGCGTTGGGACCAAACTGCGATAGTTTACCTTCGATGGCTAATGGGTTGGATGTTGGAATGAGAGGCCGTAAGAGTGGTGAGAAGGTCACTGTTGGAGGTTGTGACTTCATTGTGCGTGCGCACGTGGAAGCCCCCAGGAAAATAAGGCATTCTCGTCTCTAAGCTGGCAAAAGGCCATGGGTAAATTTCAAGAATCTTTTTCATGTCGTAGATATTCGAGAATGCAGCATATACTTATGGAAGCATAATGGTCGTAAATTTTTGCTACAACCACGTTAAATACATTTCTGTTCGGGTGAATCGAAGCAGGGAAATAGACGGAACAGATTCATTGCAGAATTCACATCTCAATACTAGCATGAAATCTCCGATATATCCCTTGAATGCTTTGGATACTGTAACCAACCACAGTATGATTGAAAGATAATAACAGGGTCGACATAGAAGCCGTAGGACGCTGTTGGGAGCGCCCCTTATGTCGCACCAGGAATGTGTTGCTGGTATCGACACACTAGCAAGATGCTTTCTGGCCCTAAGTCACAGTAGCACGATCAAAATTTGTCAGGTCAGTGCTACTGAATTTCCAAGCTGGCGTCTTCCTCTCGAAGAGAATATCAAGTTCCTCGAAGGTCCGGCCCTTGGTTTCTGGCAGACACAAACACGCCCAAACAATCACCCCAATGCTCAGTCCGCCAAACAAAAATCCAATTTTGCCACCCCAGTTTGCCTCAAGAGGGCTCATTGCATACGGAAGGGCAGCTGTAATAACAAGGGAAAAGATATGAGCGAAAGAACATGCCACGCCCATTGTTTTTCCGCGGATTGTTGTGCTTGGGATCTCGGCAATCAAGGCATAAACAAGAGGTCCAAGACCAAAGTTGTATATCAAGTAAAAGACGAGCAACATGGAAGACTTGGCGTAAAGAGCGCCTTTGTTAGAAGATGGTGCCAGATCCAATAATCCAATCAGAAACATGAGGGTTGCAGTTGCGCAACAAGTCAAAATGTAGGGAAGTCTCCTACCCCAGATGGACAATAAAGGCCATGACATTACGTTGCCGACAATACCGAGTGCAAAAAGACCAAGAGACAGGTCAAAGGCCTGATCCGTCGACACACCCGCCAGCTGGAAAAAGTAGGTACAATATGAAGACACGACGTTAACTCCGCAGAAAAATTGACCACTGTAACAGATTGAACAAATCAAAGTACGTCGGAAGTTTGTGCCCTTGAAGCAATCAAGATAGGTGGTTGTGGATACACACTGCTCGCCCATGAGAATGGTTTCTTTCATATGAGCCAAGGTGTCGTCGAGATCCTCAGTATATCCAGTGCGCTTCAGAGAGTTTGCGGCCTCCTCGTATCGCGCTTTCTTCACCAAGAACCAGGGCGTCTCGGGGGCAAAGAACGCTCCAAGGATGAAGAGAACAGGGAAAGCGTATTCTGTGATGAAAGGGATCTTATAAGCCCATTTGTCGGGACGTGTTTCTGTTCCGCGCAAGATCCCGATTGCAATAAATGACCCGGCTACCTGAGCAAAGTTGTTGGCTGCCAGTCCAACACCTCGAAGACTGACAGGGAGGATTTCTGAGATGTATGCCGGTCCAAGAACGGGAAAGCCGCCTGTAAGGAGACCAGTAAGGAGGTCTCCGGCGAAAATGATGCCGGCAGTATTGCCCAGAACTTCCATCAAGAGAGTTCCTAGAGATAAGGTCGTGCAGCATAAGAGTGTCTTCCTGGGGCCGAAGCGATCGACACACCATCCTGCCCAAATTGGAGCCACCAGGAAACCGATGATAGGTGCGTAGGGGAATGCGGATGTCCAAGAAGGAGCGAGAACGTAAGTGCCTGATCCAGCAGGGTGTTCGTAGCCAAAGTCTTTTCGAAATTGTGGGACACCGACCAAACTGCCAAGGATTGTTGGATCATAACCAATCACAAAACCAGGGAGAATGAAATAGGCCGCCCAGAAGATAGCACTCCTATGCTTGGAAAGGGCTTGTCGTACGGTTAGATCATGTTCCCGTTGAATGGCCCTTTGAGAACTCTCTATCAAGTCATGCTTTGGATCTGGTGAGATCTCTGTGGAGGGCTGGGTTTCAGAAGCCATTTGGATGATTTCTGTACGTCAAAGTTACTAGAGGCAGGGATGCATGTATATACTCACGGTTCTTATCCGAAACCCCCTTACATCCGTCATCGGGATAAGGCCGCCTGCCTAATCAAGCATATTCTTTGACTATCTGTATAGTTGCGCATGCCAAGTGGATACTGACCCCGCGTTGTAGCAATATAGCGCTCCTTTAGATGGATACGGCAAATCATGGTAGCCGAAGAGCCACGCAACCCCACAATCCTAAACCTGCTCTAGAATCAATCGAGCCTTATCTACCGTCGCTGTTCTCTACGGCAAGTAAAGTGCACACCCATCTCATTTATGCGATGTGATCTTGTTGAGCCGGCAGAGTCGCAATGGGCTTACACCTCCGGTCAATGAGTGTTTAGGTCTCTTTTCGTATTCGAATGGCGATAATTGGCTTGCCTTGCCGTGGAAAACATTTGATTTTATCAACGAAATAGAAGGTTTTTAAGAAGGGAATGTCAAAGTGCTTATCTCCAGCCTTCGACGGTTGGCTCACTTGCTTCCAGGGTTGTTTAGCTCACTTGCCTATTTGGGTAATATCTTGTTATCCGAGATCCGAGAGCTTATCGGCACATGTGGTCATCTTGGCAGCGGATATCCGACCATCCAGATCGATTCAGTGTTATGTATCACATTTATTCCAAGCTCGCTGTAACAGCACACTGAATTGCCCCTTATCTTCCTCATCTCCCATATTCCTCGATCTGTGGAAGATCCTACCATGGAGGATCTCCCAGACCACCATGCACATGATGATGTACCTGGAACTATTCTCCTCATTGACACAGCCCATGATAGCAATGTATCTGCTCAAAGGAAAGGAATAGTTCTACAACCACAGCCCAGTACAGATCCAAATGATCCCCTCAACCGATCACAACGATGGAAGAATCTCAATATCGGCATGGTATGTTTGTACACCTTTGCTATTGGAATATGCACAGCAGCACAGTTTTCCATCATGACACAAATATCCGAATCGCAACGAGTCAGTCTTGCAGATCTCAATCTGGGCACTGGATTGATGCAGTTGATGCAAGGATGGGCAAATCTCTTATGGCAGCCCATCGCCATGACCTACGGCCGCAGATTGGTCTACCTTGTGACCATTGTATTCTCCATCGGACCAGTTCTATGGGTGCCACTGGCTCATGGCGCCAGCCAATGGTACGCACACCGCGTTCTCCTGGGATTATTTTGTTCGTCCGTGGAGTCTTTACCGGAATTGTCCGTCCAGGATCTCTTCTTCGCCCATGAGCGAGGAAACTATATGGCCCTGTATACTTTTGTATTGTTCGGATCAAACTTTATTGCTCCCTTTCTCGCTGGGTTCATAGCGGATGGCCTAGGCTGGCAATGGGTCATGTACCTTGCTACAATATTTTTGGGCATCTGCGCACTGATACTATTCTTTTTCATGGAGGACACAATCTACTTTCGCAAAACAACCGAGAGCGGGGACCAGCGATATGAAATTATCCCGCCGGATGACAATGAAGAGTTAGGATCCACCAGTGCGGACCGACCCGAGACTCGACCAGTCACAATGTTAGGTGAAACTGGAATGGCCACTGATCTGAAGCCTCGCCGGCAGAGGCTAGCATTGACCACAATCTTACCAGGCCGTCCAACTCATAAGCAAATGGCACTGAAGAGCTGGCAGGCATTGAAAATCCCTTTCTTCTTTCCTAATATTCTCTGGTGTGGTCTCTTATACGGATCAAACCTAGCCCTTTACAGCGTGATTAACGCGACAATCTCGAGTATCCTGGGATCAAGTCCCTACAACCTCCCTCCGACAATGGTCGGTGTTGCTTATCTGTCCCCGTTCGTCTTCGGTGGCGCTGCATCCGTTTGGGCGGGAAAGATGTCAGATTCTCTCGCGATCAAACTGGCAAGGCGTAATGGAGGTGTCCGAGAACCAGAACATAGGCTGTGGGGCCTTCTCGTGTCCGCACCTATCGCTGCAGGGGGGCTGCTCATGTGGGGAGTAGGGGCTAGTCAAGGGGCCCACTACATGGTTTTGATCCTCGGGATTGGTATCACCACCTTTGGAGTCGTTTGTGCGAGTGCAATCTCATTGGCGTACGCTGTCGATTGTTTCAAAGAAATGGCTGGTGAATCCTTCGTTTCCATCAATATCATCCGGAATACAATAGGATTTAGCTTCAGCTATGCCATCACGCCTTGGATCGAGTCTGTGGGTCTTCGAAACTGCTTTATCTCAGTGTCTCTGATCTCATTCTTTTGCACGTATACATTCCTTGGTGTGGTTATCTGGGGAAAGTCATGGCGGAGGATGTCTGCGGAGCGATATTGGCAATTCGTTGCTACGGAAAAAGAGACGGCTCGTGCCTAGTGGCAGTCCAATCCTCCCATTTTCATGCGATATATATATACTAGCGATTACAAGATACACCAGGGCAAAATATTTTGATATGTACAGGAAAATCAATGCCAAATCTGCACGAGGTATCTGGAATCAATTTGAACTATTGACGGAATCCCTCAGGTCAATATCCCTGGAGATTTACTGAATGTGATTTCCTATTGGGAAAGTGATTATTACCGTATTAGGCAACCAAGGCCCGTGCTAAAGCCGACCGGCTCGGTTCCCCCTGGTGGATCCATCGCAAATCCAATGCCGAGGGACGATCTTGGAACTTGGTGTATGTTGTATATGGTCAGAATACACACTCTCTTCGGATATTGCTCTTGATCTATCCAATTTTTAGATTCACTCGCAAGTATTCGATTTCTTACTCAGTCTCGCTATGAAGGATGCGGCTTTCTCCCAGTAGACCATTTAGATCGTTGAAAAAGACTAAGAGGTCCTCATACAATATATGTGATGGAAGTAAGGCGATGAAAAGTACCATGATATAGTATAATATACAAGGCAAAATGAAGGATGCACTTGTGGATCGTGTTTTGGACCAAGAATTGTGATTGAATTGCTTAAGAAGAGATTATACTTTCAAGATGAACTGTGTAAAAGCCACCTATGCGGCCTTAGCGAGCGCTTCCCGTCTTCCGATGCTCTTGGGATCCAGATAAGGTCTCTCTCCAAGGCCGACAGCACGGTGTCCAGTGCGGGGGCCAAGCCCCTCGTAATCATAAGTCGCTGCGTGGTACACAGATCGGTTATCCCAGATAGCTATAACGAAAATTAGATGAGGCATTCACAAGGTTGCACGAGGGGTCATACCAAGATCGTTAGGGTTCTGCCAGCGATTGCGCACTTGCAGGTCGTGGTTCTCGACAATGAGTGTTACGAACCAGTCAAGAAGATGACGGCTCTCCTCATCGGTAACACCGTTGACCCTCTGCACGTGGGTGCCAACAGCGAAGACACTCTTCCAGCCGGTGACGGGGTTAGTACGGATGACAGGGTGCTCAGCTCGGAGCTCATCTCCAACATTCTCCGGCGCGCCACGAGGGCCAGGGTGGACTGAGAAGTCGTTGCGCTTGGCAACCTCGTTGAAGCCGGGCTGCGCATATGTTGCGGTCAAGCTTTCCAAGAACTTCTGGTAAGGTGGGGAGAGACGATCGTAAACTTCATAGCCCGAGGCCCACAAGGTGTCTGAAAAAGGATTAGTGTCTGCGGTCCATTTGATAGAGAGTATCGAAGATGATCTTACCACCACCAGATTCGGGGAGCTCTGTGAGGCGCAAGAGGGTGTAATCGCTAGGAATCGGTTCAAAGGTGATATCACTATGCCACTCCCTGCGCGCACTTTGCTTTCGCACGGTTCTGTCCTTGTATAGCTTTCCGAGGCTGGCAGAACTGATCACACTAATCTCGTCATCCTTGACGGCGTGCTCCCGGGATGAGTTTGCTATCGGGTGGATGTGCAGTCCAGATGTGCTTGGCTTGCCGGAGAGTTCGCCCAGTCGTTGGACAAGCTCCTTTTGCAGGTCATTGTCTAGACTATCCTGCTTGCGGAAGAAGACGACTCCGCGTTGCGAAACTAGGATGTCATGTCAGCTATGTCTCTCAGGTAGCTGCGGATATGACTAACTGGTTAAAGCAAGTTCCCTAAGCAGATCATCGGAGTTGGGGGCGCGCAAGAAGTCCTTCAAGTTGGCATTGGGGAATTCGCGTCCGATGACTGGAGTAACGTCGAAAGACTCGAAAGCATCAAGAGTTCCATTTGACTTGAGAGGCTCACGTGCGAGACCTGTCAGTGTGATCTTGTCCTCGACTGTGGGTACCGCCGTAGGTGCGGTTTGAGTAACAGCAGATGCCATGGTAGTGGTGTTTGATAGAGTGGCGATTGTTGGTTCGCGTTGCTTGTGGATGCTGAAATACCATATCTGGGACGAGGCCATCCATTTTATACCTCGCGACGCTTAGGATGTTGCCGATTATCCGCTTGCGACATCTGTTTGCTGTTGTGCCCAGCCCTGACTGTCACAACCCCGCAGATCTGGAACGGGGTTGTCGCACAGTTAGCACGAAAGCACGTCTTTCATGTTGATCGTTTTGATAGATAACAGTCAATCTATGCTGTCAAAGTCGACATTCGTCATTTTCCCCGGGAATTGGTTGACATCCCGCCATCTGGTGTTGTTGTCGTGATGGGATCATATCTACTGGAGGTTGCGCAACATAGTTGATTACAAACGACACTATACCTATAAGAGGTAGGCCGAGAAGATGCGTTCAATCAGATCAATCTAAAGCCATGACACTGATCGCTTAGTTTAAATTAAGTATTTGTTGGCTAGATGTTATTTACATTGCATGCATCTACTCAAGCACGCAATGTAGGGCCCGACCAATAGCACTAAAAGGAGAAGTGTGTTGTTTTAGATCTGACACTTCGCTTAAATCAAATGATAGTCCTAACTAATTATTTCTGGGATTATGTAGCATAAGCGAAGTCAAAGTTTTATTCATCGGAGGTTATACATGTCAAAGTCTCTTCCACTGGAAAGACCACTTAGAAGCTCTGTAAGACATCAAAAGGCCGCACAGGCAGCCGTACAATCGTATTGCTTTGATATCAAAACTATGTAAATTCTACGCTTTAATAGACGAAGTGAGCTCTTCCCGTCTCATCACGTATAATTCTGTCAAATGCGCAATTCTCAGCGAAATCATCAATGCGCAAATCGGAAATCTAGTCGCTTATTTCCTTCATCCTTAGTGGTTGCCACGTATTGAATCTTCTCGTCGGCCGTCATGGCATTCCATTTCTTATCGCGACTTTGATTGCGCCAGACATAGTACGCCTTAGTCAACAAATAGATGAAGACATTCGAGACAGCAAGTCCCACTAGAGTACGATTGCCTCTTCGGTAACGGGGAGCATCATCTGAGCCGAATTAGAATGCCGAACAATCTCTCATAGAAGAAGGAAGTTGATGACCAACCAGCGCGATAGATATTGGAAGCAATAATTGTCGATGCTTGGACACACATGTTATACATGGCAGCCGAGACCGTGCGGGATCGGACAGTATTCGAATTGCGAGAGTTCCAGTTGACTTGAATAGCATGTGCTGTGATTTTGTGAGCCGTCATATCAAGTACGCAACAGATATGAATAGGTTACCATTCGGATATGCCAGTAGTAGTGTCATCACGACCCACACCGACCACTTGTTTGCGGTATCGATGTCAACCACGTATAAATAGACCAAGAATGGAAGGATCCATATCTGTCCGATCATAGCTACAAAAGTCAATTGGCTCCAAATTTCCGAGACGTATGTAATAAGTAGAATGAAGACAATGGACAGCGCCTCGCTAGGAATAACCAAAAGATTGGTCACGAATGTGTCGAATCCGAGGCCTCTTAGCGTAAGAGTAAGATATTGCTTGGGGGTAACGACTGGTGTCTGGAAGGTAAGTCCAAGAATGTATATTGGCCAGAGATCATAGTCTTTGAGACTCTTCCAGAGTAATTTGAGGGTAATAGGTTCTCGATTGTGCATGGATCCTTTGCTTGGGTCGTCACGAATTACTCGATTAACAATAATGGTTTCCTCTCTGTCAAATCCCGTCAATAAAAATGCAAAGTTCGCAAAAGAAATAACATAACTGACCGCGCAGTGAACCAGCCTGATTTGCCCCGGGACCAATTAGCAGTCTGACATGGCCCAGGTGGCATCAAAACATATGCAGACAGACCAAATAGAAGTGTCAGAAGGCCCTGATCTTGATGTAAGTAATTTGGTGTCTTTTCAAAACGCCATGAAATCTCTACTAACCTCCAACAAGAACAACCAGCGCCATCCCGATTGACCTTGCACACCACGAAGATGTAAAAATCCGAAAGCTAGGAATCCAGCAAGAATATCCGCAAGGTGCATGGCCGTCCAAAAGAAGCCAAGTCGCAAAGATAGCTCATGATGTTTATAGAAGTAGGAAAGATACAATATCACCTTCGAGTCTGTTAGCAGCGGCCCAACACAGGAACGTGACTAACTTACATCTGGGATGAATCCACCTTGTAATATACCAAGCAGGGCACGGCACAAAAGAAATGTGGTTCTTCCTTTCAGCCCATACTGAGCCATCGCAACTGCAGACCAAAGAACCATTTGGGTAGGAATCCACCGATCAGGTCCAACCCATTTACTGAGGAGCTGAGAGGGTAGCTCTGAGCAGAGGAATGAGAGCTTGAACACTGTATTTCCAAGATTGAAGTCTAAAAACAGAACACAGCGGTCAGCCTTATGATAACAGAGAAGAACATACAAAGCCGATTCTTTATTTACCATTCGTGGTCATATTCAACTCGGGAAGCAAGTTGTCGGTTAGAGCTTGTGACAGATTGCCGCGATCTAACTCCAAACACATGAACATGAGGCAAGTAAATACCATGATACGAAGATCAATCTTGCGAATCAATTTATACTCCTCGCCCCATGTCCACCGAGCAGATGGGTCGAATCGGTGAAGATTCTCCCAGTCAGCTCGGGGTTGAAATTCCTTTGCAGTGTCTGGGTTGTCATAGACGGATGGCTGGGTCGCAACCGCGTCAGGATTGTAGTCTTTGCCTCGCTGGAACCAAAACCGGCGCTCCTCTGCTGGTTCGGCCAATGGCGCAACGTCAAGGCTAGTAGATGAATCTGTGTCTGTACCTTTGAGTGTCGAGATTGTCTCAGTCGGTCCTTTCTTTGTGGCAAATATAGTGGCCATGCTGGCGATACAAAGCTATTACAACCAAATCGTGAAACTTTTTCAAGCTATCCTTCTCTCCAAGATATATCTGGATCATTCGGACTCTTCTTATACATCCCGCAGCGACGATCTCATCGGAATACTTTGCCCTGAGCATGATTTAATTGATAACAGACCACTTGGCATTGAGTCGCATCATTAGGCCAAGTATTGAGCAATCATCTATTGCGCTGTGAGAGGTGTAGGGACAACAAGGGTCAACATGAATCAACGGTTAGTGGTAATGGCATCTTGGTGGCTGAATATCACATCATTCCGTTGAAATACACCACATCCCCATGCGAAAAAAACAAACTAGAATTCTTTACGAGTGACCTAGGACTGTCAAATCAATATATTTGCCGACAAAAGGGCAAATTTTCAATTGCCTATCGACATGAGCATTTTTCATTTTTGGCCTCTGTTCTCTACCAAAATGCTCATTCACAAGCAGCACAACTCCCGTGCAAAAGACTATGTGCGGTGAACTGGATGCCTTAAAAACAATCATCCAGCAATGAAAAGCCCGGGCTGAATGCTGCCGATATTCTGAATTAATTGCTTTAGAAACGCCGCTAATTTACTGACATGAGCCGAAGATTTGACTCAAACGTTCATTCGCGATACAAGCATCTCTATATACGAGATTCGAAAACTCAGATTGTAACTGGGTTATTGATAGCGAAATTCGTTCGAAACAAGCAACTCCAATCCATACAATTCAAAATGTAGTATAGATTTATTGGCACTGGACAGTCCAAAAAAAGCCTGGATGAGCCCTTCCTTTCAACACCCAATGTTTATATGTGTGTGTGATCTTGCCATCTTCGCCGTGGAAAGTATGATATTCATATCCAATGGCACAGCTGAGTGAGAACAAACCGCAGTGTGTAGCATATACTTCATCGAATAAAATATCACGTTCGCGACGTGGAAGCCTGAGGCTAGTTTGTTAGAGCTGGACGGATACCTTCCACTTTTGGAAGTGGCCCTAGGGCCTCCTACCTAAATCATAGTGTTTTCCCCCTTCATTCACTCACTGTTTTTGTCTTTCTCTCAAATTACTCAAAAGTTTCAGCATACTATCTCGAATGATCTACTATACCATAAGGCTGGAAACTCGTTGCTGATACAACTTTATTTACTGCAAGCGTGCTCTCATTAATACCACTACCCCTATTCCACGCGCGCACATAGCATCTCACATGTGAAGGAAAACATCTATATAGCCTCGTCTGTCCATTATCATTGACAGCTGATTTCTAACACTGCCATCATTGGCCACTAAGCCACTCCATTCTTCGGGAGGCAGGTCACGTCCCGCAGTAGAAAGCATCCGAGCAGATGACTATTATCAATGTCGATGATTGCCTCCCAGTATGAAATTCCCGACCTACCGCGCTTTTTCATTATGCTCCGTGAGTACATCTTCATTTTAGCGCCTTGCAGGGATCCTGAAACGTCCCCGCCTTGTTGGGAGAACCCCCACGAAAGATTGCAAATACACCAACCTTCTTAAAATAAAAACGCCCTGACTGGTCAAAGGCTAGTCACTCTGAGGTCCCTGAGAACTCTAGGGCGTCCATCGTCCATCCACTCAGGGTTTTCCTTTAACCGCCGGGATGGAGGTTGACAGCCTCGGCGGCTAGAAAAGTATGGGGCAGAAAAAAAGACCTTTCTACTGCCTGACATCTTCCAACATAAACTTTGGAGAAGGATGCGATTGCATGATTTTGAAAAGCGTGTCATTGCTTTCAGTTTCAATCCCTATCCCCTTTTGGCCGGAATGACCATCTCCACAAAGCCATCCCCACCACGATGACCATGAAAACGTATATCCAGTCAGCGAAGACTTTATCCCCGGAAAATAACGCTCAAGATAAAACGCCGGGATGGCGACCATGTTATCTCCGAAGGCGAGTGTTGGTTCTTTTCACCATCTCCCTCTGCACAATCATAGCGACTCTGGAAACCCTCAACCAATTCTCTCAAACTCACAATGGCATCGCATCTTCGGTTGAAAGTCGCCACTACTTTTGGACCTATGGACCTACTGCGATACTTACCATCGTTGCCTTGTTTTGGTCGCGCGTCGAGTTCCAAGCGAAACAAAGTGCGCCGTGGTACTCTATGCTTCATGGACCTCAACAAGCGGAGAATAGTGTGCTCTTGGACTACATATCTGAGATGCAACCTGTGTCCATATGGAGAGCCTTGAAGAACAAGCATTTCATCGTCGCTGCTGGCGTCACTTTGTCAATACTTCTCCGCCTTCTCGTCGTTTTCTCCACTGGTCTTTTTCGCTGCAACAAGTTCAAGTTGACAAGGCCAATTTTCCTATCCAGATACATAGTAATTTCAACATTGAAAGCTCTACACTGGATGGCTTTGGGTTGCAGGCATACGACATTCTCAACGGTGTTCTTTTCCAGGACGTCCCCTTTCCCGAGGGCTCAACTGCAAATTTTGCATTTCAGGAATTCTCCGTCTCGGATCTTCCGTCTGATGCGAATATCACCGTACCAACTCAAGGTTTAATGTCAGATTTGGACTGTGATATTGCCGATGTAACGGTTAAAAGCTGGCCGCCAGCCATGTTCAGCCCTCCATCAGTTCTTGTCGACCTAGCTACTCCATCATGCAAAGTCTCAAACGTAACACTAGATTTGACGGCCAATGATGCACCATTTGGAGCGGGGATTCAGGTAGGGCAGTGCGACAATACAAGTGGCCCTGGAGGGAAGCGCGTCGTGGCCACTAGCCAAGAAGCCTTGATCGTTAAGACCAAAGCTGAAGACAAAATGCCGTCCAATAACACATTGCGTCGCTCTGTTGCACTAATATGCAAACCGTCCCTCTTATCCCTGACCCTTAAGGCGGAAGTCAAGGCATCCGAATCATCATCGAAAGCTCGTTTCGAAACTCTTGGCTTTCAAAATGCGACTCTGTCGGGTCTTATAGCTGCTGACCTGGTTGACCCGGTGATCCGTGGCTTCAGAAACAGCAAAGGCTTCAGAGCCATTGAAAAACACCTAAGAATTGGAGCGAAATATGAGGTTCAATCGCAAGTGGCACTTGGCATGTGGCTGACAGGAGCAACCTCCAAGCTTGAACCACTCTTCGAGGTTGATGTGCTTGAGAACGTAACCGTGTCATATTACCGCGCAATGGCCGCGCAGCTTCTGCATCTGGGATCTCAAAAACAGAAAGCGACATCATATGGCAACGCAACTGTACATGAGAATAGAGTGCTGATATCGCAGCTACCCCTTCGAGTGATGGAAGTCTCTCTCTCATTGGGGGTCCTTCTGCTGGGTTGCATGATTTTCCTTGTGTCTTGTGAGACATTGGCTCAATGGAACCCAAGTTACATCTCTTCGATTGTAGCAATCCTAGCCAATAGCGAGGATCTCCGGAAATCTGTCGGCAGCACCGGGGCAGCAAGCATGGAGGATATTCATGCTCGTCTAGCTGGTCGACGCTACTATTTGCAAAGCACACCTCGGGGCACTGCAATTCTAGACACAACGGATGATTACAATGAGGCCAACTTGAATTCTACATCTGATTACGTCGCATGGAAGCCATTTCCAGGTCTAGCTTGGCGGGCTTCTGGCTTTGCCATAATCGCTATGATCATTGCAGCCTTGGAGATCGTCCTATATCGCTCGCAGGCAGAGAACGGCATAGGAGATATTTCATTCAATGAATACGTGCACTACCTGTGGACAATTATTCCTGCAATGATTATGGTTTCAATAAGTATGTTCTACTCGACCATTGATTTCAATACGCGGTGTCTTGCACCATACGCTCGCTTAAAACAGTCTACTGGTGCCAAGATCAAAAACTCCTTAGAATTGAGCTTTCTGGACTCTCTCGGACTGCATAATATCTTTCTTGCAATTCGATCAAGGCATTTTGCGGTGCTGGCAACGACATTGGCGACTGGAGCCGCCTTCTTTCTGACCATCATCACCAGCGGCTTATACTCAGCCACTGACATCCCTCGACATATCAACTCAACCTTTATACAGAATGGCAGCTTTCCAAGCCCTAAAGCCATTGCGCCAGCTCCTCTGTACACAGACGAATACGGTGAGGTCACGGGAATTGTCACTGCGAAATACATTCTCCAAGACAACCTGACATTTCCGAGTTGGACATGGGACGACCTTGCGCTCCCGGAAATATTACCACACGATCTTTTGGGTCCGAGCAGGGCCATGGAAAGCTCTTATGTAGACATCAAAGTGCCTGCACTGAGGGCTGCTCCTTCCTGTCAGCTCCGGACAATCGCAGAGCTGAATCCAAACATTACGGTGGAAGATGGTTCGACCGACAAATATATGCTGACGGTCAATTTGCCCTATCTGTTTTGCTCAAATAACAGAACAAAAACGAATCACACGCAAATGGTGTTCAGCGGGAAACAACTTCAATCCCAACACTTCGGATACTCGGTATATTACGCATGTTTGCCAGAAAACCTCTATCTTCCTTCTCCCACTCGCTGGATGAATTCGTACATCTGGGGCCAGTTGAGCAATACATCCGTTAAGACTATTATGGCTATCACGTGCATGCAATACGCAGAAACAGTCGACGCTTCAGTACGCTTGAAGTTGCCAGGACTAGAAATTACCGAAAACCACCCCCCAATACCCGACGAGTCAACCGCAAAACTGGTTCCAGATGTGTACGTGCCGATTTCTGAGTGGTGGGTCCTGGGTGATCGCGAATCATACCCCATGACAGACGCTTTCTTCCATTTCCTGATTACTGGAAAGTACGGCATTCCAATTGAAGACCTTGGAGCTCCTGAACAAAGCGAAAAGGTCATCAAAGCAATAAAGCGCCAGATAGGACTCATTACCGCGCAGCAATTTAACTCCTACTCTCGTGGCACATCGAATGAAACAACAGCTCGAGCAAGAGTGGTTGGGAATATCACGGTGCCCAATCGACTGCGACTGGTTCAAGATGCGACTTCAACGCGGATTCTGGAAGGAATCCTTGCAGCTATGCTGGTATTGGGTATACTAGGCTCCGTGATGATGAATACGGACAACGTTTTGCCTAAGAATCCATGCAGTATTGCAGCTGTTGCAAGTCTCTTGGCAGATTCAAATCTTATAGACCGACGTGCGTTGGAGATGATGGATACAAGCGCCAAGCCCCTCCAATCCGGGCTTTTCAGCCAATGCTATGCGTATTTAGGCTGGAGGGATGAAAAAAATAGCCCTGGGTCATCGAAAGTAGGCGAGGACGTCGGAAGCAGCGGCAAGTTCATGATATACATTGAATCGGAAGATGAATCTCGCGAATGGAACATGTTTTAGATTGAGAAGGATATTTAGAGCACACAGACTAGTCGTTATCTCCATAGATGTACTATATACATCATTCAGCATATGTGCCACACACGCTTAATTCAAAAGCATCGAGAATCACTGTGTACAAAGCTGTTGATATTCATTTAGTCTCACGGCTACCGTCTGACATTATGTAGCCGAGCAGGCTGCTAGAGATATTGTACATTCAGGCAAAACCTCTACAAAAACGAGGCGTTTCTATGGATGGCTCAAATACTGCCAGGCAATATTATCCAACGAGAGATTTATGTTTCGATGGCATACTTAATCGCCTCCGTGTCCGGGCTATGCTTGGTTTACATAATCACCGCCCTGCTCAGGTTCGGGATACACGGCCAGAGCCTGATTGTTCGATAATAAACCTCACGTCATATTAGATAGCCAGGTATGAGATCTCTCAGTTTAAATTCAGAAAATGCAAAGCGGTAAGCCAAATGAACCAATCGTTTCATTATCGTGACACGGCCCCGGTAACGGCGTTGGGGTCATTCTCTTAGCGTCAAGCAACAGCCCCCGCATGCTATACTTGTGGAAAGAGTCTGCGAGACAACATGGATTATTGCTCAGATTGTTCACATTCCCACAGTTATTGTATTTCGTAATTAGATAGAGCACATCTAATTCGGTATAGCCAAAGCTATAAAGAGCAATGGCTGCCCCAATCCCACCATCGACGTACAACTTGTCGGACAATCTTCAAAATGCGCTTCACAACTTCCACATTATCTCTTCTCTTGCAGGGTGCTGTGGCTCTGAATGTTGGCCCAGAATATGCTCATCCGATAGAAGGTCAGTACCACAAGACAATCCCTAAATCAACATACTAAACACACAATAGATCTTGACGTCGATCTTCCATTTTCTCAGCCGGTCACATTCGCTCACTTGGAATGGCAAAGATGTCTTGCAGCATCTCACAATAAGGTACGTTACCGGTCCACCCAACTACCCAATTATTCCACTAACCCTTGCCAAAGCCCCTCGACATCGCTATTCTCGGCTTCCCCTACGACACATCAACCTCATACCGCCCCGGCGCAAGATTCGGCCCTCGAGGTATCCGTGCAGGATCAGCGCGTGAGAAGAAGGGTCGAAGCTACAACACCGTGTGGGAGGTGGACCCATATGAAGAGGGGCTTGAAATTGTGAGTGCAGCGCATTTACATACAATTATAAGATATGACCGCTCATCCATCGCCAGATTGACTGTGGAGATATCCCCATCACCCCATTCGATGCCGCGCACGCTTTCAAACAAATGGAACAGGGTTACCGACAGGTTCTCTACCACCCCACATCCGAGGGAAACGCATGGGAACACCCCAGGATTGTGAGTTTGGGCGGAGATCACTCGATTGTCTTGCCTATCTTGCGGTCGTTGAAACACGTGTACGGCCCGATCTCCGTTATTCACTTGGACTCGCACCTCGACACCTGGGATCCCTATGAGGGTTACACTGGAATCGCGTCGAACCAGTCGGCTATCACGCATGGAACTTTCTTCTGGCATGCGAGTCGGGAGGGATGTATTGCTAAGGGAACTAGTGTGCACGGAGGACTGAGAACCAAGCTTTTCGTGAGTGGTGCTTGACAATGTCTTATCGGGAATCAATCCTAATTGAATATTATCAGAGTCCCAAGGATTACGAGATCGACCAGAATGTTGGATTTACCATTATCGAGGCCCATGAGATTGACGATATTGGCATGTCCGGAATCATTGATAAGGTCCGGAGTGCTGTCGGGGATACCCCGACTTATCTTTCCATTGATATTGACGGTGAGATTCGCTTTTGTCCTGTCCAAGGCATATTATAAACTAATTTTTTTTCACTCAGTCCTCGATCCCAGCATCGCCCCTGCGACCGGAACTCCCGAATCGGGCGGCTGGACTACTCGTGAGTTGAAGCGGTTCATTAAAGGTCTTGAGGGTGTGAATCTTGTCGGTGCCGATGTGGTGGAAGTCAGTCCTCCTTACGACACCGTTGCCGAGACTACTTCTGTCGCTGCTGCGGACTTGATCGTTGATATTCTCGCATCAATGGCAAAGTTGAAGACAGGTCCAAAGGTGAAGGCGCCAGCTTCCAAGGATGAGTTGTAAGCATAGCTTGACGGAAATTCCAAACTTTGAGATTTCAACTATGTACGAATCACGCTATATGAGACTTTCAAATAGGCAAGACCAATTTGCCTGATTGTTTGAGAGCGTCCCTCCAGTTAATTACATTGTCGTCTAAATTCATGATGCTCCAAATTTCCTGTATAACTTTCCATTGCCTCTTAAAATTGCCCATCGAGTAACCTTGGACTCGCTCCCACCATTCAACCCAAGGCTCTCGATCGGTTGCCTCACATGCAGCGATGAATGCTGGCCAGGACATAGGGGCTGCGCGTTTTTCGCCCCATGAGTATACGTCTTTGAGATCTTCGGCTAGCGAGAGATTCGTCCAGATTGCTCCTACTCGCTGCTGCAGATCCAATGGGTTGGAGTTCTCGATTGCTCGATAATAGAAAATCGCGATCGCGCTATGAAATGCTAATGCCTGGTAACGGATTATATCAAGCATCGTGGGGTCCTCCAACGTAACGAGATCAAAAGACTCGGACTCTATATCCCACGAGAAGATTTCATCGTGCAATATCGAACATGCTTCGAGTAAAATCGTTGGCATTTCAACGTCCTGGTAGAAGACCAGATACTCGGCCAACTGACAGGTTCTCTGCAGCAGATTTCCCAGATATGGGGTTATCCCATACATGTATTGGATGTTAATGTCGTCATTGTGAAAATAAGGCTGCTCAAAAAACGGACCTTCCGGTGTCCAGGGTCTAGGGTCCAACTCGTGTGCTGTCGTTCGAGCCAGGAGACTTAGGAAATGACAAATACTGCTGACCTGCTGGGTGGAGTCATCGGGCGATTCAGTGGCATGATCTGGTCTTTGCAGCTGACGACAACCCTTCAGATGAATTGGGAAATCCGAGTCTTCGCCCGTCATGGTCTAAACTGTTAGATTCAATGATACTTCATAGAATGGAGCGAAAGTCACCTACATCAATTGTGACCAAGGATAGCATTGCTGTCAGATAGACAGTATATTGCTGGGAGTCTTTGGGCGCTACAAGTGAAGATTTGAGTGCCCGTAAAGCTTTAGCCCGGTGCTGCAGACCAAGATTGTGGTATTCTCTTGAGCCCCCCCATGACATTCCGGAGATGGAATGCGGCCGATGATAATATACTGTGGAATAGCGAAATTGAGACACCGGAAGAAGGTACGGTGTTTTGGACAAGACACAAATCAGGGCAGCCCTCAAGAGCGAAAGGGAGATATGTTGTTCGCCAAGGGTTCCTCGGGTGGAAGACTGGCTGTAGGAGTTCTGCAACATGATTTTTATAGTGATACATAAGCATGGATGTGTTGGAATCTTTGAAGATTGGTATCGAAAGCTCGATGTGTGGTGATGGCAGTATTGCGAGCGACAGTCCTTTGGAGTATGATTGCCTTGACGAATTTGGTGTATCGACCATCCCTAGTAATGACTCCCAGTTCGATGAAAGATCTAGTTCGCGAGTTTCCACATCGGAAGTGACACGGTCATCTGAAAGCGTTTCAAACAGTTCGCTGGACAGCCCAACTGGGTCCAACTGACTAGGAGTGATCCCAGAGCCCCAGTCCTGGGTCTGATCATTTTTCTCCAACGAAGCGTGGGGTTCGACATATTCATTGCCGCCGTGTTCCCATATGGAGAATATGGCAAATGGTCCTATAGTGACGGTGTGCGGTGGCGAGGAAATCGAGTCAAGCGAGGATATTATTCGGTTGATTTCCTGTTCTGAGATGCTTGGAGAAGTAGATTGTTCTGAGGAAGAATGTTATCAGCCAATGTGATGTGCCTTTGGGAGAGGACCGAAACTCACCTAGTCTAATCTGTCTGCGTTGGAGTCCCTGAAGATCCCGTTTATTATCCGTCATCCAGCACAAGTTTACACCGTAGCCGGCGCATTCCAGGCCGGATTTCTGGCAGACTCCACATCCATTCTGTTGACGCTCATCACATTTGACCTTCCGAGACCTGCAGGTCCAGCATCTGTTTGTGTCAGCCGTAACACTCTGTAGATGTTTGGATATATTTGAAAATTACCCCGTGAACGTCACCGACTTCTGTTTTGCCTGGCGAAGACGCTTAGGATGTTTTTTCGGAGCTTTCACAGTACCGCCCATGGTCTTGTTGTCATGGTCTGCTTCTCAATTTGGGTAATGATAGTTGTCTTTGGTGGTCGTGAGGGGGAGTATCAAGCAGATCGGCGTTATGACACGGCGTGCAGTTGGAGTAACGCCAAGGTAAGTGGTCGAGCTTCAAGTCAAGCTCAAAGGTGTCAATAGTGGAGCTAGGTTGAGATAAGTGCGGGGTCAATCGGGACCAATAGGTACAAATGTCAGCCGATGATGTTTGTCCATTCTGCAGAAATCTCCTCAATGTTCTCTATGTTCTCTTAACCTCTCTAATGTGGGGGATTAGTGGGTTGGATTCCATGACACAACAGATTTGGGGATGAGACCTTATCTATGGAGTACGTCTTATCGATACGCCCTATCTTATCTCGATAAGTGGATCGGGCTTGGCATTTGAAAAGGGAAGGAGCCAGCGACAGGTAAACCCTAATACAATGGATGTGAATTTAGCCGGGAAATAGTATGATGAATTATTATTGTCTCAGAGATAATATTGTTTACAGTAAAGCCAGTGGCAAACTATCAGTGGCGAGTGTTCCAAATCTCACTGCAAGTGCAAGTCCACCTGTGGTCCAGTATAGTTCCCCCTTCCGTGCAATACCCACCATAGCGCCACTAGCAATGTCAATCCACATGTGATCACACTAGTATAGTTCATCTCTTCCGGGGAGGTCGGCAGGGTATAAGGGAAGCAGTAAATCACAAACGAGGCAGCAATGTACAGACATGCAACGGCATTGACAACAGAGCCAACTTTTCCCATCCAAAATGGACCAGGGCGAATATTCTTGCGCCCTGTTATCAAATGTGGGAATATAGCGAGGAAGTAAGACAGCGTTGTGAGCAGCACAAACGAGCCAATAAAAGCCTCAAAAGCAGTATAAGATCCCACGTAAATTGCTCCGATACATGTCAGAAACACGCCACATGCCAAAGTTGCATACAGTGGGCTATGCCACTTTGGACTGATGGCTCCAATGTGTTTTGAAAACGGCGTTGCATCGTCACGACCCAACACATAGAATGTTCTTCCCGCGGTAATATAGCATCCAATCGTGGCACAGAAGATGGGCGCGATGGTGAGCACAAGAAGCCCCACCGCACCTGCTCGGGAACCAGTTGCTTGCAAATAGATATCCCCAAGGGGTGAGATGGAGTCGGAGTTCACAATAAGAGGCAGGTCGGTGACAGCATAGAACATGGAGATCAAATAGCAAAAGCCAGTCGCGAAGCCGATGGTCACTTGGCAAGCAAGGGCTCTTGGGATATTTCGTCTTGCACTAGTTGAAGTATCAGTAGAGGAGCTTTCAGCAATGGAATGATGTGACATACTCGGGAATTTCTTCTGCGATATGCGTGACGCAGTCAATGGCACCTATAGCGAATGCTCCATTTAACATGCCTGCAAGGAACGTGAATCCGTTGGAGTAACCAGTGACGTTGTTCCAATCTTTCCAGACAAAGTCATTTGATGCATATCCGGCTCCATTTCTGCTAGGCATGATAGCGCAGACCAGAATTGTAATACCGAAACCAGCAATAATGAAGAAAGATCCGATTCTGCTGATGAGCGGAAGAGCCCGTTGGCAGAACATGACCGTAAGACAACAGAGCCAGGACATGATCAGATAGCAAACAAAAACATGCCAGCGCTGCGGCTTCACCTCTGGATGGTAGAGTGCGTATGAGTAGACAATCATGCTTCCAGTCATAGAACAGTTCCCTGCTACGGCGAATGTCCAAGCAATGCCATTCAACCACCCAGCGAACCAACCGCATATTCTGCCATAGTGAGGACCAGCGGTGATAGTAGCCCAGTGATAGACTCCTCCAGAAGCTGGAATTGAAGAAGCAAGCTCGGCAATCGACGCGGCAATGAAGCAATAGAAAAAGGAGGCACTTGCGCTATCTTCGGTGTTAGAGTCGAACTTTGGGATTCTAAACGGATGAACACCCACAACTCGTATATGATTCCCGGTGGTCCGCCATTGTAGAGAGAGGCAATCTAAGATGAGTTAGTTGTTTATAGCCTGGAGGAAAGATTTGATATTTACAATTCCACCTCCCAGAACTGCCCAAGCATTTCCCGTTGTAATTCCAGTCGCACAAGCGCTCAAGAGGTTGAAGCTCTTTGCCAGTATAGGCGTGGCACCAATCTCAATACCATCTATTGTAGAGCCTTGGGGTGAAGATTCGATATCACCAGTAGCTTCCTTGATCTCAAATTGTGCCATGTTTATGGATATGAATTGCAATGCAATCAAAATGTGTATGACTCACATTTCGACGGAAATAGCTTTACATATTTATGATCTTTGTTTATCTTTACACTTCCCTTGATCTAATACAAGAATGACTTTATCCTTTTGAGATACAAGATATGTGAGAACAAGTCGCTGGCTCTTACTAAAAAACCAAGAACCGATTGAATTCAACGATAGTATTGGCTTTGGAATACTATTATCTTTTGTCCTTTTTAGGTTTACTATATTGTCAATCAAATTGACCTACTCGCTGATATCTCTTCGCTTGCTCCTGCCATATGAATTCATTTCTGATAAGACCTGGAAGTCCACGGATACTGGAGGATCTTGTCCTAGTGTCTACAGCCAGTCTAGCAACAAGCTGCTATCAAGACAACCATATCAACCTGATAGCTGTTGATTGGTCCAAGCATCTAAGCATGGAATCTCAGAATAAGCATTCTGTGCTCGCTGGCTGTTACCGCATCGGCACAGGCTCGTGGGACTTGCATATTTCCCCGCAAGACCAAGATCTGGCCCCAGTCAACTTCATGCTGTCTAAGCCATCCACTGATATAAAGCACGGTGTATCTTATCCTTGTGTTATGAGATCTGAGACTTGCTTTGTTCCCAAATTCCACAAACATGACGTCCTGTTTTAGCAGCCAATCTGTCATCATTACAGGTGCTTCTGCGCCATTGGTAGAGGCGTTTCGCGCTTGTTCCTCAGGTGAGCTTGGTCATTTAATGGAGAAAGGATATAATCTAACATCTACAAAGAATCCAAGAACAAAACTATCGCGATCAACCTAGATAGTCTGATATCTAGGGACTTGACCGAAGCACAGGCTCAAATAAATACCGCTTTCAACTCTTTCGACCAAATTGATGTTTTCATTATCGACACCAGATTTCAGGAGCCCTCTGGGAGAGACGCCATTTGGGAGATTCCTTTGAGTGAATGGGATCAGGGACACACATCTATGAGCTGCCAAAGAAAGATGTTGCTGCAGGCAAAATTATTCTTCCAGCATCAGTTCCAGATCAACGAGACAAAGTCTCTTGAGAACCAATCAGGAAACGGGTTCTCTATGGTCGTCCTCGGTTATCGAGATCTCTTCGATGCTTCACTCGATCATGTTATTTCAAAGCTCCAAAGAGACGTCTCACGACTTCACCCAGGTGCTTCCGTCAACTTCCTTGATTTTAGCACACCGCAAGAGGTGTCCGCGCAATCAATCGTCGCAGCAACAGCGATATTGGCTTCGGTGAAACCCGCCCGTGGAATCATTTCACTGGCCGACATTTCGAGTGTAAAAGGCACTGAGAAAAACGAGAATCATAACTCCATTGTTCAGAACACTCAACTTTGTCGAAGCCCGCCTCTCCATCATAAGCATCCAAAGGTCAAAATTGCTTTATCGTTCGACTTCGACGCAGTCTCCGCCTTCCTGGGTACAGGACATCATCCAGACAACAACATGGCAGACTACAGCACCGGCATATTTTCCGGCCGAGTTGGTGCCAATCGGATACTACGGATGCTACAAAAACACCAAGTAGCCGATAAAGTTACTTGGTTCATTCCGGGACACACGATGGAAACCTTCGAACCAACCGTCAAAGAGATTATCCAGTCCGGCGCCGAGATCGGACTTCATGGCTATTCGCACGAAGGTGCCTATCAAATGACACCCGCTCAAGAGCGAGACGTACTCGTCAAGTGTATGGAAGTGTCACAACGACTAACCGGCAAAAGAGTTCGAGGCTACCGCGCGCCCATGTACCAACTTCGCGAGACAACAATCGAGCTTCTGAGAGAATTTGAATTTCTATACGACTCCTCTCTGAGCCATCATGACTCACAGCCATATTTCACACCCAGCGATCCACCTATCGAGAAAGTGGATTTCTCCAAACCGGCTAGTGCTTGGTTACGCCCCACGCCGCTTGCTGCGACAAATGCCCGCCCTGTGGGCCACCCACTGGTGGAAATTCCCACTGGGTGGAATAATGAAGATATGATGGCGTTGCAGTACTTCCCACATCTTGAGAATAGCCATGGACATGTTGATGCACGGGTTGTTGAGCAGAGATGGAAGGACATGTTTTTGTGGCTGTGGGAGAATGCCCACATTGATGGAGGAGATGGGAGCTTTGTCTTCCCTATCTTGATGCATCCCGACACCAGTGGAATGTCTCATGTGATCGGTATGGTTGATCGTTTTGTGGGGTGGCTTCGGGGATGGGGGGATGCAGTTCAATTCCGCACTTTTGAGAGTATTACACAGGAGTGGTTAGATGAGCAACAGAAGGCCATGTAATTTGGATATTGATTTATGCATAATGAATATATTGTTTCCCAATGAATTAAGCAATCTATTTTATTTAGAGGAAGCCGTTATTCAAGCCCATCCCGGACCACTATATACATCGACCCACTACCTGTCTATAGTAGTGTATCATCAGTGCGCCAGTTCAGATTTTGCCTGTATTTTTATCCATAATCCGAGGACTACATTTGAACCCCCCAATTCTATGTATAATTCAAGAACGGAAGTCGGATTGTCTTGTGAAATTCTTCCACTCAGTCAACAAGGTCCGATGCATCAATCGCCTACAATCTGCCTTTTTATACGAGTCAAATATACCCCTCAAGAGAAAAGACGACTGAATAGACTGCTACGAAGAGTGTCAATAAGAGGTCGAGCTTCAGTTTGTCAAATCTGAAGTGGTGCGTTGGCGGAAATAGACTACTGTGTATGTCCTTTCGTTATACTTTTACGTATACATGAGCTTGAATCTGAATGGAATCAAAGATGCAGGATAAGATTAGATCATAATAAAAGTAATCTGATTGGTTGATAAGCAGGCTCGCTGGCTGTTGCCTCATTCGAGATAAGCATAAACATGCCACTCCTGAGGGATTTATATAAGCCTGTGTGAACCACATAAAAAGTACAAACATAAAAACACTCCTACGCAAATCTCCAAACATATCCTACAGAATGCATCTTGCTATTCCTCCCCCACCTGTTCGCAATCCCGAAAAGGGGTTCAATACACGCCCAAAGAACATACGACCTGAATCAGTCGCAACAAATGAGGCGGAATCCTTACAGACGTCTTCCGAGGACTCGTTAAAAAAATCATTTAGAAGATCTATCATGAATGGTAAGTCATGAATGGGTTGTTTATCTACCCGTGCTTACAATGTTAAAGCCTTTGCCTCTCGCAACAGAACGTGAAGACAGCGCAAACGCAGTTATTGATTCATTTGCTCTTTTTGTTATATACCTGGGCTGCTACTGGAAGTTTTATTATCTCGATATTGCGGCGTTTTCATTGGTGCCTGTTGTTATGATGTTCCTATTTAGACTACGATCTTCTCTATTTCAAACAAGATCTATATTCTAGCGTTAGCGATTATTACTGATTCCGTTTTCAATGATGAACCTACCTTTTCAATATATCGAACGCCGACTGTAATTCCATCCTCATCCTCAAATTCACTTTCGTCCTGGAAAAGCAGACTGCCAGAGTCCAGGCAAGTCAAACAGTTGATGACTGTATCCGTATAGATTCTGCCCATAATCCGGGGTAAATGAGATTCGGCCATGTCAACAAAAACAGACTTAATTTCAGCTGCCGCCCTTAGCTTGTTCGTGGCAGTCAACAAATTCGCGATTGGTAGCTCTGAGCTGGGGACAGTCTGGTCACCCATGTGGTACACAAATGAGCCCCATAATCCAATTTCTAGTAAGCATACCCCGATGCTATAGATGTCATGCCGCATGTTATATATCTGTCCCGGGCGAGCCCCCTGCCGTGCGGGGTGGCGATATAAATCCTTTTCCCAGAGACTGTCACCAAACATCATTGAATGCTCTGCTTCAAATCGAAACCGTTCAAATCCCACCAGTAACGGAGTTCCAAGAACGCCCACACCCGGGTGAAATATGATGATATTCTCCGGGGATATATTCTTGTGCACAATCCGAGAAGCATGGAGAAAAACCACGGAGCGGGCCAGCGATACAGCCAGATGCACTCGTTCGTTAAGAGGGTAGGTCTCGGCCCGATTCAATAGCATAGATCGAAGGCTGCAAATCTCATGAGAGCTCATCTCGCGGGGTATGGTAAAGAGCATGCGAAAGTGCGATTGGTCTTTTGCTGTGATGACACCTTGACAAGGCAGTAGGGAGGGGAATGTTGGGTTGACCTTCGACATTATGACAGCTAGATCGCGGACATCCTTTTTGGTAACTTTGTAATTGGCACCCTCGAGTAAGGTATATTTATCGACAATCACCATCTTCCCGGTTGGTGCTAATCCGATCGAGGCGGTAGTGAATGGGATCCCCTTCAGATTCTCAATGGGATAATCGGCATCGAGGAAAATTGATGTCGGCGAAGACCTATCTGGAGGTAAATTGCTTTCGACATGTGCCTCCTGGAGCTGTATGATAGGCACTATGGCTTTGTTACCATGTTGTCCTTTTTCTGCGAGCTGCTGCTGAATGACCGGGACGGAGAGACGCGATAGCAGAATCCACGAGGGGTCAAAGTGTCGATGCCACTCTTCAAGTTGATCCACGATACGGTCTAGCGATTTTCTTCCGTAGGTCGCATACTTCAGTCGCTGGATCTTCCCCTGCTTCGCAACGGCTGCCAAGCTTTCGGTTTCCTCGGTCTCTCCAAAAAGATCACCGAGTGTATTATATGCGGTTTGCAAAATCTGTAAAAGCGCCTGAAGAACTTGATTATGGTGGATTTGAAGACGGCCGTCTAGTCCATGCCATATGTCCCGTAGAGTGGTGACTTCATCCTCGATCTTCAGCCAATAACCATCGATGCGGAGAAGGGCATTTGCGAGTTCAGCTTCGGCGTGTATATAAGCCTGACATCGGGTGTGAAGACCCCGTCCAGACCTGTTTATTGGGTCAGAATACGGAATGGCCTGTGGGTGGCCATTCGAGAGGGTTGCTAGAAGCAAAGACGTACTTGATGCAGAGCTCCACCATGGAACAAGCGGCAAATGCTAGAGAAACGGGCTCCATTGCTCTTGTCCGTGTCAAGGCCTTCAAGTTGATGGCCTAGAAGAGAGAATGATCAAGAGAAATCGGGGATTATGGCTCAATAAAAGCACGGCTTTAGGAGTGGCGCCCCGCAGTTCCTGTCCATCAGCCTGATCTCCTAAGCTAAACACCGCACTCACGCACTTAAATGACTTGTTCCAGAGCTCTGGGCAGTGTGGTACCCATCCTATATGAATTGTGCGATCCTGTTTTCGCCGATCGGCGATGAGCTCGTTCAGACCAGCGGGAAAGCCCGCATCGCCTGTTTCTACCAAAATTTGCCGGGAAGATGTGGTGGCTTTTGGCTAAGATAAGCGCCTAACCCACGCCATGGTGAGTTAGAAGATGATTTGCCAGCTGTTCATTCTAGTTCTGTATCGCTAGAAATGCTGCTCACTCGCATGTTCCCACCGAGCCGCTTTCTGCTTTGCCCGACAACCGTCACATGATGAATGGGCTAGTATCTACCAGGTAAGAACTTGCTTATGAGCCTCGCTGTTTGTGTCGGAAGTAACTTGATTGGTAGCCATTCTCATATTACCCCTCAATGAACAAACAGACGGTCCTGCGCCAGGTGCCTTCAGGTTTCAACCGCACCCGCATTAGGTGTGTCGATCGCTGTACACCAGGCCTCATCGAGACTCATGATCAAATATTCGACTACCACCAATCTGGTGACTGGTACTAAATTCCGAGTCGAATTCAACTCCGATTTGGTCCATCGCTTCACCTTTCAGTCTAGTAGCACCCCCGGTCAATATGTCAGGCGACAAGAGAGACTCGATGTTTGGAAAAAAAAGAGACCAGTGGGCAGTGGATCTTATGGAAGCGTCTGGCTACACAGATGCTTGACAAGCGAAGACCAAGGCGAGCTTCAGGCTGTGAAGATGGTCAACAAGACACGCCTCTCCTCTGGGAGTATCGACTTCTGCAAAGAATCAGAGGCTATTGCGAAATTTTCACAAAAAAAGGTCGGATCTTCCGCCCATTATATCGCATTTTCAGAAGGGATGTTTGTTGAATATTATAGTATCTTAGTCTATTTGTTGAGTACTTTGGTTGGTATGAAAATGAGGAGTCTATGTTTATTGCTATGGAGTACGTCCAGCACGGTGACCTAGATTCCCAATATGACGACACCATTACCGTAGAACGATGCCCGAGAGATCATTTCTCAAATTGGAGAAGGTCTGGAACACCTGCACAGAAATGGATTTGTTTATAGGGACTTGAAACCTGAGGTGAGTAAATGACCTGGGGAGAACGAATACCTGTATTTTCGAGATTATTCCCAGCCAACAAGAACAGATTCTTGAGGGTCTTCGATGTGCCAGTTTCAGGTATCGAGCTCTGGATATCACTGACCTTTCCAGTTTGACTTCTTGTAACCGAAATATGGAGTAGGCAATACGAAGGTATTCAAAATCATACACTATATCTCTAATGCACGCGACTCTCGCCATTTTTCGAAATTGCCAATCAATAAACCAGCTCAACTTGAGAAATCACTAGCCGTTGATAGGATCAAACTAGAGGGCTGGAATTCAAAGCAGTTGCGACTTTCTGGCAGTGGCGGAGTATAAAGGCTGGGCTATTGGACTCGTCTAAAGCCCCAGGGATATTCTCTTTAGTCTCCCCGCGCCTAGATCCCCGTTAAATTTGCTGCAACATTCTTGACTCTTACTCTTTTCTTTTCTCATCAAGTCCTCTTTGCAAAATTCTCAGATCAAAAGAAAAGATTGTTCCTAAAATGGGTTCTATCGACGAGCACTGGTCCTCATTCCAGAACATGAACCTTGAAACCGCCCATGCAAAGAAAATCCAAAAGGTCCTCGAAACAGCAAATTTCACCCATCTCTGCTCTGAAGCCACAAAGATTCGCCAAGAAAAGTCTTTAGATGCAGTGAGCTGCTCCGTGAACACAGCAAAGTTCACCTACGGAACATACAACCTAGTGATTGCCCTAACCCTCTCAGACGCAATTCAATGGGTAGCGAGGATCATGCTCCCCCAAGACGAAGAAGAACTGCCAGAAGACCCCATAAATGAAGACATTGCAAGATCGCTCTTGAGTGAAATCGCATCTATGAACTTCGTCCGCTCCACAACAACAATCCCCGTACCCCGCGTCTACGGCCATAGCGCCGCAAAGAACGCCTTCGGCCATCCCTACATTCTGATGGAAGCACTCCCAGGAGCTGTGCTAGATAATCGAATGGCACTTTCAATACCAACTACCCACAGAAGGAAATTCGCCGCCCAACTAGCCGGCTATATCTATGAACTAAGCACTCTCCAATTCAGCAAAATCGGCTGTCTTTCGTACACCAAGTCTAAAGATCTTGAAATCACCCCATTTCACATGTCCAGCTCCTGGATTAAACCTCTATCAACGTCATTAGAATATTTCTATCTATTTCGCAAAGCCCAGACGAAAGAAATTCTCTCGGAACATCCCGGCGAACAAGACTGGGAATCTGCGGCCTGGTTCCTCGAACGTTCACTGACATCAATGGTAATGGAAGAACATCTCTACGGTCCATTCCCGCTATGTCATTTGGATCTCCATTACAACAATATGCTCGTTGACGAGGACTTCAATATCACCGCTGTGCTTGACTGGAGTAATGTCCAGACTGTGCCGGTAGAGCGGTTTATCGTGAATCCGGAATTCGTTGCTCCGCCTGCTGCGCCGCAGGAATATAAACAGGCTGTTTTTGAGTTTCGGGATATTTTTGTTAAGGAGTTGGCGAGGATTGAGCGAGACAGAAAGGATGAGTCGGATAGGGGGATGGAGTTGTCTAGTCTATTTGGATCGCCATTGGCCGAGGTTGTTTTTCGATGTACCTGTAGTCCTGCGCGAAGGGCTCTTTTTGATGCTCAGCTTACTTTGGCTTTGACTTACGGTAAAGATGCAAAGTGGGAGGATTTTAAGAGATTCTTCAATCAACGTGTAGCATGAGCTGTATCGTTGTGGGTTTAGGATGAGACGGGTTTGATATCAAAGACTCGCTAGTTGAGGAAAGTGTATGGCTGAATTGCCAATAGGAAACTACGTTCGAGAGAATCATGCCTATAGTTGATCTTTTTCTCAGCAGGATGCAACGAGAAACCTACACAATCACAGAATACGTAGGATATCAAATACAACTGGCATTGATAGCTCTTGAAACTGGCATAAGCCGAATGATAACTATTGACATAAAATGCCGATAAGTCACAATTCCCAGATGAGAATGCAATGATATATGACAATGCAATTCTTAAATAATAGTCGGAGGGTTGATATCCGGTGAGAGGGTAGTTTGTTTAACCCGCTCAAGAGTCGGGAGGGACACAGCGCCCTTGGCAGAGTCAGCTGCCTGATCGCTGACAGCCGAAGGATTGGGCGAAGGGCCTGGTGTGCGCTCGCCCTTGTTCTGGCGTTGGATCAGGCCGTTGGTGATGCCGAGCACGGAGTCGACGATGACGGCGTCAATGCCTTCGGCAACTTGGTACTATATGGATAAAAGGGTAAGATGATTGTTAGGGTTTTTAGGGGATATGGAAGGTGAATCCAGGAGGAATAAACAGAAACTTACGTCAACATTGTTGCCGTCGTTGTTGAGTGTTCCGTAAGAGACACACACAAGGCCGGACTCCTTCACAATACGGACCAGCCGCGGACAGAGGACTAGTGGTTCAGCCTGGGTGACGATTCCGAGGAGATTCCACCGCGAAGCGAACCGAATGGCTTCCTGCAAGCTGCTAGCGCGGATGTCGCCGACAGGGGAGGCACCTGCGTCGCTCAGGAAGAGAACGGGGATGGAAGGTTGCTTGAAAGATAGCAGCAGACAGATATCCGGGTTAAAGCTAGAGAACAACATGTCGCGACCGCCTCCCAGATCGTAGACTTTGGTCAGGATAGTGTCAACAAATGAGTTCAGTTCAATTGCGTAGGTGTCCATTTCCTCCTCCTCGCTCTCGTGGAGCATAGGATATTCTGGTGACCCTGGTTAGAACGACGGAATAGCTGTTTTTAGGGAAGCAGTATCAACTCACTCAATTCGATGTTAAATCCTACAGGTTTCGGGATCTTTGTGAACAACTCCTCCAACGTGGCGAATGGGGCCTGGATATGCTCGCCACGGGTGTTGCCCTTAAAGCCCTTCTTCTTGAAGTCGCGCGTGTGCTTGATCTTCTCGGTCAATTCGGCGGGGTTATACTCGGAGCCGCCGACAGACATTGAGCGCTGGCGTGGACCATACTCAGATGACTCGCCGACTTTCACAGATCCGGGTAAGGCATGACGGTACCGTCCGATGCCCAACTCGAGGAATTGATCGAGGGTCATGGTGTGAACAGGCGCATCAATGCCCGTCTCGCTGACCAGGAAATCGTGGTAGATGACGGGAACGTGGTCTTTCGTCAGTTGTACATCGAATTCAACATATGATGCGCCTAGGTTGGCCGCAGCGATGAAGGACTCCACAGTATTCTCACCCAGCTGCAATGAATTGCGACCGGCCATGTTCTTGCCCAACCCACGATGTCCAATGACCATGGTTGAGGTCAGAGAGCGCCAGTAGGTTTGGTTGCCAGTGATAGACATGTTCGGGTGCTTGAAAGGGGTGATGACAAGGAAGTTGAAAGTCACAGACCCGATGACCTCAAGGGTATTCGCGGCAACGATGGGAACAGTGGAATCGCCTTTGAGGTTGATTCGATGCGACCCCACAGTGGGCTTGATGCTAGAAAGCAGAGCGACACCTCGCCCAACGATCTTCTCCTTTGATCCTGCGTAGGTGGGGACAAGGTCGAAAAGCAGACGCACCTTGCTAGGATCGGTGGTGTGGAAGACAATTGGCTCTGTCGAGATGTTGTCCTGCACAGGCAAGTCAATCACTTCCGGTTCACCGTGAGCACCGCTAGCTGTTATCACCATCGACAAAGATGTGTCCAGCTGGGTGGCGTGCGCATTTTCCATCGGAATGCGGTCGAGGCTGACTGTCTCGAGCGGCTTGCGCATGTCCATAGTTCCCAAACTGACCAAGATCATGCTCTCATCGGTGAGATACCTGTGGCCAAAGGTCTTGATAGGTTCCGTAGTCCGTACGCCAGGGCCTCCAGAAGTCGGGCCTGGCGCATTCGACCGGCGGTCAGTGAGGGACGACTGAGTCGGAGGCGAGGAGGCCTCGGAACCTGGGAGGGTTGGAGTAGACGATGAAAAATCGAGCTCAGTGGTAGGAGGGCCGGGGCTAACTTCTGCCAAGCACCGGGCAATGTCGAGATGGCCCCGCAGGGCTGCGTGCTCCTTGGCCGTCCAGCCAGAGGTATCGAAGCGCTCCACGTCTGCACCGGCAGAAATCAGCATTTTAGCCACACTCAGACATCCGTCCACACAGGCAATGAAGAGCGGCGTCCAGCCATAAGTGTTTTCGGCCAATTCTGTGTCTGCTTTCTGGTCGACACTGCCATCCAGCAAAATCTGCGCACACTCGTCATGGCCAAATCGGGCAGCGACATGCAATGCAGTCTCTCCCTGCTCATCCTGATAATTGATATCTACGCCTGCATCCACTAGAAGCTGGACAATATCAATGAAATTGGCCTTGGTCGCCAGTGCTAGAACTGCACTAGACTTCGAGACCTGTTTTCTGATGATGCTCCGTCTCCGCGAGGGATAATTCTGGTTTTCGGAATCCAAGAGACACCGGGTGGTTTGTGGATGGCCTCCAACAACACTCAAATGGAGGGGGGCCCAGCCGTCATTGTCCTGCCAGAGAGGACCGTCGATGCCGTCGCTGACATCGAACATGTCCCATTCCTTGAGATGCTCAATGATGACTTCACACACGACTTTAAAACCATACTGCGCGGCGTAGTGCAATGGGGTGCGTCCTGAAAGGTCTTTGGCCATCAACGACTCACGCTGGTCAGGACGCAGGGCATCCAGTAGGAACTGAAGGTGAGAGACAGCAGGATCATCGCGGCCCAGTTGCTGGGGCATGTGCTCCTCTTTGACTATAGCACGTGGCGGCTGGAGGGTCGGAGGTGCCGCGGGCGTAATATAGCGGGTAGTCTCCGGAGGGAAGTTAAGCACCATTGAAGCCGCCGGCTCCGAGTCACTCGTGGGCTGTTCACGGCCAATCGAGATGACCAGACGGTGAAGACAGTTACGTCTGTTAATATCATCGTCCTCCTCCAGAGTGTCCACTCGGTTCAAGAGGAGAGTCAGAACGGCGCGCGAACGATGGAGGATAGAGCGCTGAATGAGGGTTCTGAGAACTCGGGGATAAACCGTGTCCCCAGCTTCATCTGCCGAGGCCTTCAAGGTCTCGAGTAACTCGAGCAAGACATGGGTATCATCATGAAGCAGTGCATCATCGACGGCAGTGAGGATACTGGTAGGCAGATTCAAATAGGGCCGAGCTGAGCCCCGCTTCAATGAAAGGGAAGAATGGGTGGAGCTCGCGTCGTCGGACACCTTGTCGTCTACCTTGGACTGGTCGGTGATGATGGCCATCCAGGCATTGATGCGCTCCTGCGACTTGAACACTCGTTCGTTGGAAGCGAATGGAGTGGGATCAACCTTGGTCTCTAGATAACGTTTCTGGGCCTGCGCACCGACCTTCTTGTCCAGCTTCTTGGTGATCTTAACGAAGCCACGTCGATTGACTTCACCGTACCATTGTAAGCGCCGCAAATGGTACCGCAGATCTAACAGGGCCTCGCGCAGGTCATGTCGATCTTCCGGCTCGAGAGGATGGCGACCATCCATGGAATACCCATAGCGCTCCTCGAGCAGTTTCAGGCGGCGGGCGAATTCGGCATATTTCTTGTTATAGAAATAATCGACATCTTCAACATTTCGGTCGAGGTTATAGAAGAAACCTATGAAATCAAAGTCTCGGTCAGAGAGACGCTCAATTGTAAATAATACTTCCAAGGCAAGCTCTTAACTTACCGGCCAAATCCGGATCTTGTCCCGCTTTGATCTGCTCTGCAGCAGATTTGATAAGCTTCTTCAGGGCCTTGTACTTGATGTAGGAGGTGCTCCACTCAGGAACGGTGAACTGCGACAAATTGCGGCCGAATTTCATACTGGCGAAACCAACAATTGCACTGACTTCAGTTCACCACAATTCCGAATGCACACTTTATTTGCTTTCAATTGTATCGAGGGGGTTCTTTCCAAGAGGAAATTCGTAGCGAGTTCAACCTGAATGTCACGAGGAAGCGATCAGGTGAGCGGGCGAACGCAGGCAGAAGAAATGAACCGCCATTGGAATGTGTAGGAATAGGGAGAGAGGGTAAAGGGGAGGTAGAACAAAGAGACGAAGCTCCGAGATGCACCTGACCTTGTCGATGGGGAATGTCGGGGATATGGGAGGGATACTTTGCACACCTAGAGAGAGAGGATGAAGATAGGTTGAGAAACGGTAACAAAAGAGCGGCTAGATGAAAGAAGAGAGTGTCTAAGAAGACGAGCTCTTGAGGTGTGCGCACTGGACCGATGATGATTTGTCGACCCACGGGGCCACGGGGGGGTTGACTCCACGGTACGGGTCTTATACACACGTACATGCAAATTACTAGTCCATCATTATTTTCTACGGAGTAGAGATAGTTATCGCACCGAGAACTAGTATCTTTCAATTTGCGGTGTGGAATTCTCAATCCCGCGGTCTTGGGATTTCCAAACGTCCCACGTCATGGGGATCCCTGGGCTTGGCCCCCACACGGGATCCGCAGTCTAAATATGTGCGCTATGCGGGTGCCTTTCGGAATGCTGTGAAGTGTCAATTTGAAGTAGAAGCTTGAAGAACTCAGATAAAAAGGGCTCGAGGTAATTGAGCCTAAATAGGGGCTTAAGCTATTCATAATTCTAAAAAAAGGCCATTGCACTCTCTGTGCGAATTCCATCCCGCCTCAGGCGTAAGAAAAAAGCAATCGCTAAATCCGTCGCTCATCAGGTCATCT